GTTTATACTTTAAAAATATTTTTATAAATCATCTAAAGACCCGCTAAGACAAACTGTCGTCAACGTGTTGTTTCGGTCATTATGCGCATCCCCATGCTATGACAGAATTTTCAACCAAAAAAAGTCGCAACATGTACCCCTTAGTAGGGTGATTCAAAAAAAGCCTTTTTTTAAAAATGAACCCGCACTGGCCTAAATTATAAAGATTACATTAAAACTAAAATATTGATACCAAAAAATCCAAATTCGATGAATATTTAGAGGTCGCTTAAATCAATTTTCGTATTTTTGCACATTCGAGCCGCGAAATTATTACTGCACAAAATAGTAAATAACTCCGTTAGTTTTTAATCGATATTATTAAAAATTTAAGGGTTACCTAGTTTTTTAAAACCCTCTGAGACAGTGTATTGAACTTTACAGAAAAAAAATTTTTTTTCATGAAAAAAAATAATTTGTTAATAAAAACGTATCATCTTATAAAATAAGCAACAATTGGAATCGCACTATGATGGTACCGTACAAAAACTAAGAAAATAACACTTAAATTATTTAGTATACAGAAAACCTGCCGAAAGAAATATTTTATTTGATTTATATAATATATAACCTAAAAATAATTAAGTAATTTAGATTTTTCACATTTTTAACCGATTTTATAAATAATTTATATCCGTTTTATTAATTATGACGTATTTTTATAATATTTCTTTATTTTTTATAACATATTTAATTAATTAAACTAGGTAGTTATTAAATTAGGTCCTTTTTACAACTAAAATAAAATAACGTTAACTACAAAATTATTCACTGCATTGATATGGCTTAAGCAGAAATTTAAATTTTATTAAAATTATTGACATACAGAAATTCTCAAATTTTGATACCAAAATTATTTGATTCTGTCTAGATGTTGCTAAATTGACATACCACAATAATAATTAATATTCTTAAATTTTGATAGTAGGACCTACTAGCAGGTATAGTACAGTCATCTTAGTCAAAAAAAGGGATCAACCTCGGAATCTAACGGAATAAGCTGAATTTTTGTGAAAACCTTTATTTTAGCATTACAAATGTTGTCTCAAAAGTCACATATGCCAACGTGTGAGCGGCCTTAGATATTCAAGGTCAAAGGTCGCAAAAATCAGTTTTTTGAGAATATCTCGTTTTCTCTACCTCCTATCGTATTTGCATTTATTATAAAAATTGTAGAGAATAAAATTCTCTACAAATTTTGTTTACAAAATTTTTTTATACGTCGAACCGTTTTTTAGATAGAGGGCGCAGAGTGTGGAGCGCTCAGCAATACGTGCCTTTAGCGCAAGGTAAAACGTGAATCCCAATCTATTATACCGTTTTTTTAAAATTAATTATATAATAAATATTACTAAAATAAAAATTTAAAACCTTATACTTATACTTATATTTATATTTCTTTTAAATCAAATATGTTTTATCTTATATTTTAATTTAATTTTAATGAAGGATAATTGGATCAGAGTAGGAAAAAATGTTTTTATTTATATCAATATTATTATTATTATTAATCTTTATCTTCTTCATCCCCCTCTTCTTCAGGTTGGCCAGCAATTTCAGACTCATTCTCATCATCACTCTCCTCGTTATCATTGACATTAATTGTCATATCTTCAAAAACTTACTTATAACGCGTTTGTACTTTGCAGATTTTTTTGCCTTTGTTGCCTCATCTGCGAACCACAAAATAAGCAAAATATTTTAAAATCAAACACATCATTCCCTTTTTTACGAGGTACAGTTGATGACGTTGAAGGCCCAGTCTCTTCAAGGCGACGTTTTGCTGAAGGATAATTGCAATTGCTGCAATTTTACTATAGTACGCTATAGCGTACAATTTTCGACACTCAATATGAACGTTCACAGAAGTCAAAGTATTTAGGTAGTTTATGTTTATTTCTCTCAATAATTGCTTCTTTTGAAGTCTTAATACCGTGCACAAGTCACAGAATCACCTTCAGAAAGTAAATTATTACAAATAAAACACAAATCAGCTATGTTAACCTTTAAAATATTACGAATATTACCTGTCACAACCCTAGACCTATACCTAGGGTCACAACTTGCTTTAAATATAGGTATACCTAACCTTTTTATTAATAGCAAGCCCACTATAGTATTTCCAGGTCTGTTATTTTAAAAGCAATATCTGTATCCAAGAGATGACCAGAGACATATTCAAGGCAAATTCATTTAATGTCTTTTCTTCTTAAAATGCATTTATCATTAATTAGAATAACATTAGAATATATTTAGAATGATTCACTTCATTATTTAATTATTTGTCAAAAGTAAGTAATATTTAATGACTATTTGTTTTAAAAAAATATATATAAATAAATATATATATAATAAATAGATTGGAATTCATGATTTACCTTGCGCTAAAGGTACGTATGGCTGAGCGCTCCACACTCTGCGCCCTCTATCTCAAAAACGATTAGACGTATAAAAAAATGTTTTTAACAAAATTTGTAGAGAATTTTATTCTCTACAACTTGTATAATAAATGCAAATACGATAGGAGGCAGAGAAAAGGAGATATTCTCAAAAAAATTATTTTTGCGACCTTTGACCTTGAATATCTAAGGCCGCTCACACGTTGGCATATGTGACTTTTGAGACAACATTTGCAATGTTAAAATAAAGGTTTGTACAAAAATTCAGCTTATTCCGTTAGATTCCGAGGTGAAATGCCTAGATGACTGGACTAGTAGTTGATAAATTATATAAATATAAATATATATATATATATATATATATATATATATATATATATATATATATATATATATTATTTACTTAATTCAAAAGGGTCTAAGTACCAAAACTAATTTGTTGAGAAATTAAAGAAAAACATCTTATACCTTGGTGGAGATAGATAGCATGCCCGATGGATGAACAAAGCTATATAGGTACTCTCTAAAGATTTTCTTATTTCGGGATCAATTTAAACTCACTAACAATGAAAATAAGTCATTGCATAGAACTTGTATTTTTATATTTCGTTTAGATATTTGCCTGGTTCCAAGCTCCAAACGCAACTTGCGCGCCCAAAATTGATTTGAAAACACTTCATGAACTTCATGTTTACAAAAATATAGATTTGCAAATAGAAGAGCTAATTTGTTTGGCATTTTTGATAAAAGAGTACCTACTGAAACAAAGGAAAAAATGGTTGAAAAAATTAACATTAGAAACAATCATTGCAAAGAAAACGATGTAGAACAGTGGATTTTTTTATTTTAATTATAAAAAGGACATAAATTAATAACTACTTAGTGTAATTAATTAAATATGGTATCAAAAATAAAGAAATATTATAAAAATACGTCATAATTAATAAAACGGATATAAATTATTTATAAAATCGTATGAAAATGGAAAAAATTTGAATAACTTAATTATTATTAGGTTATGTTTTATATAAATCAAATAAAATATTTCTTTCGGCAGGTTTTATGTATGCTAAATAATTTAAGTGTTATTTTCTTAGTTTTTTTACGGTACCATCATAGTGCGATTCCAATTGTTGCTTATTTTATAAGATGATACGTTTTTATTAACAAATTATTTTTTTTCATGAAAAAATTTTTTTTTCTGTAAAGTTCAATACACTGTCTCAGAGGGTATTAAAAAACTAGGTAACCCTTAAATTTTTAATAATATCGAATAAAAACTAACGGAGTTATTTACTATTTTGCGCAGTAATAATTTCGCGGCTCGAATGTGCAAAAATACGAAAATCGATTTGAGCGACCTCTAAATATTCATCGAATTTGGATTTTTTGGTATTAATCTTTTAGTTTTAATGTAATCTTTATAATTTAGGCCAGTGCGGGTTCATTTTTAAAAAAAGGCTTTTTTTGAATCACCCTACCCCTTAGTTTACCAAAACAAATGTACCTACTTGGGGGTGAACACTAGGTTCCAAATAAAATTGAATGCCTATTGATTAAATTACTAAAAAGCTAATGGACATGTATGTACGCCAGGTCTGAAGAGGTTAAACACTCGCTCACAAGCTCGCTCGTGCCTAAATTAAATTCGAGTCTAAAATGGCGTTTATCAAACTTGATACATAATAAACTATTATATGTAACCATGTGACGCGTTTCGAAAAGACGAACAGGTCCAAAAATAAAATTTTACAGGAGAGACTCAACTAAAATTTTGTTGCATTGTTAATTTTTGATATAAATATATTTATTGGACTTTTCGAAAGATCGTGTACCAATCTTCTTAAAACAAACATAAATTAAAAAATCATTTTTTTGCACCCAAGGTTTGTTTTCTCACAGCGCATCACATATACGTAAGGTTGACAATTCTGACTTTTCAAAAGTAAGATAATGTCCCTTTCCTTCCGTGGCCCGGAAGTAAAAAATATTAATATTACAAAGTGTTGATGGTTGTTAATAAAATCTTATACAAACTTCCTTATTAAATTTTATTACTGTCGAGATTTTGTAGTCAAACTCGGCGCTCCGTGTTTGAATTAACTACATAAATCTATCGACAGTAATGAAACACTATTGTTTTTAGAATCACATTTTTTAAATTAATTTTATTTTTAAATAGGTTCGTGAGCAAATTGAAGAATTTAAAGAACATATGCCGATAATTCAAACTCTTGGAAATCCAGGAATGAAAGAAAGACATTGGGAAAAAATTTCAGAAATTGTTGGTTTTCCCATTATTGTTGATGATGATTTAACGTTAGAAAAAATAATAGATTATGGTTTGGACGATTACATTGATAAATTCGAGGCAATATCAGAAGCAGCTACTAAAGAAAATAATCTTGAAAAGAATTTGCTGAAGATGATTGCAGAATGGAAAGACATGGAGTTTACAGTTTTAACATATAAAGATACTGGAACCTATATTTTATCAGCTGTAGATGATATACAAGTGTTATTAGATGACCATTTAATAAAAACACAAACAATGAAAAATTCCCCATATATCAAGCCATTTGAAAAAGAAATTTTGTAAGTTTAGATTTGTTTGGTTTTTAACCCAGCAAATTTACTCAGCGAATTATGTTAAAAAGGTTATATTTCACTTATATAATTATTATTTTCCACCAACTAGCATTGTGACGAAATGTGAATGTATTGTAAAGGCTCGTAATCGTATTACCTATTTAAACCTTTACGTTGTGTTTACTTACTTGTTTTAAATTCATTGCTTTAGGAATGATACGTGGGAAAACTAGGTATACAAGAAATAAAATCCAGTGTTTTAGTTTACCCCAACTTAATTTTTTTAACATTTAACAAACAAACAAGGAAAGATACGGCCAGGGTGACGATACTCGAGTTGAAAGAATGCTATTCTCATGAGAGAAGTGGGCGTGTTTCTCTTAAGTTTTGACAGACTGCATTCTTGAAATCTTGCGATCGTGTGATTCTTCTAAAACATGAAAGAGTTTTCGAGAGAAGAAGTTGGTGATATTTCTCTTAAATTTAAGAAACACTTCTCTTAAATTTAAGAATCTCCCCCCAGGAAAGAAGATCCTAAATCTTACACGGAAGAAAATATTAGTAGATTAAAAAGGCCCATGGGATTCAATTCAGAGGGCTAAAAGAGTTTTTTAAAAGTTGTAGACAGTATTTCGAAATGACTAGCAGGTAAATTTTGGACTTGCAACAATATAAAGACAATGCCAAGTCCAAAATTTACTTGTTACTCGGAATAAAACAAATTGGGGGAAAATTGATCATAATCAATAAATCGTGCAAATGCAAAATTGCTTAATCGCTTATGTAAGGGGTCGTCCATAAAGTAGGTCATACGATTAGGGAGTGCTATAATATTGATATTTTGTGTAATACGGAGGAAGGAGGATTTCTGAAGTCCCCTAAAACGTACTTTATGGTATAAAATATTTAGTTTTAAAGAAAGTGTGTATAATTTATAATTATAAACGATACAGCATTGAAACTTAAAATATTACATATACATTTAGATAAAAGTAAAAAATCGTTAAAATTAAGTAAAATACAGTTAAAATAGTAATTAGGAATAAATACAAGTGAATTTGTTAATACTTTTGTGTATAGGATTTTAACACCTATTTAATAAAACTAAACCCTCAACTAACCTTTGAAAATACATAAATAACACTGATAACAATTATTTAAAGTAAAACTTAACAATAAATTTTGTTTTGTTAAATATTAAAGAAAACCTTTTTATCTCGATGGTAGTCTTGTTTTTATCTGCATGCCGCATCAACAAAATTTTAGGAAAAAACTTTTAATTTTTATACCCAACCCCATCCATTTCTTTTGTCTTGGCACAAATGGTTTTTCCAAACAAATAGAAAATACAATATACAATTCATTAGTGAAATAGGTATATAAAATTATGAAACCATTATCATACAAAGTTAAGAAATAATGAATGTGCAAATCATATGTAATAAAAAATGGTAAATTTATCATAATGTTTATTATTAAAAAATTCGCACGAGAAGCATCGCTAAAGCAAATGCAATCGTTTATCAAATCAAAAAATTATACATTTATACATTATATATTTGTCAGATTAAATTAAGTTAAAAAATTACTTTGAATTACATAGTTCACCTTTGTTCAAAACTTTGAGTTTTAAAAAATGTATTGTTTCAATCTGCTTCGGTGCTGGACTCATAATTCTTAGCCCCAGCCCCACCAAGTGCAACGTATATTATTTCATCGATACTTTTAAATAATTATTAACGACAATAATCATAGCACTATACTTAAAGGAATACTAACATATTTTTTTATTAGATCTTGGGAAGCAAAATTACAACTTTTACAAGAAATTCTTGATGAATGGTTAAAAGTTCAATCAACGTGGATGTACCTTGAACCAATATTTTCATCTCCAGATATTCAACAACAAATGCCAGAAGAAGGAAGAAGATTTAGTGCTGTGGATAAGGTATAAAAAGGCAAAAACAACACCCTAAAAATCTTTTTTTCTACAACCAAGCGAAAAGTACAAATTTGCGCTTTCAAAAGAAAGCGCAAAGTTGCACTTTTCCGAGGAGTGAGCGCTCGGCGATCAACAAAGTTACTTTGTCGCTCGCTTAGTTACCATGGAAACCATAATAAAGAAACGTTTAGTGTATTTGCGACTTTTGACATAAACGCCAAATTTGAGGTTTTCAACAATTATTAATTTTTACCAAACATTCTTATAGAAACACCGGTTGTAGAAAAAATCCTGTGTGTAATTCGAGCGCAAAGTGACATTGCCGCTCTCGCGAGATAGCCGTGCTCCGCTACGCTTCGCGCGTCAAACTTCTCGCTCAAAGCGGCAATGCAATGGCTTAATACACATATAGGTATTCTTTTTTTTGGCTAAATTCTAAAAAATAATAACTAAAAGACGATTAAGTCTGAAACCTAATACTATAGATTAACCCTTAACCCTTTAACATACATATTTTTTTATTTTTCCAAAAAAATAATTTGCATATGACTTTGCTTAAGCCGCGAGTCTCAGTGATGTAAAAGAAATATATGCTGAATTTCAAGAAGATTGGATAATATTTAGGGGTTGCACAAATTGTGAAACTAGTGAAATTTCTAATATTAAAGTGCTTTGTACTAATGGGCTTTTCATGAATTGTTTTCATCCTTTGCAGGTAATTAAACTTTAAAATGGGAACCAAAAGAGGAAATTGGCTGCTAGAAAAGTTACCCAGAAGACAGTTTTTAGGCTCCCTTCAAATAAACAAGTACTTTTAGTTTTTTTACCACTACAAGTAAATGAAAGAAACACTTTCGGATGCTGCTAAATCTACCAGTACTAAACTACAGGAAGTATGAAGGAAAGCCTAACGGCCTCGTGAGCAACTTAACTCGCGTGAAAAAGTCGCTTTTCAACACTTGTAAAACAAATAACTATTTTACTATGCCCGTTTAGACTAAAATAAGTAAGGAATCAAGTAAACATAGTTAATTAAACTAGACATCAAGTATTTTATTTTCAGTGGTATATTAATTTTTGAAATAACAAGCCGATTGAATTACACTTTTGAAATATTCACCCAAATAATGTCCAATCACTGAGGCTCGGGGCGTAAGCAAAGTCTGCAAAAATTTTACATTTTATTTTTTGCCTCACAAAATGAAACCCTGATACACTATCTAGTTACTTTATACATCTTTGTATATATCTACTTTGACTGTGACATATAATACGCATTTTTGTTTCTTTACAGATTTGGAGAGATTTAATGAAGACAGTCTTTAGCGACGTTCTGGTTATGTCCGTTGTTGAAATAGATAAAATGGCGGAAAGGTTAAAGAAGTGTAATAATCTTTTGGAAATGATTCAAAAGGGCCTAAATGATTATTTGGAAAAAAAGAGACTATATTTTCCAAGATTTTTCTTCTTATCTAATGATGAATTATTGGAAATTTTATCAGAAACAAAAGATCCCACTAGGTAAACAAATATTAAATTTTTATAGAAGTTAATTTTATTTTTCAATAAAAACACTTTTTTGTTATAAAAGACAAACTTTTATTTTACAACCAAATGGAAGAGTAACGTACAATATGAAATGCAATTTTTTTGCATTATTTAAATAATTTAATATTTTCAACATGTTAATGGTTTGATAGCAGTTGCTATATATTTTGAAATTGACTAGATATATAAAAAATATTTACTTAATTAATTAAATATCATATTTACTATTACTTAAATAAACTGTGAATGTTTTAGAGTCCAACCTCACTTAAAGAAGTGCTTCGAAGGTATTGCGAAATTAACGTTTACGGAAGATATGGATGTAACACAGATGAGATCAAGTGAAGGTGAAATTGTTCCATTGGTAGATGTTATCCAGACAGCCTTAGCTCGGGGCCAAGTTGAAAAGTGGTTGGCTGAATTGGAAACAGATATGAAAAAATCAGTTAGAAACATGGTTTCGAGTTCCATTACAGATTACCCTAAAGTACCTAGAGAACAGTGGGTTCTGAAATGGCCTGGGCAATGTGTAAGTAGAAATAAAATTAATTTGTATGCAAGTTGTCCGCAAAATAATATGTACCTATGCAAGGTGTCCGCAACCACATTTGTTTATGTGTCGATCTGGTAACCTAATATATTAAAATTAAAATAATGACAAATTAATTATCAATTTTGATTTTGATAACTGGGCCATTTCAAGCGGATTGGCGGGACAAATCACAAAACTGTTTTTATAAAAAAATTGTAGGTTATTTATTATATATTATTTTTGCATCAAAATTGTCAAATATATTCTTCTATTCTTCTAAGCTTCTATTACACTGTTCAAAATTTCATGACCATTTTAACACCAAATTAACACCATATTTGGTCTATATCAATACAAACCAAAATGGTGTTAAATATGGTTCGTTGGTCCGGTGTAAATTCAAATACTAAAATGGTGTTAATTTAACTTTCACACAGTAATAAAATAAATTTTACCTGGTGTAAATTGAACTCCTTTTCAGTGTTAAATATTATGTGTTTGTGGTCAAATTAAATCATACTACACAGAAAAAAGAAAAAAAAAAAGAAAACAGGAAGTTCCTTGACGCATTACTAGTATATTACTAGTGGTATTATTCCAGAAAATGGAACCTTCAACTCGCTAGAGATAATGTTTTTAGTTCGTTCCACTAACTTAAAATACTTCAAGTATTGACAGCTGTTTCCACCTATTTAAGGTCTAGTATCGAACAACTTGGAGTGTCACACCAAAGCTTGAGCTTATATATTCTTCAAGTCAACAGAGGCGAGATTTAAGAACATCACGTGATCCACAAAAAAATAAATACTTATGGGTCAACTAAATTAATATAGTTAAATGAACTATTCCTTTTTTTCTGTGTAGGTGCACTTCTCAAATATTTTTAGATAAACACCGTTTTGGTGTTCATTTTCAACCATAATTCATGGTGTTATATTAACACCACTTGGTGTTTGATTTTGACACCATTTTAGGATTACTCTTTACACCACAGATATTTTAAACAGTGGATTAGGCTATACATTAAATTAAAAAAATCGCAAGAAATATTTTATAAAAGTAGAGATAATTTCAATAATTGACAGGGGTGGACGGGACAAGATAAATCTTTTTTTTGTCCCGTCCAATTATTAATCAATTATTAAAATTATATCTAGGTACTTTCATAAAATATTTCTTGCGTTTTTTTAAATTAAATTAAATTAATTAAATTTTAATGTATAACATAGACAAGGGATTGGTTGGGTGGGCAGGGGGTTAGTATAACCTAATAAAAGAAGAATATTTTTGACAATTTTGATGCCAAAATATTATATAATAAATAATCTACAATTTTTTTATAAAAAGTTTTGTAATTCGTGCGTTTCGCGCGCTTGAAATGGCCGAACTGTCGAAGTAAAATTTTGTGTATGCAGATACGTTATTTAAAAAAAGGATTTTTCTTTATTTGAGTATCTTTTTAAATAAGATCTAAACATTTCAAAAATGTTATGATGTAAAAAAAATATAATTTTTAATAGTTTTGCGCGAAATAAAAAGTTGTTTGTTAAATTTATCGTAAAATTTTTAAATATTTAATTAAGACAGGTAATCCGTATAAATTTTCATTTGGAAGTTCCCATTCGTTAAAGAATATATGTTAACTTTTTTGCTTATTTAAGATTATAAATTTTTTAAAAACATTGTTATATATCAGGATTTTACAAAAACTTTGGCTAAAATCCTGAAAAAAGTGTATTTACAGTAATATATTTGAGGATATTCATCAGGATTCCTCGAAAATCGCTGTAGATACCGAAAACGTGACTTTAATAACTTTAATATCATTGATAATAAAAAAATCGTCTTTTAATAATGAATTCAACTATATAAAAAACTCATTTTCGATGGAAAATGTAGATACCCACTTTAAGTTAATTTTTTTCATTGCAAACGTAACTAGGTATCTGTATTTAAGTTCTGTAAATAATTTTTTATAAAACCTAATTATTGTACCTATTAATAAGACCTAATGGACATTAAAGATCAAATTATGAAGTTTAAAAACCTATTTTGTTGGTAAAATCACATTTTTTTAGGTTCAATCTGTAGGTTGCACATTTTGGACAACCGAGGTTACGGCTGCTATAATTGAAGGCCTAAGTGCTATGGAGGCATACCATATTAAGTGTAATAAACAAATTACCAAAATTGTCGATTTAGTACGTGGAAAATTAAATTTACAAAATAGGATAACATTAGGTAAGTCTATTATCATTATATTCATTACTTTACATGTAAAATTACTTAATATGGCTATAAAATAGTACATTACATTCCATAATGATAGTTGGACCCCATTATGCAATGGGGAACCAACCGAAATTTTGTCAAAAATGGGTTTATTACCTCTAATAGGCAACCATAAAAACCGATATAGGTAATTATGATCCTCTTTTCTAAAATATGATATGCTTTTAAAAAACTTTATATGTGGTTTCCCACAAATTGGGTCTTTTCCTATGAAAAAAAATACCCAAAAATATTTTAGCACCGAGAATCAAACCCAAGCCCACTAAATAATAACTAGGTAGGCGCTGGGTATAAAGACACTGAATATAAAAAAATCCTTTTAAAAAAAATAACCCCTACCAAAATTTAGGTAAGTGTAGAAAAAGATTTGCTTCTTTACATATAAAAAATATAGAAAATAAAAAGGGGTGTTTTTGTAATATTTAAAATTGAATTTTTCAAAACCATAAATTTTAATGAAAAATTATTCAAATTTTAAAAAAGGTATAATACTAAACACGCATTACTAGGTAATGGGGTATATTTAAACAATTGGTTTTCTAAAAATTGTATTGATAAAATTTTAAATAAATTAATGAATTTACCAAGAAGGATTTGGAGGGGGGTTTACATAACCTTTTTAATTTAGAAATTAATATTAATAAATACTAGGTGGGCAACGGATAGTCTTACGTTAAATTACCGAAAAAGATTGCGTAAAAGTCCGCTAGTGTTAATGTTTAAAATCATGAAAATATCTGCTTTGGATGGTCGGTAGTATCTGCCCTACACCCAGTAAATAAGAATTTAAAAAGAACTTTCTCATATTCGTAATATATGGATGCTCTAAATTTTGCGAATATTGAACTTTCCATGAAACTGATTGACATATTAAAATTCTGAAGCTGAAGCTAATTGATTCGTACAAAAGCTCCAAGTATAATTTTTTACATTGGGTATATTTTAGCGTCGATTTGACAAATTATACTATTTATTTTGTTACTTCTTACTAAAGAATTTTGTATTTTAACATAGTGTACTAAAAACTTTTTTCTTGTAGGCGCTTTGGTGGTTTTGGATGTTCATGCCAGAGATGTATTAGAGGGCCTAATTATAAGCCAAGTAAAAAATATTAATGATTTCCAATGGTTGGCTCAATTACGATATTATTGGCAGGTAAGGGAACCCGAGTAAAAAAGATTTTCTAAAATTTGTGACACCCTGTGGGGTGCATCAGCAATAACAGCGGATGTCAATTGAAATCACATTGTAGTCCTCTTTTATGCAGCTGCGATTTTTCGATAGATACCTATTTAACTTGAAATAAACAATAATTATACTTACTATGTTAAACAAATATTTTTATTATATACACAAAGTGTTTAAAGTAGTACTTTTCGCCAACGTTGGCATCTTCAAAAGCGAAATGTTTAATAATTATACACACCTTAATAAAAGCAGCCATTAATAGTTCTAGTCAACAGCAATTTGTATCCCGGACATTTAGTAGTCAATTCCTATGTAAAATTGTCCGCTGAATCAAGAAATGTTCTCAAAAGTTGAACAGTTTTTGAGATATAGTCAATTTTCCATATAAATGGAATTGCCCGTATTCCAAAAACTGCTCTACTTACATAATTTTTGACAGTATTTTTGGATTTAGTGGACAATAACGAAGCATAACCAGCTTAGCGTTCGGACAGTAGGCAAAATAATGGGCATTACCGTGCGCAGAACTTGGCAATTAAAAATTGAAGATTTGGGTTTTGCCTCTCGTGGTGTGCGGTTCGCTCAATGAAATAGTGTAAAACGTAGATGACTTTTTGAGGAGAGACAAAATTGGATTGGATTGGAAATATACCTGTATTTTAAACAATATCGCAAGCTTTGATTTTGTGTTTTGTACAATAGATTAAATGATTCAAAATTTGAAAAGTTCACGTATGTGGGTTGATCGCTTAATTAAACCTTGTAACTCAATAAGAGCTTATTTGACTCAAGGCCAATTCTCTTGAAAGAGAATAAAGCTTTAAGGAAAAAAAAGAAAAATAAATAAAAATTAAATTTTAATATTTTCACATAATAGATTTTTGTATGCACCATAATATGGTGTTTTTTATATTTTGATTGAAATATTATTACCTGCATACTATTGTATCGCAAATTATTTTGTTAAATATTTAATAAATCCAATTAATAATTTTTGTAAGCATTTGTAAACATTTAATGAAATGACGATTGACGCTATATTGTTGTATCCAGGTTTCTTTGATTTAATAATCTCTAACGGTTTCAAGAGGTTACAACCCTAATGGGAAAAAGGGCATATTCCAATCTTGTTCAGAAAATACTATTAAAATGTCTTTTTATAAATATAATATAAAAAGCACATGTTTTTCTATTCTTAGAAACATTTTAGGTAGTGGTACAAAGGATTTTAGAATCTTAAATACTTGTTGATCGTAACTACAGTTCAACCGTTAAGTTTTTATTTTATATCTGATAACGCACCATACCCCAATAGAATGTTTTTTTTTAATTTTAGGATTCCAATTTGATTACTTCCATGATTAATTCAACTTTAAAATATGGCTATGAATATTTAGGAAATACAACTCGACTTGTTGTGACCCCATTGACAGATAGATGTTACAGGACATTATTTGGAGCACTCCACTTACATTTAGGTATTTTTATTAAACAATTAACAACTATAATTTAGTAAATATTAGCACAAAAAGCAGAGGTCCATATTATTATTTTAATTTTATACAAAAATGTAGGTAACCCAAGTACCTATGTTTTTAGTAAACTGGGAACAATTAAACATTTGTTTATTACCATACAAATAAAATAATTATTAATGTTTGATTTTTAGTCTGATTTTTAGATTATTGTGAATTTAAATCTGCATTTTATTAGACAAATAATAAATAATATATAAATTATTATATATATTATTATATTATTATATTTTATAAAAAATACAATAACAAATTTCCTAATTGTTTTAGGTGGTGCTCCTGAAGGACCTGCTGGCACTGGCAAAACTGAAACCACTAAAGACTTGGCTAAAGCAGTAGCTAAACAATGTGTGGTTTTTAACTGCTCGGATGGTTTGGATTATCTTGCTCTTGGTAAATTTTTTAAGGTTTGTACATACATGACATGCTTTTTATTTTATTAATATAAGAAATTCCAAATAATGCAGGAAATTATTTACCCTATACCCTGGGAATAGTGTTAATTAAGAGGAATTTTACTTTATTGGGTCAAAAAGGCAACATTTATTCCAAAAATTAGTGAAAAAAATAGGTCGAAACTCCTACAATTGTCAAAGTGGATGTAATTTAATATGCCTAAATTGGGAAAAGTGTATGAGGAGTATTTTGCAAGTTAATAAATAGATATACCACAATTGAGGATATGCTGAATTGTTTAAATTTTTTGAGTGTGAACTAGACCAAGACTTGTACTAAATATTATTATATTTGTTTTTAAAATGGTCCATAAACTATTGCCTAATTATTTGACAAACAAAATTGTGTATGTTAAAGATGTACACTCTTATAGTACTAGATCAAACTGTGATATATATGTTAAAACTGCAAAAAAACTAGTACTTATAAATCCCTATTTTATAATGGTTTAGTACTGTATAATTCTCTACCAATGCAAATAAAAGAAATAACCAGGAAAAAAAAAGGTTTAGAAGACAAGTTTGTGATTACATAAAAAGAACTTTCTAGTCAAATTGTGATATGTGATATAATTTATTATTGTTATGTGATATAATTTATTATTGTTATGTGATATAATTTATTATTGTTATACCTTTGTAGCAGATGTTTTGCTTATAAACCTACTTACTTACTTACTTACAAATTAAGAATGATTTTGATCTCAATTATAGACTAAGAGCTGGCGGCCGCGGAAGTACTAAGATCATACCACCGGCTGGAATTGTGTGAGGTAGTGGGCCACTACTAGTGGCGGAATCATTAGGATGTGTCAACTGCAAGGACTTTGGTAAGAACCCCTGCAAGGGACGTCAGTGGTCGGAAAAGGGGGAAAATGCTGGCTAAAATTAACGTTTTTTTGCAAACCAAAATACGGTATTCTATAAAGAACCTATTCGTGCACCAAATGCCAAAAAGATGTGGCTATGTTTTATCCATTTGTGCTTTGAGGAAGCGAATAAGGGCCTACCGTCATATATGAGCGAGATGTTTTGAAACGTCAAATTTTACGCTCTGTTAAAATTGCTGTAGATTTGGTTTAGTTAGTTCATTTAATTTGTATTATATTATAATACCTTTTGTACTAGACATAGCTATATTATATTGCAGTATAATCACGACAATTAACTGATTTTGGAGATTTTATGGTACGTTCCATAGGCGTAAATATACCAAATTATACAAAATCCTGTAAAAACAAATAGCTACGTGACCGATTTTAAAATATATATATTTTAAAAGTCAGAAATATGGACTGTTAAAAAATATATGTGGTTTATCGTTTATATATTTTTATTGTTGAAACTTTGGTCTAGGCGAACTGTGCGGCGCCGATTAGCAGTTAAACAGTAGTAAAAGAGTACTAAAACTTTGTATATATTTGTAAATAATAAACATTATAGTTGATAGTTGTGTACATTTTTTGAAATGTCATTAGAAAATTGTGTTAAATTCCTTTACATAAATAAAATAAAAATAAAGAAAACAAAATTTAATTTTAAAACTCTTAGAAGAAGTGACTATTTTTAATTGTTAATAATTTATTTTTATCATGGTTATGGTTTCTTTACCAAAAAATTATGAAAATTGCCTTGATTTTTTACCCAAAAAAGTAAAACTCCCCTTAAAAACGTATTTATACTAATATTCAGATTATTTGAGTTATTTTGAATTTTAATATGGTTTTATTTAAGGGACTTGCATCATGTGGCGCATGGTCTTGTTTTGATGAATTTAACCGAATAGATTTGGAGGTATTATCAGTTGTTGCTCAACAAATTTTGACAATTCAGCGAGGTATTAATTCAGGAAATGAAAAATTATTTTTCGAAGGAACGGAATTAAAACTGGATCATTCCTGTGCTGTGTTTATAACCATGAATCCTGGTTATGCAGGGCGATCTGAATTGCCAGATAATTTAAAGGCATTGTTTAGATCTGTTGCTATGATGGTACCGGATTATGCTTTAATATCTGAAATAGAACTTTACGCCTTTGGATTTTTAACCGCAAAGCCTTTATCTGTTAAAATAGTGGCTACATATAGACTTTGTTCAGAACAACTCTCATCTCAATGTCATTATGATTATGGTAAGTATATATTATAATTTTTAATTACATTATATTTACACAATAGTATTGTTAAAATTTTACTTATATGGGGCCTTCTACGCCAAATACACCACTTTTGAAATGTTTATGTTTTACTACCCAACTAAAAATTTGTTTCTTTTTTTCCTCTTTTTATTATTTAATTGTTGTTTAACACATAATTGATTGACCCGTAGGCCTTGTTACCCCACCATGGTAAAATAAGGCCAATTTGTAAATCTTTATTTAAGTTCGTTGGTAGTACAAAAAGGTTGTTATTTAAAAATAAAACTTAAATGATGAATTAATAATGAATAAAAAATGTTAATTATCCACAGTATTTTTCATTTTATTTTCTTTTCGCCTATTATCCTTATTACCCGCATTAAATCATAATTAAATAGAATATATAAAAACATGGTTTCACAAAAAGTTAAAAAATAACTTCTCAGAACCTCACCGCGAAAAATGTTTTAATTTACAATAATGTTTTTAGGAATGCGAGCTGTTAAATCTGTATTAAGGGCAGCTGGAACATTAAAATTAAGATATCCCAACGAAAAGGAAGATATACTGGTATTAAGATCCATAAAAGATGTAAATCTTGCGAAATTTCTGGTGTATGATGTACCGCTATTTCAGGTAAGTTTGTTGAAATTTAATTTTACCAAAAAGGTAAAGGGTGCTACGGTAGCACTGCTACCGCTCATTCGCGGTGATCTCTAAATTATTATATAAAATGTAATCAATTTTTTGCCTCTAATAAAATAGAATGTAAAATAAATGTTTTACAAACAATTGATAAAATTATATACAAGGCCAACGCATATTTGCTCCAATTACGTTTAAAAACTGTTTATTTTTATTTTAGGGTATTACTTCAGATTTATTTCCTGGAGTAGTTTTACCAGAACCAGATTATGTTATTTTAAATAACGCAGTTAACGATACATGTAAGGCTAACAATATACAAAATACACCATTTTTCTTAGAAAAAACACAACAACTGTATGAAATGATAGTTGTGAGACATGGTCTGATGATTGTTGGATTTCCATTTTCTGGAAAAACTACCTGCTATAGAATGCTAGCTGATGCTCTTGGATTAGTAGAAGAAAGGGTATGTAATTATGTATTTTAAGAAAATATATTTGGATTATTATTTATATTACAATAACAATAATAACAATTTTATGAGGTCCTTCGAATTCAGTGGTGTACAAAAAGATGTCGTGCGAACGCGACTAAAAAAACATTCACGTAAGGTGGAAAGATTTACATATTGCTTTTTACTCTCGCCTACGTTCCGGTATTATAATTAATTTAAAGCATATTTATATATGATATGTTTAAAAAAATATTACTGATAAAAGGTGCTTGCTTTGGAGGAGAATTTATTTAAAACAGCGGAGACAAAATAATTAATGAATTTAAAGTTTTAACACGTAGCCATAAAATTTTAAATAAATTAAGGGAATTTGCCGAGAATGATTCAGGGTGGGCTTTGCATCAAACTTTAAATTTAGATATTAATATTATTAAATACGAGGTGGGCAACGTTTCGTCATTCATTAAACTGCATGAACAGATAGCGAGAAAGCACGCTTGTGTTAATGCCAAAAATATGGATAATGCCTGTTTTGAATAGTCGGTAGTTTCAGCTGTACAACCTGTAGATGTTAAAAATCACCTAAATGGAACTTCCTCATATCCGTACATAAGGACGCTTTTAATTTTGCGAACCATTATTAGATGTGACCCCTTTTGGCAGCAAAACACTGTCTTTTGCAAAATTAGGAGTTTGAACTGTTTTGTTGGCTACAAAAGGTTATGTAAATAATATAAAGAAATAAATAAATAAATAAACAAATATGACAATCGCATTGAAAATGGGTATTGGATCTTGTCACTTTTTGAGGGGCCACAATTCCAAAAAATTTGGCAGTTTTTTGGCATTCCATTTTTTACGTAATATATTTTTGTTTTAGTTACACAGAGCAAGTGGTAAACAATTATTGTAAACATCATAATCGTAATTTTTTTAAGTTTACCCTATCTTTATCTTAGTTAGATACTTTAGTTTTTCTGAAACACAGTAAGCAAATCTTTATTCGATTTCCATCTTGAGCCCCTGCGTGGTCTTTGGAAATCTGACTTTGTGTACGCAATTTCTAATGAAGTACCTACTTAAGAAAATGATACAGTTTAAATGTTGGAAAAAAACTGACAGCGTCATTTAAAAAAATATAAAACATTTGTTAATTTTTACGTGAGCCACCAAATAATCAAATCTCGTGCCAAGCCTTACCGCTTGGAGGCGCCAGTCTGCTTGTATATTTGGTTACAATACCTTTAATATAAAGTGTAGCTATAATGACGTACAAAAGATATTGCCGGCGATCCTGCTGCCCCTATACATCACCTGTTATTTTTGACACCTGGGCCATTCCACGCGTAACTGATAGGACAGTTGCCGTGTTTTTATTTACAAAATAATATTGTTTTATTGACCAATGTCAAATTTTTATAAATAGTTCTAAACTAAAGCTGTTTAACAAGGTTTTTATTTGGACAAAATTAGGTATCGTGGTTGACTGTTTAATTCCTTAAAAACTAATAATTTAAAGCGTAACGGGCGGGACTATTACAAAGCCAAATAAAAACCTTGTTAAACAGCTTTTGTTTAGAACTATTTATAAAAATTTGACATTGGTAATATAATAGAACAATATTATTTTGTAAATAAAAACACGGCAACTGTCCTATCCCTTATGCGTGGAATGGCCCACCTGCCATTTTTGAAACCTCTCATTTTTGATACCTGTCATTTTGACATAACCTTGATCCTGATGAGAACCGCTACCTACTCTTTATGAGTCATAATTTTGCATTTCGCAATATTTTGTAATATTTTACAAGGCTGTGCACAATTTTAGGAGCCAGATTGGTGGTATTCATACCAAATCCAGGAAAAACCTCATATGACACACCAAAATCCTTCCGACCAATCTGCCGAACATTATTTTTTCTGAAGACAAAAGTCTGATAGAACAGCGGAAATAGGTACTGCACAGACCTCTACCCCAAAACCAATTTGTCTACCAAACAGGCAAAATCTGCGAATTAATAAGAGGGCTGAGTAACCTTTAGACAATAAAGAGGTGGCACTTGGAGCATTCCTGGATACAACTCAAGAAATTGACCCGTAAGAAATCGCAACGTAAAACCTCTGGTTGGTCACCAACCAGAGCTTTTACGTTGATACAAGATTCCACAGCAGGGGTAAGAAAACGCCCCCTTGCCCCTTTACACTAGTGTACTTTGGCTCTAACCGTTGAGTTGTTGAAAGTTCTGGCTCGTCGATGAGTCAGCATCTGTTTGATCCATTCACTAACCGGTAGGGGCACAATGCAAGGGGGCGTGTGCAATTAGACAGTTTGCTGACACGATTGGAAAACGAGGAAATATACGCGACAGGATATGCGGACAACATTGTACTTGTAATCAGAGGCAGGAACTTGTTTACCAAAATAGCAATAAACACTATTGAAAACGGGTGCAATGAGGGACTTAAGGTAAGCCATTCAGCAGCTAGGACTGGTGTTACATACGGGGGTTGTGCAATTTCCTGTAATTTGTCGATTCTGCTGAAGCTGACGTGCTCACCGCTAAAATTGATCTGGATTTCCCAGAAATGTGCTGCAGGAACGTGGGTATTATATAATCTTTATTGATTTTGTTATTGGTTGGGTATCGCATCTTCCTTAACAGGGCCGAAGGTTTTTGTTACCAAGTTGTAAATTATTTACGAGCTGCCTTTCTTTGCTTTCTACAAACTCGTGAATTAGCAGCTTTCTAAGGCCGCGAATATGTTGGAGCTGTATTAAACGATAAGAGCTTCGTCGCTATTTTTACTAGCGATGCAACGTTATTTAAAACACCTTGCATTGCTAGTAAAGATAGCGACGACGTTCTTATCGTTTATCACAGCTCCAACATTTTCGGGGTACCACAAGTTGTGTTTTATACATTAAAATTAGTTAATTAAATAACCCTTTTAACATATTTAGTGTACTTTTTAAAATTTTTAATATCAATATTTTAGGGAGGCATGGATGAACATCGAGCAATTTATACAGTAATGAATCCAAAATCAATAACGATGGGACAATTATATGGGCAATTTGATGCAGTTTCGCACGAATGGTCCGATGGTGTTTTAGCTGTCAGTTTTAGACAATTTGCCATGTCTCAAACAGATGATAGGTTTGTATTTAAAAATTATATTTTATTATTTTAAAACCATAAAAAACAACCAATTTTTAACGTCGCACATAGGCCAATTTTTTATCTAATGATTTCTATGACGCGATAAACCCCAACGGCAAAGTACAAAAGACATAAAATAAAATTATTAGTTACAATTAATTTCAATTCTGTTTTTTAATTTAACTAGCTAAATAACAAATATAATATACTAGTTTTTTATTATTATTTTTAGGAAATGGCTGATTTTTGATGGACCTGTTGATGCCGTTTGGATTGAAAATATGAACACAGTTCTTGACGATAACAAAAAATTATGTTTAATGTCCGGTGAAATAATACAGCTTTCAAATAGTACAAACTTAATTTTCGAACCAATGGACTTGGATGTAGCTTCCCCGGCCACAGTGTCCAGATGTGGAATGATTTATATGGAACCTTCGTCTCTTGGTTGGGAGCCTTTGCTACTATCATGGCTAAATAAATTACCACCTTCAATAAACACTGATTTTTATAAAAATATGATGTTTAGTTTATTTGTTAGATTTTGTATTCCCATTTTATGGCTTTTACGTAAAGGTGGGGTCAAGGTAATATTCATAAAATTATATAATTTATGTATATAAAAAAACAAAACACGTTAATGAACTAAGCTGTTTTATATCACCATTGATATCAGATTTAAAATATAATTACGCTTTACTACAAAACTATAATTTAAAAAAAATATTGGAATTACACCCATAAATTTATACATATTTATACTTTAGGAGCATTTTATTTTAATATTTAAATTTTAGCCTTTTTGGACAATTTTTTTTTGTTTGCTTAGCGGCTTGCAGAACCTCTTAAAGATTATTTTAAATCTTATAAATTTTGTTAACTAAAATTTTGTATTAGTATTTTACTAAAACACACTTTAATTGTTGGGAATCTCTTGCGCATACTATCATCTGGACCCGATGTCCAGTTTTGGCCCGAACATAGATAGTCCCACCGTTCGGATAAAGTTATATTGATAAGTTGGCATGTTCCTTATTAAAGTTCCTTGTTAAAGTATTAGGGTTAAAATCGATAACCCTAATACCTACTTAGTACAGGGTCCGGCAACAGAATGAACGGTTTTAAAAATGCTGCTATGGAAATACTCTTGATTTGATATATGTCAAATAGTGACAGACTTGTACCTTATTGCAGAAAGTTTCGTGGCTGCTATGGAAATACTACATATTGATTTAATATATGTCAAATAGTGACAGACTTGTTCCTTATTGCCGAAAGTTTCGTGTACAATGGCAATTAAAAATTGTGTGCAGAAATTGATTCGATTGACTTTATCAATGGGATTTACCTTCTGGACTGGAATGTATAGAGCAATCGAGTGCCGCTCAAACGCTTCTCTGACTCTTCCAATATTTTCTTGTGTACAAACTGTACGAGTTCCAGCGAAAAATTTTGATTTTACACTGCCTCTTTCGTTAAAAACTCTTACCCATCTCAAAATGGCATTTTTTTATGGGACTTCAGCTCGCACTGGAAAATTATATTCACGACGAAAGCGTCTCTGCGTTTGTACGAAGGACTGGGTCAGGGTAAAGAATTTACAGCAAAGATCCGTTGATTAACCGGCCAGTTTGACATTGCACACGAAACCTTCGGCAATAAGGTATAAGTCTGTCATTATTTGACAGTATACCAAATCAATAGTATTTCCATAGCAGCCTTTTCAAAACCGTTCAATTCTGATGCCGGACCCTGTATAAAAGATTTTCACTCAACTGATTAATTAATATGACCTTATCGTTATATTCAAATGTGCCTTGCAGAGCAGTGCATCTTCATTGTAGTTTAATAGATAATTTTTATTTTAATTATAAAAATTGGCAATTTTAAAATCTCAATTTACTCTGAAACTAAAATATTTATGCGATAATTGGCAGACAATTAAATTTACTAACAAATTGTTTTTACTTTCGTAGTTTAAATTTTAAGTGCCATTGGCGAGCCTAAGGTGTTTACCAAAGTTGTTTTGCTTATTTAATAAAAATGCTCTTTGTAAAATGAAACTGTGTTTAAAAAAATACAAATTTAAATATTAAAAAATAATTTTAAACCTGGATTTTTTTTTTTAAATAATATTTAAATTAAATAATTATTTTAATTATATTATTAATATACAAAACATTTACTTACTATTGTTATAGGAAATTGCAACAACATCCAATCACAACCTAGTTCGAGCCACAATGAATATGTTTGATTGTTTTATGGACGATTTTTATGATGAAAAGTATAAGGAACAGGTTTCAGATTTGGATGTAAGAGCACAACTGGAAGGATCATTTTTCTTTTCGTGTATTTGGTCTATGGGCGGAACATTAGATATAAAAAGTAGAGCAAAATTTAACCTTTTGTTCAGAGGCCTCCTTGATAGAGAGTTTCCTGAAAAAACCAAAGGTGCTCTTGGTATACCATTTGACATTGCAAAACCTGAAAAGCCTTATATATTTAGCATGCCGGTTGGAGAAACCGTATTTGAATATAAATTTTTTAAAGAGGTTCGTTTACAACTTTTTTATTTTTACTATAATATTTTAACATTAGTAGTAAAGATAAAAGAAAGTCCATTCTTAATAAGCAATGTTGGTGATAAATATTTTTAAGATAGCTTAGGGGTCGCGCACTTATACATCAGGCTTTTTTGTCACACAATAGTGTGGTCCACAACACACAAAAAATTGTTGAATCTTGCGTCCACATAAATATTTTTAAGATAGCTTAGGGGTCGCGCACTTATACATCAGGCTTTTTTGTCACACAATAGTGTGGTCCACAACACACAAAAAATTGTTGAATCTTGCGTCCACATAAGTATTTTTTGTATGTAATTATGTAATAATATTCGTATCAAATTTGATCCCTCTAGGTTACCATTTACTGGTCGCCCAGAAGAAATTATTATTAATATTAATAATAATAATAATAATAATGGTCTTTATTTTCTAATTACTACATACATACAAGATATTTATAATTATAAAACACAGATGAATAAATCCTAAATGTACATATCTAAAAAGAAAAATGCCGAAGATCAGTATCGAGTACAAAAGTGTACTCTTACTGACCGACAAAGTTTCCCTGGTTTAGGTCCCCTGCATTATAGGCGTCAGAGGAAATGAAAAGCCAGACCGGTTTGCCGTAAGAGCCACACAAAGGGAGTCTGAAACCGGAGAACCAGCGATATACATCAAAAGGGTGTATTGATAGCTGGACCAGAAAGGAACATACCAAGTTCTAGACCGAGTACTGGGGCAAGTGCAAAAGTTTATGTACTACAGGACCCTTGCAACATATTTTTGGTTTTGCCAATTGGCCCCCTTTCGGAGATACAGCCCCCCATAAGAATAGTCTTTTTCTTATATCTCAGAACCCTGTTGTACGAGAATCTATAAATTTGGTATTCAGGGATTTTTTGATGTGTGAAATCTGATAGTGTTAAGGTTTTTGGCTGGCCTTAACTATTGAGCTATTTTAGTTTAATTTTAGGGAAAAGGAAAATGGAAACTCTGGTCAGACGAATTAATCAACGTTGCTCCAATTCCAAGAGATATTCCAGTAAATCAAATAATTGTTACTACATTAGAAACCATTCGAAATATAGCTTTAATGTCATACTTGGTCAAACACCAAAAACCAATGATGATTATTGGGCCTACAGGTACAGGAAAGTCTGTCTATGTAGTTGTAAGTATAAATTAAAGGTATATTATTATTATTTTATTTATTTATTTATTTACACTATAGTATAGCTAGCAAAACAGTTCTTCAGAATTGGTACCGCCAAGTCTATGTTAATTTGAGTTAATTCTTCCATTATTCTATTCCATTATTTTATCGTTTTTTTAATTAGCATTTATACCTTTCCATTTTATATATACATATAAATACAGTGTGTCCACGGATGGACTTAAATACAGGATGTTTCTTTTAACTTGAGACAGCTCAATATCTCGAGAAATACGCATTTTACGGAAAAATGTCTTAAATAAAATGTTAATGTGATCAAAGGGGACATTTGGTGCTATCGCTAGCCACCCCCTACCCCTCCTAAAGGGTGAATCGGGGGGTAACTTTGGAAAGTCAAATGGGATGACCCGATTTTTTTACAGATTTTGGTGTACACAAATAAATGAATAACTTTTGTTTGAAACTTTTTTCAATTTATCAACAGATGGCGTTGTAATTTAAAATTAAAGAAAAATGGGTTTTCTTGTAAAATGTATTATTTGAAACGTTTGAAAAACAAAAATTAACATTAAATCAACAATAGTCGGCTCTGAAAACAATAACAAATGTTCGAAATGTCTTCCTTCCATTTCGACACATTTTTGAATGCGGGTAATGAATTCTGGCACACAACGCGCCAACATGTCAGGCGTTCCTGATTCGCTCCACCATGTCCTTCCGAGTTGTAGGAATTGCAGCGTAAACTTTTTCTTTCAAGTAACCCCACAGGAAGAAGTCTGGTGGCGTAAGATTAGGTGATCGAGCAGGCCAACTTACTGGACCACGTCTACCGATCCACTCACAGAACAAGATCCACTGGTCATTGAACTCCCGATCCAACACCTCTCGAGCAATTGCCGAATAATGCGCAGGACAACTATCATGACATTTCGAACATGTTAATTGTTTTCAGAGCCGACTATTGTTGATTTAATGTTAATTTTTGTTTTTTAAACGTTTCAAATAATACATTTTACAAGGAAACCCATTTTTCTTAAATCTGTGAAAAAAATGTGGTCATCCCATTTAACTTTCCAAAGTTACCCCTTGTTTCACCCTTAAGGAGGGGTAGGGGTGGCTAGCGGTAGCACCAAATAATGTCCCCTTCGGTCACATTAACCTTTTATTCAAGACATTTTTCCGTGAAATGCGTATTTCTCGAGATATTGAGCTGTCTCAAGTTAAAAGAAACACCCTGTAGTTACTTTTTTTCGAAAAATTGAAAATAAATAATTTTAAGTATAGTCCATCCGTGGACACACTGTATATACATGCCCTTGATAACAATTGAGGAGCATCCATGCAAAACCGACTAAATCCATTTTATTCAGTTTTTGTTTTTTTTATTTCGCATCTTTGGGTTCATTTCTATCGACAACCAAGATAATTCTGTTCAAATCCAACTATATCCATGTTAAAATCAAATTTAAAAGGTAGCTTTAGGAGCAAAACCGGCCAAATCCACGTTTTTATAGCAAACCCGGCTATATCTAATAAATAATAATGATGATGAGCATGTGGCTTGGATATGTCGATACTACTACTAAAATTTGTTCATTTTTGCACTAAATTTATTTTGTTACTATTTTTGAATAATAATGTTTGTTTTTCACATTTTATTAGTTTTTTATTCGGTTTTTGAGCAAAACCGGCTATATACAAAACATTTTTTGAAATTTTGGCCTTAATATAAAGTTTTTGAAAACGAAACTGTGTCTTATAAATCAAGTACTACAAAGCCCACAAAACTCAAGTTTGTAAAGGCCAGAAAACCGTCAGTTTTTGCCATTTTCCCAACATTTTATTAAAGTGGATATAGCCGGTTTTGCACGGATGCTCCTCAATTATTGTACTTGCTAAAAAACTAAGTAATCATATTTTATGCTTTCAGGACTTTTTATTAAAAAAGAATGATACATCGACCTATGTACCTTTGTTTATAAACTTTTCTGCACAAACTACAGCCAACCAAACTCAAGATATAATTATGTCAAAGCTGGATAAAAGAAGAAAAGGTGAATTATACTTTTTGAAATAATTATCATGTATTTTATATTATACTGTATTTTATACACATAGTGTCCCAAGTACCAAAAACCTTGTAACTTGACAAATTCGAAAAAAGTTTTGTTTTAGTGCATTTTATAAATTTTCAAAATTAAGCATAATATTTCACTTGTGAATTGTTATAACAATGTATTGTTTAAGGTACTGTATTAATAAGTGGTAATTCCAAAAATTACAGTGGTAATTTACTTTAAGTTTATTGAATCAATCAAAAATACCAACTAGCAACTACCGTGTGCCTATAGGTAAGCTATAGCTTACCGGAAAGATCCTTTTTTAACTTGAGCTTTTTGGTATTGATTTACTTGTCACTTATTTGCTCGATTTATTCTGAAATAAAATCAAAATGTATCTTTTAGTAAATTACCCAATTAAATATACCTCTAGAAAAGTCACAAAATACCATTTCAAAGTGAATAAGATTATTGAATGATAGAGTAAGCAAGTAAAACTAAGTCTTTATTAAATAATGTTGGGTTTGTATATAACAAATTGACAATATTTTACAAGTTAATAAGAATTAAAATAAATTAATAAACAAGGATTAATATTATAACAGTAGCGTACTAGAAAAACCATGTGGTGTATATTCTGCTTTATTGTGTACGCTACTGTAAGTTGAAATTGATTATTAAGCAGGTCGTCATACTCGTGGCTGTTTGCTTTATTTTACGATTCGACCTACTCTCAATATACATTTCACGGCTTTTTCAAGGGTAAGGATTTATATGCAAAGGCATGTGCATTAGGGTGGGCCGAAAAACGTAAAATAAAAAATATTTGAGATATTTATTTTTGGGTAGCAATAAAAAGTTACCTTATGTTAAAAGTAATTTATTAGAAAAAAATGTAGCGTACTAGCCCATTATTTAAGGGTCCCCCGGGGGTGCAAAATATTTTTTTTTGTATGTTTTGACTGGGTTGGGAACAAAAAGTTACCTTATGTTAACAGTAATTCTAGAAAAAAAAATGAGCGTACTAGCCCAAAATTTAAGGGTGCCCCGGAGGCCCAAAATATATTTTTTTTTCAAGCGGCCATGATATACAACCTTATATGCATGTATAGAGATAGTTGAAGTGCGTCTTTTTCATTAGCGGCAGACAAAAAACTCAAAAAAGCCTAGGGATAGAAGTAAATCCATAGGTGACTCAATAGACGTCAAATAATAAAATTAATTTAGCATTTCATACTAAGCAATCACGATGTATTAATTAAATTAATTATAATCGCACGGAATATTTAGTGATTATTTATTAAATTTTAATTGAACGAAATAAAGAACAACTAGTTTATTAGTATAATATTATGATGATAGACGAGTCGCCAATGTCGGAATTTCAAACAAATGTCAGTACGTCAAAATTAATTCAAGCGCAGCATTTTGACAGAGCTGTGTTTATTTTTAGTTTAGGATATTTATCGGCATTGTAAGTAAGGGTTATAAGTTTTTTAGTTTTTATCAATAATTTCTAATGCTTTTAGCCAAAATTTTATCCCACATGATTTAATTGAAGAGCTGCAGTGCGTGTAATTGTACATTTAATGTAAATTTTGCTTATTATATTTATATTACGCCCTTGAAAAAAAAATAGTATATGTTATTTGGAGTAGAAGCTCTTTTTGTGCTTCGTACAGTTGCCTGCCTCAGCTACGCTTCGGCCGTCAATCTCTGTACTCACCACAAAAAGAGTCACTTCTACTCCTTATGACATAATCTACTATTTTGTTCATATTTTAATTGGGGTAACCACAAAAAGTAACCTCATTTTAACAGTATGTTTAGAAAAAAATAGCCATTTTAGCCCAATATTTAAGGGTGCCCTGGGGGGCCCAAATTTTTTTATATATATTTTAATTGAGATGGCAACAAAAAGTTATCCCATGTATTATTGCAATGAAATCACTATATTAATTTAAGTATGTTCTAAATTCTAACACCAAGTGCAAAATTGTTTCAACATTAATATACACCCTATTATAGACTATTGCATGCCAGTCTACTACTCATATCATACTGAAACATTTAAAAATAAACTCATGTATTAGATTCATATATTTAGTCGGAAAATTTGACCCCATTACTTCAATCTATTTGGAAAACAAGCATTTAAAAATAATTGATCCTTACAAGCATAATTTTGGAAAATTAGTGCAGAAAATAAATACCTAATAATTGCTCTATTCAAAGATCCAATAAACACAATCTTGATTTAAGACACAATCTTTTTCAAATACCTATAGTCACAAAACTTCAAAATCTAAGGATTCGTTTATAGACCTATAGGTATAGGTATACCTATAGAACTTTTGAACGATAAAACATTCTTTAACATAATATTTAAATATCCAAACACATTTAATTTAGAGTACAAAAATTTGTTATTAACTGGTGTGATATGATTCATATGAAATTATAGGATTTAGTTTAATTAATATGTGATATGCAGAATAAAATAGATTTAATTTCTTAGTAGGTGGTATGGAAGAACGTCCTTACGAACGCAGCCTTTTGTGTAATTAATTTTGTGTTTTACGCAATAAAGCATTTTTATTATTATTATTATTATTAATTAATTGGATATTTGCTCCTCGAGTTCCATCCGCTCCCTCCCACCCAGTTTTTTTTATTATTTAAATAATATTGAGACTTGTTGTCATATAGGCCGGTAAAGATGTCCGCGCATCTATATATATGGTTATAACCATTTCTTGCTACCTCACAGCAAATTTTTAATGCAGCTTCTGTTACAAGCTTCACAAACTTTTTCACCGCTTGCGTGTGAAAGGGAAACTTGCCGAACCTTATATAGAAGTCTTCTGCTTGACTTATAAATATTTTTAGTTCTTTTATTTTAAAAAAACATTTCCAAATCTATAAACCGCCAAATTTTTTACGTCAAACTCTAATATTGGACATTTTTTTGTAAACATATTGTTAACATAAGGTAACTTTTTGTGGCTACCCCAATTAATATTTAAAAAAAATGTTGGGCCCCAGGGGCACCCTTAAATATTGGGCTAGTACGCTTATTTTTTTCCTACAATTATTGTCAACATAATGTAACTTTTTGTTGCCACCCCAAACAAAATATAAAAAAATAATATTTTGGGCCCCCAGGGGGACCCTTAAATATTGGGCTAGTATGCTAAATTTTTTTTTACAAACTACCTTTGGCATAAGGAATACCCCTAAATTGAATTCAAAAAATAATTTTTTCGGCCCACCCTAATGTGCATTAGGGTGGATCGAAAAATTTCAAAGTATTTCAAAGCTATGGCCACACCGGTGTTTAAACGTTAGTAATAGTATAAATATCACCACTTTTAAACCATATCTTCCGATCGCGCAAAGCGTCTAAATATTTGCAATTTTTTTTTCCGTAAGTTTACATATACAAATGTGCAGCTCTTTGCTTGCATCGAAATAATTTAATTAATTTTAATTTATTATTTTTTTTTGTATATCTAAACAACCCAGAACTCACCACGAGGAGGTGGCTACACTTCGAGTTCCACCCAACCCTTCCCTCCCTCCAACCATTAAGAGTGTGTGCCGATTTATTCCGACCTTTCCAATGTCACTTTGTAATCTGCCTTATAAGGTATACTGCTGAATTCGTTAATTGCCTCTCTCGATTTGAGTGTTGCCTCCACAGACCTACAAACAAAATGGACGGGCTTTCCCATTCAAAATACACAATGTTTTGTTGCCAAGAACGATTTAGATTAGGGGTAAAGGAGTAAGGGGAGGGGTGTTTATAAACAAGTTCCCACACCAGTGGCGTTCTGTTTTTGGGATCATAATTTCCAAGTCTTTTACAAACGTAGCACTGCTTCACCATTTTTATATCACTCACTATTGGTATTTTTCACTATAAAATCAAATAAAAAATATTAAATAAGTTGTGGATTCCAAGTATCTTTTACGTAAAATATAAATACTTCAAAGCAAATAAAGTCAGATGTGACAACTGAGGGAAAATATTTATTTTTGTTCCTTTCCACTCTTTTCAATGTAAATAAACCGGTCCATTTGTTTGTTGGTCTGTGGTTGCCTCTAATGTATTCATCCCTTGATTACGGCTTTAAGCTTAATTTTCATGTATCCGTTTGTCCGTCAGTCCGTTTATCCGGGAGCGCTCTTATTGGTCCAATTATAATTCAAAAATTATGACATTTTTTCCGTCCGTCAAGTTTTAACTTCGTACGTCTGACGGAGAAATTTAAAATAATTTTAACTAATCTGTCACTACACATCTGTTTTTGACGCCTAACGTTATTTTAAGATACTGTATTTTCAAATCTTTTAATAAGATTGTAAAACGGAAATATAACGTTCGTTATGTGAATAATGTTCTACTTTTATGTTTTTATTTAATAATAATAACAGAAAAAAAGAAAAGACAAACAATAAAATATTAAAACCAGAACTAAAAGGGCCTGCTTTTTTAAAACTATACATTTTAATGTAAATTAAGGCTAGTATATTCTTTTTATATGGTATATTTACCTACCTTTAAATTTATTAGACAGCTAACTGATAAAGTTACAATTGTTGACATAATTGTAACTATGACAATTAAGCATTAGGTAAATTTAGTAAAGTGAATATACTGACCCTTAATTTCTATTTGTCGCCAAATCAATCCGTTAAACGTCATTAAAAAACGGATGCATGAAAATTAGAACATTTCTTATCGGACGATTTTATTGAAAAACGTACAAACGTATAACGGACAAACGGATACATGAAAATTAAGCTTTACACAACCAGGCGCAGACAGGCAGCCTGTTTCTATCTTATAAGACCTTATCAGTGCCGAATAGCTGTGGTGTGTACTGAAAACACGCTTACATGGCCTTATATAGGCAAACAAGTAAAGCGACAGCAGTAAGATGTAATCAGCCAGCGTCTACTTATTTATTTTGATTTGTTAGCATTTTTTTCATTTTTTTAAGGTGTATTTGGTCCTCCAGTGGGAAAAAAGTGTGTTATATTTGTGGACGATGTTAATATGCCTGTCAAAGAAACATATGGAGCACAACCCCCAATTGAATTATTAAGGCAATGGTTTGATCACGAAATGTGGTATGACCGAAAAGAAATTGTCCCTATGAAACTCATAGATATACAGGTTGGTTTAATTAATTTAGGTAACGGTTTTGAATTCATAATTTTAATGAACTGATTATGCACGGTGTAACATATAAGTTGAAAAGAATGAAAAGGTGCATTCCAAATTAAAAAAATAATAAACTTATTATTCGTATAAAGTTATGGTCTACAGGTTTTCGTTTTTAAGTTAGAGGGAATTAAAAAATAATAATTTTTGTTTAACTACTTTCGAACACAGATCAGAAAGAGAAATCTTTTCAATTGCTTTATTTGATAATAAATAAATAAAAATATGTTTTGTTTATTTTTAGAATTTGCAAAATTTTTTGCGTTTCCTTTGCATCTATTTTCGTTTTCCTGTAATTAAATCTTTTTTTTATAATATATATATATTGTAGTGTTAAAAAAATTAAAATTTTAATTTAATTCAATTAATTTTAAACACCATGTAACTTGGCTCTAGCCAAGGCTGCATATAGAAGTGAGGTATTAATTATGTTTTCTACGCAATGTTGAACGAACTATTTTTTAAGCGTTTAATCATTCTTAGACCAGTGCAGAAGCCTTTAAAAATGGTAAAAAGAGAAAAAAAATAACAGTAGGATGAAACCCATTGGAAAAGGAGGGGAATATAATAAAAATTAAAGGAAAAATAAATTACGGGCGATCTGAGTTCGGGAAGTGGGAGGGGGGGGTTTAAGGGTAAAAAATGGTTTTTCTCGATTTCCGGCAAAACTACAAGTCCTATGGAAAAAAGTTAAATGTCAAAGTTGTAGGTAATAAAAAGATCTACAACTTTTGTATTTACAATTTTTTCACATAACCTCGAAATTTATGTGAAAAATTCTTTTTCAAAAAAATTTTTTTTTTCACGAAATTTGGTGAAAACTTACCTTTTTATGTCCCAAATACACTGTAATTTATTTGATTTGAAATATTTATTATTTCGCCTTATTTTGACTTAATATCAAAAAAGCACCCTAATTTTCAATCGAAAATTCTTGCGTCAAAATATCAGCTTTTTTCAAAAAGTCGGTGTGCTTTTTGTTCGATGAACTCTCTACTTTCTGATGGTGTAAAAAAAACTATACATTACTATGGTAAATGTTCTCAGAAAATGCAAAACATATTATAATGAATAACGTAATCAGAATGAAGTATCTAAATTCAATAGTATGATTTACATGTATTTTTATATTTTATGAGATTTTCTGACATAAATGTTATTAGAATTTAATAAATAAACTTTTTAACTAAAAAAAATTGCAACAATCACATTTTTTTGATGAAATTGTACATAATGATTAAAATAAATTTTCGAATTCGAGTTTTTTTCGTTATTCATTATAATATTTTTTGCATTTTCTAGAACATTTACCATAGTAATGTATATTTTTTTACACCATCAGAAAGTAGAGATTTCAACGAACAAAAAGCACACCGACTTTTTGAAAAAAGCTGATATTTTGACGCGAGAATTTTCGATTGAAAATTAGGGTGCTTTTTTGATATTAAGTCAAAATAAGGCGAAATAATAAATATTTCAAATCAAATAAATTACAGTGTATTTGGGACATAAAAAGGTAAGTTTTCACCAAATTTCGTGGAAAAAATTTTTTTTTTTAAAAAGATAAAAATAAAAAACCAAAAACTTGGTTTTTTGAATTTTTCACATAAATTTTGAGGTTATGTAAAAAAATTGTAATTACAAAAGTTGTAGATCCTTTTATTACCTACAACTTTGCCGTTTAACTTTTTTACATAGGACTTGTAGTTTTGCCGGAAATCCCACTTCCCGAAGTCAGATCGCCCGTAATTTATTTTTCCTTTCATTTTTATTATATTCTTCTCCTTTTCCAATGGGTTTCATCCTACTGTTATTTTTTTTGGTTTCAAAAATTATCGACCCTGGTCTATCTGTACTCACATTGGTTATGTGTATATTATAGGTTATTCCACACTGGCCTGCAATTTAACAGAACTGTAACTTTACCTACAGTGATTTCGAGATAAATAATTGGACTTTTAAACTAGGTACAAATATATGAAGTCTTTCTATATAGGCTTGTGAGATTTTAAAATTGTATCTGATATTTTGAATACCACTCGAGAGTTCAAAACAGGCTGCTATTTAAAATGTTAAGGGTTGAAATTTGTGGGGTGGAACTTTTGTTTACACATGACTAAAAATATAGTTTTTACACTTTTATCTTTTATCTTATATGACTAAGAGTTTGGGAAACTGTATGATGCAGGCTATTATTCAAAATTCTGTTAACCTTACTTTTTCCCAATTTAAAACCCGATTGGTTCAAATAACAGTGAATATTAAAATCAGTCAATCACTGATGTCTAGCAACGTGAATAATGAGTTCAATATTCCCGTTGTTGGGCCGGGCGGTTATATTGGTTACCATTATTTACGAAAAAATCCAAATAATGTCAATAATATGAAAAAGAAGCTGAAAAAGTAATTATTTGTTTAAATTATTAAACCTTTTTGCTACATAATAAAAATTATCTTTTGTCCTTTATCTTAAAATTGGAGTTAGGCGGTTTTCTTCTTTAGGCGACGATATTTTGTTTTCGTTTTAAAACAAATTAAAGGCATTTAAAATGGTACTTTATATAAAAGATAAACGATTTTTATGGTTTTTATAATAGGAAATATAAATTGTTTTTTTTAGTTCATGTGTGCTATGTGCCCCCCAGGTGGAGGAGGAAATACAGTTACCCAAAGATTCTCAAGACATTTTAATCATGTGTGTATAGATGAATTTCAAGAGGATGTGCTTGTTAATATATTTAGTAAAATTATGTTATGGCATTTGGATACACGGTAAAATAATAATAAAATTGTTTTAAAATATTAGTAGATTGTCATTGTCCTCCTATAGGAGGAGAAAATATTTTTTGTGTTTAGTTCAAAGCTTTTTTCTCGAAATAAAATAATATTTTATCTTCTAACAAAAACTAAAAAATAAACTTAATATGAATGATGAATGTACCTAATGTTATTGATTTTATATTGTTAGAAGGTAAAAATAATTAATTAAATTAAACCTAATGGTAGTTGGTTAAACAGTTTTTTTTTAAATCATTTTATGTATTTTAGGGGATTTTCTAAAGATTTTGACCCATGTATAGAAGAAATAGTTTCTGCAACATTGGATATATATCAGCAAGCTAGAATTAATTTACTACCGACTCCAGCTAAATCACATTATTTATTTAATTTAAGGGATTTTTCGAGAGTAATACAGGTAAATTTAGATAATAAATTAAAATTAATTTAAAAATACCATTAAAAAATATTTTGGGCCCATTTAAGAACTTATTCTAAGTAACAACATAAAAATGTTATTAAAAATTATTTTTTATTTTTTTAAATAACAAAAGGTAAATTATTAATTAAACAAGTATTTAGAAAACCAAAAAAAAAGGTTTCCACATTTAAATATTAAAAAAATTGCAACACTCGGAAACAAAGAGTTTTTAAAAATTAATTAATAGGCAATTTTTTCTCATTGTATTTCTATTATGATATTTGCATTACCTTTTCTCTGGTACACTGCCCTACTATAGAGAAAGACAGTAACTGCAAAAAAATGCAAAATGCGTTTTTTGTGCTATGGTAAAGCTATGTACAGGGTGGTCCACGTAAGGTGACCCATATACTTATCTCAGAAACTACTGGAGTCACAAAAAATTTGCAAGGAACAAATATTCACGAAGTAAAAAATATTTTTAAAATATTATATTTTCATTTATACAGGGTGCTCGGTTTTCCTTGGGACGATACCAACTTTCCTATTTTCAATGGAACACCCTGTATTTTTTTGCATTTTTGGATTCTTTCCACTCTTTTAGGTATATTTTGTAAATATATTAAATAAGAAAATGTTAATACTTTTTGAGTAAAATTAAAATTTATTAAAATTTCTCTAAATGTAGACACTCGCTTAAAGTTAAAAATAACCAACTAAAAGTTATTATTTTTTATATTATGTAGTATCCATCTCTTTAATAATAAGTAAGCTATAAGTTAATTATTATATTTTTTGGAAAATATCATACAGGGTGTTTTCTATGTCCCGTTGAAAATAGCGATTTTAAAAGTTTAAAATCTTGTTTTTCTTCAATGGAACACCCTATATATTTTTGCATAATTGGATAGAATAAGTAATTACCTTTCATTTTATGTATATATGTCCTATACCTAAACCTAACAGAAAAAAAAATATTCGCATTTTTCACAATTAGTAGCTTTTTTCCAATTACCTTAGTTAAATTTTCATTATTCACCCTGTATAATATTTTCCAAAAAATAAATTAATTAACTTATAGCTTACTTATTATTAAAGAGATGAATGCTACATAATATAAAAAATAATAACTTTTAGTTGGTTATTTTTAACTTTTAGCGAATGTCTACATTTAGAAAAATTTTAATAAATCCTCATTTTACTCAAAAAGTATTACCATTTTCTTAATTAATATATTTACAAAGTATACCTAAAAGAGTGTGTAGAATCAAAAAATGCAAAAAAATATAGGGTGTTCCATTGAAAATAAGAAAGTTGGTATCGTCCCAAGGAAAACCGAACACCCTGTATAAATGAAAATATAATATTTTAAAAATATTTTTTACTTCGTGAATATTTGTTTCTTACAATTTTTTTGTGACTCCAGTAGTTTCTGAGATAAGTATATGGGTCACCTTACGTGGATCACCTAAAAAAAATATTCGCATTTTACAAAATTAGTAGCTTTGCGCGTATGGTAATTATTATAGTAATATATATTTATATATAAAAGCATTTTTATTTGTTGTTATTGAAATTTATTTATTTGAATAATGAAAATTTAACTAAGGTAATTGGAAAAAAGCTACTAATTGTGAAAAATGCGAATATTTTTTTTTCTGTTAGGTTTAGGTATAGGACATATATATAAAAAAAGAAAGGTAATTACTTATTCTATCCAATTATGCAAAAATATATAGGGTGTTCCATTGAAAAAAAACAAGATTTTAAACTTTTAAAATCGCTATTTTCAACGGGACATAGAAAACACCCTGTATGATATTTTCCAAAAAATATAATAATTAACTTATAGCTTACTTATTATTAAAGAGATGGATACTACATAATATAAAAAATAATAACTTTTAGTTGATTATTTTTAACTTTTAGCGAGTGTCTACATTTAGAGAAATTTTAATAAATCTTAATTTTACTCAAAAAGTATTAACATTTTCTTAATTAATATATTTACAAAGTATACCTAAAAGAGTGGGTAGAATCCAAAAATGCAAAAAAATACAGGGTGTTCCATTGAAAATAAGAAAGTTGGTATCGTCCCAAGGAAAACCGAACACCCTGTATAAATGAAAATATAATATTTTAAAAATATTTTTTACTTCGTGAATATTTGTTTTTTACAATTTTTTTGTGACTCCAGTAGTTTCTAAGATAAGTATATGGGTCACCTTACGTGGACCACCCTGTACATTTTGTAACCGAATTCAACACAGAAATGCAGTCAAATATCTCATAAGTTAAAGAAATACTGCTTTTTATAAAAATGTAGTTTATGCTAATTTTCCACAAATTTCTTGTTTAGCAGTTACTGCCTTTCTCCATAGTAGGGCAGTACAGCTATATCCTTAATAGCGATAAGAAGGTAAGGAGGTAATTATATTATTTATTTATGGCCCCACCTGTCATTAAATAATATTTATTACAAAAAGCTTTTAGGCATATCATATTACAGTTATTCATTATCTGTTAATAATGAATAATATATTAAATTACTTATACATAACCCAATTTAAAAAATTAAGTAAAGGTACATATACATTTTAAGAAAATGTAAATAACTTGATATGCTCCAGTACTAATTTTTCGAAATAATCAGCAAAATATGAATCAATTTTAGGTTTTTAAAATTGATTTAAACTTTGTCAGAATTTACCCAATTGAAAAAATATATATACCAAATGTTACTTTAAGAAAATGTTAATAACTTAATATGCCCCAGTTAAAAAACTTTTTTGAGATTATCACTAAAACATAAAAGTCTGCAATTTTGTTATTTATTCCCCAATAAAAAAATATTTATACAAAATGCTAGATAATTGCATATGATTTTAGAAAATGTAAATAGTTTAATATGCATTAGTACTACACTGTTTAAAATTTCATGACCATTTTAACACCAAATTAACACCATATTTGGTCTATATCGATACAAACCAAAATGGTGTTAAATATGGTTCGTTGGTCCGGTGTAAATTTAAATACTAAAATGGTGTTAATTTAACTTTCACACAGTATTAAAATAAATTTTACCTGGTGTAAATTGAACTCCTTTTCAGTGTTAAATATTATGTGTTTGTGGTCAAATTAAATCATACTACACAGAAAAAGGAAAAAAAAGGAAACAGGACGCATTACTAGTATATTACCAATGGTATTATTTCAGAAAACGGAACCTTCAACTCGCTAGAGATAATGTTTTTAGTTCGTTCCACTAACTTAAAATACTTCAAGTATTGACAGCTGTTTCCACCTATTTAAGGTCTAGTATCGAACAACTTGTAGTGTCACACCAAAGCTTGAGCTTATATATTCTTCATGTAAGTCAAAAGAGGCGAGATTTAATAACATCATGTGATCTACAAAAAAATAAATACTTATGGGTCAACTAAATTAATATAGTTAAATGAACTATTCCTTTTTTTCTGTGTAGGTGAACTTCTCAAATATTTTTAGATAAACACCGCTTTGGTGTTCATTTTCAACCATAATTCATGGTGTTATATTAACACCACTTGGTGTTGGATTTTGACACCATTTTAGGATTACTCTTTACACCACAGATATTTTAAACAGTGTAATTTCTCAAAATTTATATATATATATATATACATATATACGACATATACCAAAAACAATGGATTTTTTATTACAAAAAATACGACCGTTATCTTATATAACGTTGTATGTATAAACTTGTGTTATGTAACTAACGTTAGGTTTCTAACAAAATATTATATAAATTGCTAACGTTAGTAATTTTTTGCGGGAACGTTATTTTCTACATGGGTGTGTATGTTTACCCAATTTTGGACACTTTTTCCCGGCTCCTGAGCTAATTTCGATAGGGTGGTGCATTTTAAATAATGTGTATACTTTTGTTTTGTTAAATGTAATACCAGTTTTTATTAAATTTAATGTTAACAAAATTACCTAAATATCTTTTTGCGAACATTTTAATATAATCATTTACAATTTTAATATAAACTTGAATGTGTCTTAAAAACAACATTCTTTAAAATACTTATTTATAGGGAGTATTATTATCGGTTCCTGAAGCAATGGAAGATTTGTTAGCTATCAAGCGGTTGTGGATCCATGAAGTTTTAAGAGTTTATTACGACCGTCTCGTAGATGATGATGATAGAGCCTGGATAATTGAAACATTGAGAACAATTTGCCAAGAAAGATTATTTGAAAATTTAGATAATATGTTTCAACGCTTAGCAAGTCCTGGAAGTTCCAAAGTAAGTTTTATAATATTGTCTTTTGATTTTAAACCCTAAACTTTAATCAAGTTCATACTGTGGGGACAAGTAACCAAATTTTATTAACAAGAAAAATATTGCGTAAAAATTAAACTTGTTGAAGGCTTCGGGACACCTAAAAAAGTTAACAAAAAATGTCCAGTGAGTATGAGTATATGAGTATAAGAGACGTATAACCAGCCCCATTTCCTTTTGACTCTCGAACCCCGTACAGGCCTATGTTTACTTACGCCGATTTTTGTTCTTCCCCAGCAACTGCACGGCTTCACCCGTGTTTGCTGGGTGCGAATGTCCATTGCGTTCCGTACTGTCCCCTATTTGGGGCTCGAGAGCGAGAGGCGAATAGTTTTAATAGCCATTCTCGGGTTCGCCGAGCCTATGCTATACGCTCAGTGGGGTATAGGAGGAGGGACGGGAGAGTGTTGGTTTTTGGGGGACAATTACGCCGACTTAAAACTAAGTACGACGTGGAATCCCTCTAGACCAGTCGATTAGTATTACTCCAAACATTTGGGATTACTATTTGGAGTTGGGGAGTTGTTATTTCGCTGCAGGGGTGTAGTTTCCTAGTCGAGGTCTTTATCTTGTTCGTTATTGTCATTGTCCGTGTCCTGGTCAGATAATTCCTGCACTTGGTAAAGTGTGTCACTTTTTTTCCCAAGCACGTTTTGTGGTAGAGTTTTGTCTTTTTTTCATCCAAAATTAAGTATTGCATTTATTTATTAGTTAAACAATTGACCAGCGCAATTATTCTGTTATCTAATGATTACAAATCTAGTAGAGTTTGATTATTAGGCGTTTTTTTTTACTGTGTTAGGGTTAGATATTATGATTAATGTGTTAGTTTATTCTGTGAGTCTAGTGTTTATTTTCGGTTTCGTTTGGGATTGCATTACGCACTTGTTGTTGACAGATTTATGCCCTACTATGTGTGCCTTTCATATGTTTTAAAGATATCTGCCGTATTTAAATTGCAGATTTTGTATTAGGTCATGCATATTCTTAAGGTAACTTATCAATTTTTTTTTGCGGATGGCCACCTCCCCTTTTGTTTGACCTCCTTTGTCTGTCCAGTGAAAAGCGTCCAATGACAGGTGGCACTTAACTCATTCATATCACTTAACACTTCACTCCTCAATGACCGCTACACCACTCTAGCTTGCACTCTATGAAAATTGTTTGTTTCACTTTATTAGTTTGCACTTTTTAAAAATTATTGTTGGTTTCAATCTTTAAACTTTTACGTTTTATTAGCCTTCCCACACGCGTGGCGCCTTCTCAAGCGCTGAAACCTGACTGAAAATGTCCATATAAATAAATTTTATTTTAACTTTAGGGTAGAAAACGCATACACAAAATGACACTTTATCGTTATTTGTGTTTGCAAAAATGCGTGCATACTTGCAAACATTATGGTATTGACTTGAATAATAACATTTTTTTTAGATTGGAGAATTTGAACTTCGAAACCTATTGTATTGTGATTTTGCTAATCCTAAAGCCGATCAACGCCACTATATCGAAGTACTCGACCTGGATCAACTAAGAGTTATAGTCGAGGGATATTTAAGCGAATTTAATAACATGTCTAAAAAACCAATGAATTTGGTTTTATTTAAGTAAGTACAATTTTTTTATAATATACGACACAATCCAACAAAATTTAAACCGGATTTGACTACATAAAGGTTTTATCTTAAAAACCTAACGTAATATGTTGGATTAGGATTCAGCTTCGGTAAATAAAAGGATATATGGTTTTTTGTTAAGATGGTCGATTAAATATTAATATTAAATATTATTAAAGTGAATAATTTATTTTTTCTACTCCCACCTTTAAAACGCCCTTTATCGTACATGTTTCCATGACACTAAAGGCGCATTCATGCTCACTAAAATAAGAAATAAGAAATAACAAATAAGAATAAGAAATAAGAAATAAGATGAAAAGTTAAAACTGTGTAAAGTAATGGTTGCGTTCATGCTCATGAAAATAAGAAATAAGAATAAAGATTAACAATTTTTAACTTTGGTTCTTATTCTTGCGTATAAAACTGCGCAAAGAACCAAAATGGGTCTGTGAATTATTTTGATGGGTTTTATGTGCTGGCCATGGTGTTGGAAATCGCGTTGAGTGTCGCTGTCGATTGTTTACGTTTATAGCCAATATAATCCACTATAATAAAATATAATTGTGTGACAACATTTTTTATTTCTTATGTTATCAGCATGAACGATCAATCGCGGTCTTATTTCTTATTCTTATTTCTTATTTTAGTGAGCATGAATGCGCCTTAAGTGACCTTTTAAATACACATTGACAAGTTGTGGCTTTACGGCGCTTTAGTCACGCGCTGAAGTTAGCAACAGGTTTTTAGTCACGAGCTGAAGTTAGTTTTAAGTTAGTTGACAGTTGTCAAATGTCATAAAATCGTTAAAATAAAGTGCCTTTCTTGTAAAATAATACTAAATGTGAAAATTATTTTATTATCTCAATACAAAAATACAAAAATATTATATAGTTTCTCAACGCCAATATTTGAAAAGTTTATATGAACATTGTACTGACCTTTTAATTTCGCCGGCAGTAAACTATAACTTAAATTCGGGCACGGACTCTACTGTAAAGTCCTCATAAAACATTTCTTTTACTTTCACTGTGAAAAGCTGTCAATTTTCAAGATACATTTCGATTTATAACCTTTATAATTGTGTTTAAAAAATGTAAAAATTTGACATTTGACAGTTTCCCATGTTGTTTCATAGATGGCGCTCTATACAAATTTTTTATTTAAATCATTTTAAGATAATAATAAGTATTTGTAGAAAAAGTATAGTACACTGAAAAAAATAAGCTGTTGAAACAACAAAAAAAATATTAATTCAACTCTTTATGCACTTTAAATACAAGCAATGGTTTTTGCACGTTTACTTAACCATCTAAAAATGTCAAATTGTATTGTTTAATTGAACAACAAATAACAGTCAAATGAACAAAATAAGAATATTTGTTCTAATCTGCTAATTTGGTTAATTTAACATTCTTAGGGTGTTAAGGTAAATTTCTTGAAATGTCCAGGTAACCTTTTTAGCATATTCACTTAACACCAATAAAATGTTAAATTAACATTCTGAAAATGTAAAATTCTTTAAAGGTTGGTATTCAAAACAAAATTATGGAAATAATATATTATTATATATAAATAGAAAGAATTGAACCTTCACCTCGCACCAGTGTTACCAGATTCTGTCAAAAAAAGACCGTACGTTTCGTTCGAATTTAACTTAATTACAAAAATGACTCAATGAACAATATTAAATAACGTCAACTTGACATAATTGCATTTATTTGCATTGTTTCATTGTGTCATTTTGTAATTAAGGTAAATTCGAACGAAACGTACGGTCCTTTTTTGACAGAATCTGGTAACACTGCCTCGCACAGAGTTTTTGTTTTGAGCGTGTTCCACCCATGATACATCTTTGTATCATGTGTTCCACCTACTTCAAATACCGACAGACTGTTTCGCCCTGTATTGAGGGTCTTAACAGTGTCGGGCAATATGGTGTAGTGAAAGTTCTACTGTGGAACACACCTTAAACAAACATATATCTCATCTTATATACACCTAATCGTAAGGTAACTAAGGCGAGATGTAAGAAAACGTCATTGTCTAATGACGTGGCGTGAGTGTTCGAAGCGCCATTCTCGGCAATTTTATGAATGCAAATTTTACATTTTAAATTTTAAAGTAACATTTTAAATTTGTTAAATGAACAAATTTAAAGTTTTGGATTAAAGAGCAACTAAACGTTAATTTAATAGTTTTTTTAGGTAATCCTAAAAATTTCAGTAGTTGATTCAACAAATTCCAGCTATTAAATCAAAGTACGATAAACATTTTAATTCAAAATATTAGTTTATGTTAAATTAATATTTAAACTGTCAAATGAACAAATAAACTTTGACAAACTCTGACTTTTGCTTTAACACCCAAATATAGATTAATCCAATAGGTTTTTTGTTGAAACAACATTTTTAAAAATGACATTTAGGCAAATGTTAACTCAACTACATTATTTTTTTCGGTGTATGCACCTCGTTTATAAACTTTTCTATACACTCATTAACTTAGGCACTCGCTCGCAAGCTCGCTCGTGCCTAAATTAAATTCGTGTATAAAATGGCGTTTATAAAACTTGATACATAATATACTATTGTGCCGCTTAATTAAAACGTCCAGCATTATTATTTTTCCGCGAAATTAGCTCGTTTTTTGTTTATATGCTAGAATGATTAAAACGTTTTAAGCTTAATTTTCATGTATCCGTTTGTCCGTCATCCGTATGTCAGTTTTTCAATAAAATCGTCCGATAAGAAATGTTCTAATTTTCATGCATACGTTTTTTAATGACGTTTAACGGATTGATTTTGCGACAAATAGAAATTAAGTGTGAGTATATTCACTTACTAAATTTACCTAATGCTTAATTGTCATAGTTACAATTATGTCAACAATTGTAACTTTAACAGTTAGCTGTCTAATAAATTTAAAGGTAGGTAAATATACCTTATAAAAAGAATATACTAGCCCTAATATACATAAAAATGTATAGTTTTAAAAAAGCAGGTCCTTTTAGTTCTAGTTTTAATTTTTTTGTTTGTCCTTTCTTTTTTTCTGATTAAATAAAAACTTAACAGTAAAACATTTTTCACATAACGAACGTAATATTTCCGTTTTACAATCTTATTGAAAAAATATAAAAATATTTGAAAATAAATTATCTTAAAATAACGTAAGGCGTCAAAAACAGATGTGTAGTGACGGATGAGTTAAAATTATTTAACCTTTCTCTGTCAGACGTACGAAGTTGAAACTTGACGGACCGATAAAATGTCATAATTTTCGAATTATAATTGCACCAATAAGAGCGCTCCCGGATGAACGGACTGACGGACAAACGGATACATGAAAATTAAGCTTATTGGTCCAATTATAATTCGAAAATTATGACATTTTATCGGTCCGTCAAGTTTCAAGTTCGTACGTCTGACAGAGAAAGGTTAAATAATTTTAACTCATCCGTCACTAAACATCTGTTTTTGACGCCTAACGTTATTTTAAGATAATTTATTTTCAAATATTTTTATATTTTTTCAATAAGATTGTAAAACGAAAATATTACGTTCGTTATGTGAATAATGTTTTACTGTTAAGTTTTATTTAATAAGAATAAGAGAAAAAAAGAAAAAACAAAAAAAAATTAAAACTAGAACGAAAAGGACCTGCTTTTTTAAAACTAACTATTTTAATGTATATTTACCTACCTTTAAATTTATTAGACAGCTAACTGTTACAATTAAGCAATTAAATTTAGTAAGTGAATATACTGACACTTAATTTCTATTTGTCGCAAAATAAATCCGTTAAACGTCATTAAAAAACGTATGCATGAAAATTAGAACATTTCTTATCGGACGATTTTATTGAAAAACTGACATACGGATGACGGACAAACGGACACATGAAAATTAAGCTTTAGATCTATAAATTTTGTTTTCAGGATTAATGTTTGTTTTCTTAAACAAAAATTTATCTGGTGAAACAGGTAACTTACTTTATATCTTATTTTAATATTCGCCTTAATTAGCTTGTGAAACAGATTTTAGATTTATTTGCGTGGGAATCTGTTAAAACTTTGTGTGATATCCAGTGATGCTAGATACACATATTTTATCGTATTTTTTGGAATTTCGAGTATATCGGAAAAGTATACGATTTTTTATAAATGCACTTTTCATGCCTAATTTATGGCTACGTTACAGGCTTTACCCATTTGAACTTTTATGGTTATGTTTTCTGCTTTACCCACAAAGTTTAAAGACCGTATTGAATACAGTTCTGTAACAATTGTGAATACAATTCTAATTATAATTAATAAAATTCATTTGTCCCGCTGATGTTCTTATCCCTTTCCTATTTTCATTCAGGTAAGAAATTACTCATTCTCTAAAGGAGTTGCAGGAAAAAGAAGCGCCAGCTTATTTAAAATTCGGCGCAAAATTTTGCATGTATGCTGGATTCTAGCAGCTGGAGTGCGAGTACCGGTTGAAAATAGCCAATCTACGTGTGCTTCCACTCTAAAGCTAGCTTTATAGTTGATTGAAAATGTAGCTTAATCGGTGTGCATCTCAGTACAGGGGGTTTCTTGGTTTATTTATTCTTAATTTTATTACACGACACATTTTAAAATTTTTAAAATGATGATTTCCAGGATTCTTTTACACAAAAAATGTATTTTTGTAAAAAATAATTGGAAGAAAAAACGATTTATTTAAATGATTGCATAAACTATTATCGAATTGTATTTAAATTAAAATATAAAAGTATCTAGGTAGTAAATGGCGAACAAAAAATATTTAAAATAATAGAGTAATTGCATCAAAAATGAAAATATCAAATTGAAAAAAAGGTACTTTTCAAACGTTTCCGAACTCCCGCCATATTGCATGACGTCATAAACCTACACCAGTGTCAGAAATCAAGATGTCAACAAATAATAAACACCGATAAAGTTTAACATGTTTTACATGTTTAAATGGAAAACGCGAAAACAAAAATTGGTTGTAAATATTGTTTTGTGCCTTGTTGTACAAATACAACCTGGAAAACTCCTGGGAAAGTTGTCCCTTCAATTATCAAAAGCAAAGTTTATGACTCTACACTAAGAGCCGTTACGGCTCAGCCGTATTTTCTTGACTTTATTATTATTTAACATACCTATTCCAACCATATACCTAGTAAACGACATTATATTTTACTTACATTAAAATGATCCTCGCAGCAATAAAATGTTGACTGCGGTGACGATGTTTTGATATCGCGCCGAGCTATTTTAATCCACTTTATCCTTATTTTCCCTTTTGGCACGGTGATAAACCTTTTCCCAGGAGTTTTCCAGGTTGTATTTGTACAACAAGGCACAAAACAATATTTACAACCAATTTTTGTTTTCGCGTTTTCCATGTTAAACATAAACTTTATCGGTGTTTATTATTTGTTGACATCTTGATTTCTGACACTGGTGTAGGTTTATGACGTCATGCAATGTGGCGGGAGTTCGGGAACGTTTAAAAAGTACCTTTTTTTCAATTTGATATTTTGGGGCCGGGTTGAACTTTTGGAATATAAAAAAATATTTTTGCAATGTGTTTTTACCTCTAGATTACATTAAAAAGGTTTTTAGAGATTTTCATTTTTGATGCAATTACTCTATTGACATTAAAGTTTTTGTTATTTATTGGACTGATTAAGTGCAAAGTAACTACACCTTTTCCAGTTGATATTCAGAAAGTAGCAATTGATATTCAGAAAGCAGCCATTGATTTTCAGATATTGCAAATGAAATTCAGAAAATAGCAAATGTAATTCAGATATTTCAAATGATATTCAGAAAGTAGCTGATGTAATTCAGATATTGCAAATGATATTCAGACAGTAGCAATTGATATTCAGAAATTACAAATAGTATTCAGACAGTAACAATTGTAATTCAGAATATGTCAATTGAAATTCAGAAATTAACAAATGATAACATTTTCATACTTTATTTTACTTATTTTCTAAAATCTTAATTTAATGTATTTCTTTGTATATTGCTTTGTTTCCATGGAATTGACAATAATAAACAAATTTATCACCATTTAAGTAGGTTAATTTGTCATAATTGTCAACTTATTGCAAGTAAGGACCGAATTTTGTTTATTTGTACTTTATATAAATTTCATTTACTTAGTTAATAAAGATAACGTGTACTTTCATTCATCGATTTACTGTATGCAACCCACTGTTCCTGAAACAATTGCTGCGGCTGAATTACATTTGATTTAATTTGAAAAAAATTTGCTACTTTTTGAATTACAATTGCAAGTTTCTGAAAATCAATTGTGTTATCTGAATTACAATTGCTACTCTCTTAAAATCAATTGTGTTATCTGAATTACATATGCTACTCTCTTAAAATCAATTGGAATAGCTGAATTACAATTCCTACTATCTGAATATCAACTGGAATGACTGAATTACAATTCCTACTTTCTGAATATCAACTGGAAAAGGTGTAGTAGTAATAGTCTAGTACTAGTAGATCACCATTGGACGGCCACGTCGTTCTTATAAGACATTTAAGGGCCTACATTCATATGAACTTTTTTCATGTTTTCATATTTAAAATATCCCCTTGAAATATACACTGTAGTAAATCCATAATCCATTTAGTTTATAAAAAATAATTTTGCCATATTGATGTGAAAACATATTTCTAACATTACTTTACATTTAAACATGACTATGCTTTCGACAGCGCTGCTTGAGGGTGCGCGCTCTGATGGACTTACTAAATTGCTTAAACAAATAACATAGTGAAGGCACCAACATTAATTTACATTGTTTTTTATTACTTATATTTAGTTTTTGAATAATAGTTTATTATAAATATTTTTATCTTTTAGATTTGCAATAGAACATTTATCAAAAATTTGCCGTATCCTTAAGCAACCCAGAAGTCATGCACTTTGTGTTGGTGTTGGTGGATCAGGAAGACAGTCTTTAACACGGCTTTCAGCACATATATCTGAGTATGAGCTATTTCAAGTTGAAATTACCAGATTATATGGAGTTAATGAGTGGCGGGAAGATGTAAAGTCAATTCTTAGAAGAGCTAGCGCAACCGACCAACATGGTGTTTTTTTGTTTACTGATACACAAATTAAGGAAGAGGCATTTTTAGAAGATATAAGTAATTTAATGAATTCAGGGGAAGTACCAAATGTATTCACAGGAGAAGAAAAAGTGGAATTATGTGAAAAAATGCGTCAATTGGACAGACAACGTGATAAATCCATACAAACAGATGGAAGTCCAGCTGCCTTATTTAATTTTTTTGTACAAATTGTAAGAGAACAATTGCATATTGTATTGGCAATGAGTCCAATAGGTGATGGATTTCGAACAAGAATTCGGAAATTTCCAGCATTGGTTAATTGTTGTACCATTGATTGGTTTCAGGTATGTTTTTTTTAGATTAAAAAAAATCCTCAAAAAATTTAGATTAATAATTAGGTATCAATATTTGAGAATATCTCAAATTCGATATGTTTTATTGAAGTACATCAAATTAATGGTTATGGTTGCGCTTTTTCTTTCTACTTGTGTTTGCTATATGCTTATTATAATTAAACTTAAGTTTTCATTTGGAAATTTTAAAGCCTAAAGATTGCCTAACATATTTGTTAAAGCATAACATGTTTGCCAAAGCATAACACCATGGGTGCATTTGGAAATCCATGAGAAATTTCAGCCAATATGTGTGCTTTTGAGTACATTAAATCATTATTTGTTTTGCATTTGACTAAAAATGTTTTATTATACAAAAAAACCTTTAAACATAAACAATTCTCTTTAAAAACTAAAATAAAAAATAAAAAGATTGTTTTGAAAACAAAATAAATAAATCAATTCTCTTAAAACAAAACTAAAAATCAAACTCTTTAAAGAAGTGTAAATAAGTGCACCGTCTATAGATTAATTTCACGACCAAATGTAATTTCGCAATATTCAGATATATTTTAGGAAAGCACCTCCGCAACAAATATATAGCCGCGGTTTTCGCTCTGCTTTCGCTTTCGTTTCTCTCGTCTGACTTCTAGAAATCCTAAAGTCAGACAACATTATGAGGTTCATAATTGACGCATATTGCAGTCACAACGTGATTGTTAATCCGCACGTATGCACGCATATATGCATTATTTGGGTCATCAATTAAGGTGCATATACACAGCACATGTGTTGGTAGGAGAAACATTGTGCGGTTCATAATTGACGCATATTGCAGTCACAACGTGATTCTTAATTCGCACGTATGTCACATAACTGCATAATGTGCGTCATCAATTGAGGTTCATATAGCCAGGACATGTGATGATTGGGTACATTTTTCTGGGCATGATTAACAGGTGAATTTTGGACTTGCATTGGCTTAATTTGATTGTTTTTCTTACGTTTCGATTGGTAATTATCTTTAATTGTCTTTAGTTATTACCTGAAGACCGTTAGATAGATAATTACTAATCAAAACTTTGTAAGAAAAACAATACAATTAAGACAAGGCAAGTCCAAAACTCAGCTGCAGCTTAATATGTTAATCATTCATAAAATTGATTTATTGCGTTTTTGTGACAATTGTCTACATTGTATACATGTAGAAATATATCTAATATCTAATATCTAATATATCTAATTTTAATTAAAATTACCTAGGTAGTTTTTTACAAATTCATAAACAAATTAATGATAATTTAACTTATAAACCTGATCTTAATATCAACTTGTCAATTCCAATAAAATAAGTAAAATCAACAATTTTCGAAAAACTGTACACAGTAAAAAATTGACTTGAGTAAATCGCCAAAAATCATTGAGTTAATGCGTTGCTGAGTGAAATGTTGAGTAATTTTGTAAATATTATTCTAATTTGTGTATATTTAACTAAAACATTATCTAAGTTACACTTTTTTGTGAAATTGCAATTAAAATTGTGTAATTTTACTAAATATTTGGTTAAACATGAGTAATTACTCATATTTGGGTAATAAAAACTCTAGAAAGTGAAGATTTATTTCTTTCGGTTGAATTCGCGTCTTTCACCTCTTAGTTGCCTGTTGATCTGACGCGTTGCATATTCCTTTAGGATTTGTTTTGGTTAATTAGAGTACGAATATAGGTAAGTTATTCCTGTAATATTATATCCTTATATACATATAAGACTTATCGTATAAGTAATAATATATTGTATATAAAGTATCGAAAACGTTGTATTTAAAGTGGGATATTTAGGGAAAATTTTAAAATATGGAGTCGGCGTTCGAAAGATGAGCTCAATTATTCGAACATTATTGAACTCTGCAGAGCATGCTCTAACTTAATAATTATTATTAACTTTAACTTAATTATTACCTACTTTAAGTTTTGATCTTGCTTTAAGTTGTTTGTTTTAGGAGCCATATGCAGCTTATCAGTCATACAATAGAACTTAGCATTATATTATTCTAAAGTACGAGTTTTGTTAATATCTTATCCTATTTTATCATATGGGACATTTTTTATAATATTTATTATGTATTATTTGTTTTGTATTTAAAAGTATATTTATTTTATTTTGTTGCGATCTTTTGCTATTTTGTCATTGGCCATTTTTTAAATGTATACATTTGTTTTGTATTTAAAAGAATATTTAATTGATAATTTACTATTTTTATACATGCATAATTAAGCTACTCTTTTTAAAAATAATGTACGTTTTTTTAAATAAAGTTTTGGTTTTATGATGATGTGTAATTTTATAAATTTACCTGCATTAATTAATAATGAGTAGAATTAACACTATTTAGTGAAAACAAGTCACTAAAGTGTGTTAAAATTAAATCAAAACAAGTTCAAAGTTACTTAAAAATATGTAAATTTTTACACAATTTTTCGACATAAATCACTTTTTTGAGTTAAAATTTACTCAAAATGTATTAATATATTTAACTCAATAAAAGGTAAATGTTACTAAAAAAAAATGAGTTAATTTTTTACACAATCCGGTGAGGACTCGTTTTGACAACACTTTGAGTTAATTTTGAGTTAAAATCCACTCAAAATTTTTTAGTGTGTAGATGTAATACTAGATTTACGCAATGCCAGAATGTACTATGGCATTTCGTTAATCTAGTATTACATCTACAATTTTGCTATAAGTATTTAGCAAAAGTGAAAAGTTTGCAATTATTTCGTGCCCTCATATACCAATTACATGCGTGTATTCCCATTAATCATAAAATGAATATTCTGCACGAAATGAAGGCGATGTGCGTTTTGCACGGTTGTTATCTGGGTTACTTTAAAAGTTCGATTGTGCTTAAGGATTAAATCCACGTTTACTACATGAAATCTGTCCGATACCGTAATACACAATTTAACGACAGCACCAATAAAAATATTTAAATTGATAAATTAGTGTTTAACAATATTTATTAATTTTTACAACAAGATACAACATACAGAATAATTAAACTAAAATTTAAATGAATTGTTAGAGATAGGAATTAAAATAATAATATTATATATTATATTCGTACACCTCGTTTTATTAATTATTTTAATCAATTGTTTTAGTCTTGGCCTGAAGATGCACTGCTTGCTGTTGCAACTAGGTTTTTGGGAGAAATAGACATGGATGAAAAAGAACGTTCTGTCTGCATCGATATGTGCCAAATGTTTCATATATCTACACAATCTCTTTCAGATGAATATTATCTTCGTTTGGGAAGAAAAAATTATGTTACCCCTACATCCTATTTGGAAATGATAAATACATTTAAAACTTTCTTGGCTAAAAAACGACAGTGAGTTTAAAAATACCTAGTATTTTAAGTGATTATCTAAATAATGGTTAAAAATTATTATATATTAGGATATAAGACAGAAATAATTTATATCCGGTTACCGCTTTCCGCATAAAACAATTGCAAAAACTATATCCAAGGATAATAATAATAATAATTATTAAATTAGTCATTTTTGACTAATTCATTTTTAGAGAGTGTATGACAAAAATATTAAAATTTAAAAAAGCATCTTCTTAAACATCGACCGTTGCATCCGCCATGTTGTAGCCTGAAAAAGTCATGTAATATTTTATATTTAAGTTTTTAGTTTTTATAATCATTGAAGGTTCAATGATTATAAAAACTAAAAACTTAAATATAAAATATTACATGACTTTTTCAGGCTACAACATGGCGGATGCAACGGTCGATGTTTAAGAAGATGCTTTTTTAAATTTTAATATTTTTGTCATACACTCTCTAAAAATGAATTAGTCAAAAATGACTAATTTAATAATTATTAGTGTTGTATTTTGCTCAAAATCACCTAATATGGATAAGCCGAGTTTTTGAATGCACCTCCTCAATTTATATGGCCGCTTTCTATTTACAAAGGCACCAAACTATAATAAAAATCCGCACACAAATAATTATAAACAAAATATAAAATCCTTTTTTACTTGTTTAAAATGTGCTGAATTAAACGATATTGATAAACCATTATATAGAAAAAACAATATAGAGAAAGATTGTAATATTTTTATGTTCGGTGTAATTGTTATGCTATTTTTCATGTTTTAGAGAAATTCTCGTTGCAAAAAAAAGGTATGAAGTAGGACTTGAAAAATTAGACAGTGCTGGATCTCAAGTATCTATTATGCAGGCTGCTTTGGAAGCACTACAACCTCAATTAGTTATTGCAGCCAACATAGTTGAGGAAACGATGAAAAAAGTGGAGGCTGAATCGTCTGAGGCAGCTGTGGTAGAACAAGTTGTAATGCACGATGAAGAAGTGGCAAATGAACAAGCTAAAGCTGCTCAAGCCATAAAAGATGAATGCGATGCTGATCTTGCAGAAGCAATGCCAATTTTAAATGCTGCATTATCTGCTTTAAATACCTTAACTCCTGCTGATATAACTATTGTTAAAACCATGAAAAATCCACCAAAAGGTGTTAAATTGGTAATGGAAGCTGTTTGTATAATAAAGGTATTATCTTATATATACATGGTGTATACTACGAAATTCTAGACCTAAAATAGATTTAAAACATTTCTAGAGTATAGGGGGAATCAGGATGACCACAAAAATTACCTATACTAAGCAACCCCTGGGGCTCTAGCTAGCCTAACATAAATTTTTTTAAAGACAACTTTATTCCAATTAATAGTTACAAAAAGCAAATTAAAGCATTTTCTTGTAAATAAAGTGGTAATACACATAAATGAGAAACTAGAAAACATAAAATAATTTTAATAATAATTAATAAAAATGGAAAGCATAAATAAACAATTTGCTTAAAGTATCAATCAAAACAATTTAATTATCAGTTTAAAGACCTAAAAATTAATTAAAATATTTATCCAACTTATTGTCGTTTACTGAGGTTGTTTTTCCTGGATTGCGAGAACCCATTACCATACTCAGAGCACCAGTTTCTATCCACTTTTTATTGCGCCTTTGCTGAAATTCATTTTATCTGCTATGCGTTGTTTAGATAATCCTTATCCAATTTTGGCGATAATATAGCCTTTTTCTGCTTCATTTGGGTTAATATATGGTAAGGCATAATTGACTAAAAAGATTACTGGTGAGAACCATATTTACAAAAAAATCAAGTCGATTACTTTTTTCCAGCCGCAACGGTACTTTAATCGGTTAATTTTTAAATTAGTCCCCGAACTTATCCTGACGGTCCACAATGGGAATTACCGTCGTAAAGATTAGAGTTTTAACATTCGGTCATTATGATTGTGGAGCGTCCTTTCAACCATGGATTGGCTCTAGAAGTCAGCCTTAGTAAATGGATCAGCTAGATCATCTTTAAATCATACTAAGGCCCTAAATCAAAGTTCCCTGGACTGTATTACTAACTTTTACAGTCTTTTAAGCCATCATTTTACAGATCATAACAAAATCTTTACTTTATAATAATAATAATAATAATAATAGTTTATTAGCATCATACATATAAATACATGTTTAGGCAGTCATAAAAAGGTACATAAGTATTTAAGAAATAAAAGTTGACTACGTGTTGAACAAACAAAATTATATACAAGTTTTAACATATTTTAAAAAGCAGTGAAAAATAAAATATAAATAAAACATTTACAAGTATACCTAATTAAAATACATAATTAAAATAACAAAACAAGTTAAAACAATCGGTGCCCAATCAATCATAAAACAAATTAAAATTATAATTAAGATAATCAGACGTGGAATAAAAACTATGCTTTAAAAGAAATGATTTTAATACCATTTTGAATTGTTTAAAACTTAAATCTCTTACGGACTGTGGAAGTTTATTAAAAAACATTGGACCATAATAATTTATGCCATTTCGGCTTCTGTTAAGTCTATGAATATTTAAATGAATATCACCAGAGTTTCGCATATTGACACTACTTTCTTGCCTTCGGGTATTAAACAAATGCAAATTACTTCTAACATATAACAAACAATTTAATACATATGTACAGGGTAATGTTAAAATTCCTAACTCCTGAAAGGCAGCTTTGCAATCATCTCTATAGTTTATCCTTTTTAGAATACGTACAACTTTTCTTTGGAGTCCAAATATACGTTGGCTATGAGAGGAATGTCCCCAAACCAGAATTCCGTAGCTCATTTTTGAATGAAACAAAGCAAAGTAGGCACATTTTAGGACATTTTCTGAGACCATCAAGCTTAGGCGCCTCAGCAAATATACACATGAAGACAAAGACCTTGACACATCATCTACGTGTGCAGCCCAAGTCAGCCCCGAATCAAGCCTTACACCCAGAAAAACAACTGAATCTATTTCGTTGGGGCACGGAAGCTGACGCAGAGAAAAGTAGAAGGTCTTTGTCTTTTCCAAATTTAAGCACAATCCGTTACAAGCAAACCATGAGCTTAATTTTGACTGGGTTTCAAGCATTTTCAGACTTACATTCTCAAATAATTTATTTTTTACCACTGCTGTTGTATCATCAGCAAATAAAAATAATTTTAAAGCCGGTAGATCCACTGGTAGGCTATTAATAAAGATTAAAAATAAAATCGGTCCAAGAACCGAGCCTTGAGGTACTCCAAGATTCAAAGGTAAAACGTCAGATACTGTATTGTTAACTTGGACCATTTGATATCTATTCGATAAAAAAGACGACATCAGTGACACAGCACTATCTGAGAAATTATACATTTTCAATCGTTCAAGCAGGATTTTCCTTGAAACGCAGTCAAAAGCCTTTGACAAGTCACAAAAAACAGTACCCGCAAAACTTCCCTCCTCAAATGAGCCACATATGAACTCGGCTAGGTGACTTACTGCAATACTTGTAGATAAGTTTTGTCGAAAACCATACTGTGACGTTGAAAAAAGGTTAAACGTTTCAAAATAATTTGCAACTTGTTTTGCCAATGCCTTCTCAAAAATCTTACTTAAAATAGGTGTTATTGAAATTGGCCTATAGTTATTAAGTTCATTAATGTCGCCCTTCTTATGCAAAGGTAAAACCCTGGAAATATTAAGGCTTAAGGGATATTCCCCTTTTAAAATTGATTCGTTAAATAATTTACATAGTGGATAGATGATTAGGTGAACAATTGATTTAAGCATTTTTGAATTCAACCTATAAACATCCATGCATCGGGAATCCTTAAGTTGCACAATTATATCTCTTAGGACATTAAAAGTTATTAAAGAAAACTTAAAATTATTAAGATTTTTTTTAATGTTATTGCTCAAGACAGGTTGAGAAATGGCTGGCAAATTGTTTACTATATTATTAGCAACATTTGTAAAAAATAAATTAAATTCATTAGCATTAATGCTTGTTGGAGTTGAAACAGTATATTTTTTCCCCTGATTTTCATTAATAATTTGCCACACTGCCTTACATTTGTTATTGGCATTGGCAATAAAACTATTATTTGAATCTCGTTTGGCTGTTTTAATATCTGATCTATATTCACGCTTTAAACGTTTAAGCTCAGTAAATGCATAAGGGTCTCCAGTATAATTATAAGCATCCCTTAAAAAGTTTAATTTTTCACGTTTTTCCCTTAACGAATCATTGAACCATTTATTGGTGTGTGAATTATTGCCCCTTACCCGAATATTTTTGGATGGGAAAGCAAATTTACTACCCTCCTGTAATATATCTAAAAACAAAGAAAACTTATCATTAATACCAAAATTGCTTGTAACAAAACTCCAATCTTGATTTAAAATATAATTATAAAATAAATGTAGACCTCTTTGGGTAATAGGAGTTATAGTTTTAGTTGATATTGGATTATCAATAAATGATAATACAAAATGAAAATTAACTGAGGCATGATCTGATAAACCGGGATCATAAACAAAGCTATCGTAAAAATCAGGTAAAACGTTTGTAAAAATATTGTCAATACACGAATTAATTCTGGTATTTTCAAATATAGTTTTATTTAAATCAAAAGTCCCTAATAGATCCAGAAGTTCCAATTGTCTAGCATTTACTACATTAAAGTTAATATTAAAATCACCCATAATAATAAGTTTTTTTTCAGAATTATTAAGTATTGTTAGTAAATTAACAAATACATCAATAAACTTATTAAAATCACCACCTGGTGGTCTATAGACGCAAACAAGTACAATATTTAAGAGGTTAGATTCCAAAGCGCAAATCTCCACATCCATTTCCTGGCTTAAGTCAGTTAAGTCTGTCCTTGCAGTACAGCAACTAACAAAATCCCGGTAAACGTAAATAGAGACACCACCATGAATTCTCACATCTCTACAATAAAAAGTAAAAAGGCAATAGTTTTCCAAAACAAGTGACTGTATTTGGGCTTTTGAAGCCCAATGTTCAGAGAAACAGAGAAAATGATATTTAAATGAAACATGAAAACATTCAATTTTTAGGTCGCTGCCGGGTTGTTCGGAGCTTCTGGAAAATTTTCTTTAGTGTTCCCAGTTGATTTTTTTGGAAAATAGTATCGGTTTACATATGTATTTTCAGGCCAAAAATCAGGATTTCTTAAGGTGACTTCATGTCTCGCTGGAGCTTTTATAATAAAACTTCCTTTTGAAGTTGAATTTTTTGAAATGTGGCTGTCCACGTTAAACGTCGAAACAGAATCAAATTCTTCTACGATGGTCTCTCTAGCTCTTAATAGACATGGTTCCGTTATAAACAAGTAAACAACTTTATGCGGTCGATAGAAGCAACCTCCTTAAACGTCTTTTACGCTTTGAAATGCCCCAAATGTTAAATTTAACCGTAATTTTCTTATATAACTTAAATTTAAACCACTATTCTTGGGGTATTTGGCTCCCGATTGAATTCCACAAATGCCTATAAACCTATTCAGTAAGTATAATAAATACTTTTACATTTTTAGGACGTTAAACCAAATAAGCTACCAAATCCCAATGGTGTAGGAACGTATGATGATTATTGGGGCCCCTCGATAAAAGTTTTGGGAGATATGAAATTTTTAGAAAACCTTTTAAATTTTGATAAGGACAACATACCCCCAAAAATAATGGACAAATTAAAAAAAGATATTTTTACCGACGAAAACTTTGATCCCGATAAAGTAAAGGTAGCATCCACAGCTGCAGAAGGTAAATTATTATTTTATTAATGATATGTTAAGACAATTGTAAGCCAGTTTTTTAATACGAATATCTTAAGAAAAACTACTATTGTGCAGTAGGGTCTCTCTAGTTCTTCGACAGAGAGAATACCTACCTCAGGTAATAGTGGAGAAATAGGGTTTGAGAATCAGTTCAGGTTTTGAGATATAATTTAAAATGCCGGTCCTATATAGGTAAGTTAAGACCTTACTTTAAGTTTTATAGTAGTAACACGGTAAGTTTTATAAAGGTTTTTTAAAGGTACTATCGGTAGCCAACTAGGTTATTGTAGTTACTAAGAGAACAGTAATAAACTAGGCAATTTAAGGTCTATAACGCATTTATAATTGGCAAAAATAATTTCTCCCGACTATTTTATAGGACCTCATGTTATATAAATTAATGATAAAACTAATATAAATAAAATAAATAAAAAATGTTACTATAGTTCATTCTTACATTTAACCAAAAAATGCCAGCTATAAAGGCTATAATATTATTAAAATAAAAGCTATAGCTATATGTCCACAAAAAAACAATTATGCTAAGTAGAAATACCAACTTTACAATTACTTTAAAATAACCATTAAACAAATGGACATTAGGTAAATATTAAGAGTATCATTGCCGCCCCATTAATAGGATATCAACAAATTTGGTTTTAAACAAGCGCTGTGAGCATTTTATCATATTACACCGTAAATTAAGTGGAAAGCCATTAACGTAGTTAGGAAGGATGTATGAAAAAGTCCTTTTAAATAATTCAGTACGATCAATCTGTTATGGCGTTTTTAAATCTAATATTTATATTAGGAATGTAAGTAGCCAGGTGCCTTAGTTTTAAGGTTTTAAAAGAAACAATATAAATGCATTTTGCGCCTGTTTTCCATGTTTAACCACTTGTTATTTATAAGTGGTATAATTTTTTCATACTTTCTTAAGACAAATATTAATCTAAGAGATCAATTTTGCAACTTTTGGATTCGGGAATTTGGAAGGCATGGACCATAGACAGTATCACAATAATTTAATAGGAATAAAATCAAACCAATACGTAGCATTGACTTTAAATTGATTTTAAATTTAACAAATGTCTGACATGGTAAATTTTCTTTAAATTACAGTACTCCGCTTTAAAGACCCATATCCTGATCCATTAAAAGTCCCAAATCTTTTACAAAATTTTAAAATTTAAGGTATTCGTTGTTTAATAATTATTACGATATTTTAAAATATCGCGCTCGTGATTAATTTTAAATGTTAGTCAAAACATTATTACCCCTGATTTAGAGGCATTTTGCATAATGTTGAGTAGAATATTTTACTTAAATTATAGTTTATTGCAGTAATAGCCCGAGTACAATTGTGTATAGTCAGCATAATAGTGAGAAGAACATGAAGTTAATATTGAATTAAAATTACCAATATAAATAGAAAATAATAAAAGTTCTAAATTAGAACCTTGAGGGACACCACATTCAATCTTAATAAAATATAATTATATTATATTATATACAGGGTGTCCTGAAATTAGTGCACCATACTTTAACAGCAGATTGTACGTGCAAAAATAAAAAAAAAGTCCCTATAAACATAGGTCAAGAAATGCCTCTTAAGGGAGCTACAGCCCCCAAAAGGAAAGCCCCTAAAGATGGTTTTTATTTAATATCTCCAAAACCGTTAAAAATATAAAAATGAAATTTGGGGAATTAATTAAACTTTTTATGAACAATAAGACGTAACAATAACAATTCAAAATTTTTTGTTTGGTTTGGGTCAGATTGATAGGAAGTAGGGTTAAAACCACCTTAACTTTTTTGTACGTATCTTGTACCAGAATTTGGTGTCAGATTATAAAATTTTAGTGTTTTGCACATAAAAAAGGTCATCTTGTTGAACTTCGATAACATACACCGTTTTCGCATAAAATCGATTTGAAAATTATTTTACATGGCATAAAAATTCACAATTAAATCACAACCATAGAAATGGACTCGCGTGGTCCTTGGAATACGGCTGCCATGTTTAGGAAAAAATAGAATAATTTAAGACAGGTGACAGTTTCATGTAGTAAGTGACAGGGTGTTTTTACTTTTTTATATATATTGGATAAAAACCATCTTCAGGGGCTCCCTTTTCGGGGGCTGTAGCTCCCTTAGGAGGCATTTCTCGACCTATATTTATAGGGACTTTTTTCTTATTTTTGCACGTAGAATCTGCTGTTAAAGTATGGTGCACTAATTTCAGGACACCCTGTATATATATACTAAGGCATTACCTACTGGTTTAAAACTTACCGCACGTTCTGTGAAATATATATTGCGTAATTTTTTAGGCTTATGCAAATGGGTTATTGCTATATCGAAATATGATAAAGTTGCCAAAGTTGTGGCTCCAAAAAAACAAGCTCTAGCGGCTGCTGAAGGTTTATATAATACAGCGATGGCGGCTTTAGAAGTTAAAAGAGCCCAACTACGTGAAGCCCGAGAAAAAGTTGCAACTCTTGAAGCGATTTTAGAAGGGGAAAACAAAAAGTTTCAAGCTCTTACTGACGAAGTTAATTTGTGTCAATTAAAGCTTCAAAGAGCAGAAGAACTAATAGGTGGACTTGGTGGTGAAAAGACTAGATGGAGCAAAACTGCAAAGAAATTAGGCGAACAATACTTTATTTTAACAGGTAATTTTTTTATTGAAACTAATAGTCAAAATTAAATTTTCGTTTAAACAAATTTTTATAAATCTAAGAAAACTATAAGTGTATTATCTTTATACACAAATATTTTTGTATTTAAAATTCTTAAAAAATCAAGGAACCACTTGGCAAATTTCCACTCAATATAAACTTTCTAAAAAATAATGAAATTCTTCTCTTATTATAGGTAAAAATAAAATAATCAGTTAATTTTGTACAATGATGATAAAAATGGTTTAAACAATCAAATTGATATGATTTTAAACTTTTTTAAGGTGATATTTTAATAGCTGCCGGTGTGGTAGCTTATCTGGGTTCATTTACAAATCAGTTTAGAACTAAACAAGTGGAAATGTGGACGAATGCTTTATCAGGATATGGAATCGTATGTAGCAGTGATTTTCAATTGACCCAAGTTTTGGGTGAGCCAGTTGTTATAAGAGCTTGGAATATTTTTGGTTTACCCAGTGATAACTTCAGTATTGACAATGGAATTATAATAACGTATGTATTATACGTACAAAAAAATAAAGAAAATAATTAAAAAAAGGAAATGTAATGAACACATTTATAAATACTTATTAAAATTTTAAAGAAAAGTATAATAAATAAATAAAATTATTTTTTTGTTAAAAATAAGTTAGGTTGAAAGGCCGATTAACTAGTCTAGACTAGTCTAGGAAAAGTTCAGAGCTTAAAACTGCTTCGCTTAGCCAATTTATACGAGCATTATATCGATGCTAGGTACTAGTAAGGTATATGTACTATGGTCCACACCTTAAAGTCCCACCACGTGACTTTGCTAGAAATAATTAAGGTTAATTTTCTGTCAGTGTCAAGCTAATTTCGTCTTGTTTTCCTAAAATAATACAGGTTTTTTTAAACAAAATCTGAGCACGGCACTGGATTCACCACACCTCAAAACGACCCTAAACTAAATTTTATTGAACAATTTATTTTGTCAAGTTATCCATGAAAAAAATATTAAAATAAAATTAAACTAATAGTAACATGGTACTATTACTATAAGTTTAATTTTATTTCAATGTTTTTTTTATGGATAACTTATGTGCATTTTTCCACTTCAAATTTTTTAATAAAATTTAGCAAAGGGTCGTCTTGAAGGGTGCTGAATCCAATGCAGTGCTTAGATTTTGTTTAAAAAAATCGCTAATATGAATTCTTAAAAATGTACTCTTAAAAACTGACATAGTAGGCGTTGTATTATATACAAATATGGTGTATTTGGCCCAAAAATACAGATTATCAAGATCTACACTTTAAAACAAACCCGGTTAAAATCGCACAATAAATAAAGATTTTACAGGGGTGAGTCGCAAACAAATGGATCACACTGTAGGTAGACTTATAAGTCAAATAACATGGAAATTATTCGACGCTTCAAAAAAATAGTATATTATTATAAGAGAGATAATGCGCATAATCTCGATTGTAATACTATACTTTATTTACTCCAATAAGTAGGTAATTAAATGATTTTCAAAAATAAATAAATAAAATCTGACATCTTTCAAATGGTTAACCTGACTTTTTACCAATTTTAAATGTAATTCGCCTTCTCCCAATTTAAATCCCAACCCCAATGGTTCAAATCACGGTGAATATTGAAATCGGACAAACTCATACAAAATATTGCGTAAATAACCACAGATTTGTTCTTTAAACAGTTTAGAATTTTATAACAAAAACAAACCTAAAGAAGGAATCTGTATTTATTTTATTGGTTACTGTGATGGCTGCAAGATGGCGATAGTGTTAAAATATGTTTATTTTAGAATAGAAATATAATTTCGATTAAACCGATTTATTATAAGAAAAATAGTACCATTTATTATTGAATTTTGAAAAACGTGTGAAGTATAATTTATCTAAAATTCGGCAACAGTGTTGCCACAACACCTGCTTATTTCCTTGGATGTAGGCGTGCCTGCCTCGCGTATGCTAATACGAGAGAAGGAGACAACTATGATAACGCATTGTAATAGAACGAGACAACAAGGCTAACGCCAATCGTGAGTCTAAATTAGTTCAGGCATGCTTCTGAGCCAATCATCTAGCTATAAATATTAGTTTAAATTGCGGTCGTTTCAAATTCAAATAATTTAAACGTTGCTGGGTATTCCACGTATAAAATCAATCAATTTTATTGACTATTTCACAATTCATGTAATCCAAATATTAAAAATTTATAGTATATTATAGAAAGTAAAATATTTAAATTATAGGTACTTAATTTTTTAATTCTCTATGATGAGGCACTGCCTCACCTGCCTCCCCTGACGGGCCGTCCTATTTTATAAATAAACTTTATCATTATTCACGAAACAAACCCAGTATTATGCAATAGGAGTAGATAAATACATTTACATATTGCATTTTTTTATAAAATAGGACGAAATTAGCTTTACACTTACAGACAATTAATTAATTATTTCTATCAACGTCAGTTGGTGGGACTTTGATGTGTCAAGCATAGTCCCTACGGATTGGGTTGGGTTGGATTGGGCGCACGTGGTGATTGCCCTGAGAGCTACAAAACCTTCTTCGATAGAGCAACTTTTACATAACTATACATTTTAGCAACGCAAGACGGTATCCCTTATTAATAGATCCACAGGGTCAAGCAAACAAATGGATTAAAAACATGGAAAAGAATAAAAATCTGGCAATTATTAGGTTAAATCAACCAGATTATGTTAGAATTCTTGAAAATGCCATTCAATTTGGTCAACCAGTAATATTTTAAAAATATAATAGTATTTAAATGTATATGTCTAAATTTTAAGGTTCTACTAGAAAATATAGGGGAAGAGTTGGATCCTATTTTAGAACCTGTTTTATCACAACAAGTTTTTAAACAAGGAGGAGCTTTATGTTTAAAATTGGGCGATTCTGTAGTTGAATATAACTCTGATTTTCAGTAAGTTACTTTACAATCAAGATAAAAATATTTTTCTAATAAGTTAAAAAATTATAGACTTTATATAACAACAAAACTTCGGAATCCACATTATTTACCTGAAGTGGCAGTAAAAGTAACCCTAGTTAATTTTATGATAACTTCTGCAGGATTGGTAGACCAGATTTTAGGTATAACGGTTGCTAAAGAACGGCCAGATTTGGAATCAGAAAAAAATGCATTAATCGTTCAGGGAGCAGAAAACAAGAGGTAATAATTTTTTTAATAATCTTAAATTTAGTTATTTACAAATCCTATTTAAAGTTTTATAAAATATACAATATTTTCACTAATGGCACCCATTCTTGACCCTTTCGTAACGGGGAAGTGGAAATTTCCGCTTGCTGATTGAATCTATCTGATTCTCGTTTTTAATTTAAATTCATTAAGTTTCACTATGCTCTTTTGTGTTTAAAAAAAAAATTTTTTTTAATATTTATTTTTTATAAATCTACATTATAAAAATGGGTGTAAGTTCAGACATCCCTATTGGCACACTTTAGGTTTACTTTAAAAAAGATTTTACGTGGGTTATATGTGTGTTAAATTTATGTTTGGCACATTCTGTAATATTTCCAAAACATATTTTATAGTAAAAATAATAGATATTAATACTACTAATTACATCCTAATATTTCATTAAATTTACAGACCTAATGCTCTTATTGAGTTATATTGCTTTTTATTATTTTAAGGGCCTTAAAAGAAATTGAAGACAAAATATTATATATTCTATCTACATCAGAAGGAAATATTTTAGAAGATGAAACTGCTGTTCAAATTTTAAGTTCGTCAAAAGTTTTATCCAATGAAATTGCTGCAAAACAAGCTGGTGCTGAAGTGACTGAAAAACAAATAGATAAAGCTAGATTAGAATACAGGCCAATTGCAGACCATTCTACTATTTTATTTTTTACCATAGGTTGTTATAAAATGTCAATTTATTCTCTAAATAATATATTTATATATATATATATATATATTTTAGCTGATCTTGCTAATATTGACCCAATGTATCAATATTCTTTGGTTTGGTTTATTAATTTATTTAAATCAGCAATAGATAATACTGAAAGAGTCGAAGATGTAGGACAACGCTTAACAGATTTGCAAATATATTTTACTTACTCTCTCTACACGAATATTTGCAGAAGTCTATTTGAAAAGGTAAAGTAGCATTCATTATAATATTAAATTAATATATTTTAATCCGTGGGCCACAGCCTCGTAGTTTAGGTTAGTCTTATTTGCGGACCTCACATTTAAGGTCCTCGGTCAAGTTGCCGTTCGCCATAGCCCTCAAGTTGATTGTTTATTGTTTTTTGTAGGATAAAATACTGTTCTCACTATTATTGGTTATTAATTTAATGAAAAGCAAAAATGGAGTTAAAATATCTGAATGGATGTTTTTGTTAACTGGGGGAGTTGGTTTGGAAAATCCATATCCAAATCCATCAACATGGCTAATTAAAAAATCATGGGATGAAATTTGTCGACTGGACGAACTAAGCAACTTTAGGTAAGATTGTTTTTACCCAGAAGTCATAAATAATATGACATTAAATTAATTGTATGACAGAGTTTAAGAAATTTGCTGAACTGTATGATTTTCAGTCCTTATTTTCCACATTCTAACGGTTGTGTCGAATCAGCTGTAAAGGTAGCAAAAAATTTGATAAAAAATATACCTAATGACCTACATTTGGGATTGCTCGCGTATCACACAACGCCTCTTTATAATGGTTTGTCTCCGTCAGAATTGCTAATGAATCGTAAGCCCTGGTCTCATTTACTTATGATTCCGAGCAATTTAAACAAAACTGTTGATAATTCTTCCGATTTTTAAGCGAATGAAAATTTGATTAAGGACATGGGACAAAAGAATTATCTATGTTATCCATAGGTGACAGTGTTTGGGTAACTGATTTACATACCTACGGGAAAATAAAAGCTTGCTTATCCGAACCACGTTCATATTTAGGTACTTATAGACAATTATATGCCCAGGCCCGTTCCTGGGGTGTCTGGCGCCTGCGTGCAGCATTCGTTGGTGCGCCCTTTTTATATTTAAATATAATACATTAAATATTTGAATTTTAGGCCGTAAAATTTAAAAAATAAATATTTTGCGACAAACTGGCAAAATGATATTGAAAATGTAAAAAAACGCTTAAATTAAGTATAAAAAATATTTATTAAATTACCAAACAAACAAGTAATATCATAAGGGCATCTATTTTTTCCGAAATAAATCGCTAAGTAATATTTTAACAAGAAGCATGAGTGCAACAAAAATCCAAATCGAACACGAGGATTTATGCACCTGCACGAATGCATTTTGTTAAAAAATATTACTTAGCATTGTGTTTTAACGATTTTTTTCACAGGAAAAGTTAGACGCCCGAATGGTATTTGACAAGACTATTTCATGAGTAGTTAACAATTAAAATATAAATTGCAATTTTTGGACAACAGCTGTCAAGTTTTGCCGCTGGTAAACTCGAAAAAACTGCTGACAGGTGCTGTCATACATTTTTTCCACCTATAGGTGCTACAAAATAATGGTTTCTATAGAAACCATTATTTTGTAGTTCAAAATTGAGCTTTGTGATTGGTGGAAATTAAGACGAGGGAAATAGTCAGTGATAAAAATACTCTAAAGAAAACAAAAAAAATCAATCTAAACAATATAATGACTACAACTGGTTTTTAGTGACATACTCTCTAAAAATGACTAGTTTTCAAAGTAAAAAAGCAGTCAATAATAAATTTAGTCCACAGCAATTTGTATCCCGGGCATTTAACAGCTTATTATTATGTAAAATTGTCCCCTGAATCCGAAAATTCCGTCAAAAATTATAAAAGTAAAGCAGTTTTTAAGATATAGTCAATACCATATTATATGGAAAATTTACTAAATCTCAAAAACGTTCAACTTTTATAACTTTTGACGAAATTTTCGGATTCAGCGGACAATTTTACATAGGATTGACTGCTAAATATCCGGGATACAAATTGCTATTGAAAATAATTATTAGTCGCTGCTTTTTAGCTATTGCAATTAGACTAATTGAATTAGTCATTTTTGACTAATTCTATTTTAGAGAGTTACTACTGTTAAACTTTGCTACCGTCAACTGCAACTATCAAACAAATACTAAAGATAATATGACCATTTCTCTCCTTTTATTTTGATCCTCATATCAAAACAAAATATGCAGCCAATATCAAAGCTGCGAAAGGCGTTTTATAGCGACCGAAAAAAAGAGCGGCTGACGCAAAAAAAGGCAGAAAATTATCCAATGTATGTTTAAGTATCATATGCAAGAAAGTTTATCGTAATAAGTACTGATTGACTCTTTGATTTTGCGCCCCCGAAATGTTGCGCCTGCGTGCGTGCACGCACTGCACGCTCGCCAGGAACGGGCCTGTATATGCCTATTCTTATACCATATCCAAAGTACACTCTCATTTCGAACGCACTCCATGTATTAAATCCTTAAAGTATGGAAACCCCAAGCAAGCGGCATAGTTAAACTCATCTAGAGAGTAATACTTTCTAGATCGAAACAGGTTTAAATCATGAGCGAGTCGAGAGTTATTCGAGCTCGATAATTTTATCAGGTGACTACGGGACACCCTGTATATATTTTTAAAATATTATTTAATTATTTATTTTAATTTAAAACAATTTTTAAAATTTACTTACTTACTAATTTGTAAGATAACCTTATAATCATTTTGTTGTCTAGAGGACACCTAATACATTGATTGCAATATTTTAGCGGATTAAGAAAACATATCGAATCAAATTTATCTGGATGGAAATCCATTTTTGATTCTGGGGAACCTCAAAATATACCATTACCTGAACCTTGGAATACAAAATTAAACACTTTTCAAAAAATTATTATTTTAAGATGTATAAGATTTGACAAAATTGTTCCAGCCGTGCAAAATTTTATAATTGGTAAGTAGGTAAACATTTATAATATAATAATATTGTTGCACCCGTCAATACTAAACACATGAAAATAATAACTCAATTTTAAAAATGTACAGGGTGAACCAAGTAAGGTGACCTCTATACGTACTTATCTGAGAAACTACTGTAGTAAAAATTGTCTAGGACAAAAATTAATGCAGTTAAAAAAATGTAATCTTATTTTTTATTTATACAGGGTTTTCCCTTAGACGATAGCAAATTTCGTATTTTTAATAAAATAATCTGCATTTTTTTGAATTTTTTGAATCTACAGACTTTTTAAGGTATGCTTTGTAAATATATTATTTAAAAAATTCGATTTTAGTACTTTTTGAGTAAACTAAAGATTAAACAAATTTTCTTTAAATGTCGAAAAATGCTAAAAGTCAGTCACGTTCTAACACTCTACATAGCAAGACGTATCGCTCCTAGTCCCGCTCTCCACTAGCCTAAACTGGGCGTATGGCCCGCCCGGCGACAAAAATCCGGGAGTGGCCTGTCATCCACGACCTCCTAGGGTAGATCTACCAGCCGGCGTAAAAACTTTGGATCGAACAAACACAGGTAATGCTGTGCATTGGCGGGATACGAATGAGAACCGAAAGGGGGTAAAATAACCCTGGGAGATTAGTGTAAGGTAGTCGGTAATGGGGCCTGCCATACGTCCCCATACTCAAAAAGAAAGATTTTTAACTTTTAAATTTGACATTTTCCGCAGTATGTAGAAAACCGTGTAAATTATTTTGAAATAAAATTATTACCAACACGAAGCTTGGTTAATATTATAAAATTTATAAAGGTATCAGTCTTTTTTTTACGTGTGTAAAAATTCCAAAGAAGGGGTAAGAAGCAAAATGGTACAAGTGGATTTTAGCATGGTTTAAGTAAAGTACAGAATTGGGTAGAGTCAAATTTTGTTTAATGCAAACAACAATATTAAAATCTGGATAATTATCCAGATTTTTGTATTTTGATTTATATGGCGAAAAATTTAAAAGTTATTAACTTCACTTCTTTTGTTTGCCCTTCAAATGGTATTTCAAACACCAATAAAAATTATTATCATAAGAAGAAAAAAACAAATTTTACTTGATTATTTTTAACTTTTAGCAACTGCCTACATTCAAAGAAAATTTCTTTAATCTTTAATTTAGGTACTCAAAAAGTACTAACTTTTTTTTAACTTATATATTTACAAAGTATATCTTAAAAAGTGTGTAGAATCCAAAAATGCAAAAAAAATACTGGGTGTTCCATTGAAAATAAGACAGTTGGTATCGTCCCAGGGGTGCTATCCTTGACAAGTGAGTTTGAAAATCGCATACGCTTTTGCGTTCGAATATCTAGTTTCTTATTCTTGGCCACTCGCACATGCTGCGTATGCGCATTAAAAGCGAATGATTTACAGCGAGCGGAATTTGTATTCGTTTTCGTCGATAAGTGTTCGTTTTATTCAAACTTTTGACATAAGTTATATGTCACATTACCTTCCATTGTGAATATGGATGAATTAATTCAGATAATTTTAATAAATGTGTTAGAAAATGTGGAGGCAAGGCAAAGACGTCGTTATAGGCAGCGAATAGATCCATTCGAAGACTTATCGGACTTACATTTTATTAAAGTATTTCGTTTGACGAAAGAATTAACTCAATACCTAATAAATCGTTTGGAAATCTACATTACCCCAGCGCGTCGCCCTACAGATTTGAGTATATCCACCAAGGTAAGTTATTATCGATATATTTATTTACAAACTTGCATAAATAACCAGTTTTTCAAAATATGTTCTTAGTTCTGTGTATCCGCACAATAGATTCTAGTGTGATTTTTTCTTACCCATTTTCAATTTTTAAGGTGTTAGTGTGTTTACGGTTTTTGGCCAGTGGAAGCTATCAAATGGACATTGGTTCAAATTATAACTTTGCCATAGCCCAGTCATCTGTATCAAGATGTATAGAGGAAGTGGTAAATGCCATTAACAGGGATGAAATATTTCGAGAACATGTTAGATTTCCACAAAATATAGAAGAACTTAACGTCCTAAGAACAGGGTAGATACCTAGACTGTTTTTGTTAAAATGTTATTTTATTGATACTAATTAATTTTTAGGTTCTTCCAAAAATATGATTTCCCTGGTATTATTGGATGTATTGATTGCACCCACATAGCTATATTTCCTCCAAAAATCAATGATGTAAACTATCCAGAGCATATTTATATTAATAGAAAAAATTATCACTCAATTAATACACAGTTGGTAAATATATAAAGAATAATTAATCTATCATGACTATATTATATTATATTTTAGATTTGTGATCACAATTTGAAGATATTAAATGTAAATGCACTCTTTCCAGGTAGTACTAATGATGCGTATATATGGGGCCAATCACATGTTCAAAATATTTTAAGAAGAATCCACGAAACTGGCAATACTGAATATTTTTTATTAGGTATTATACTTTATCAACTATCAATTAAATAGTTCCTTTAATTTCATTTATTAACAGGTGACTCTGGCTACCCTTTGAGGACATGGTTAATGACACCATTAGAACAAGAACCTCAACCAAACACACCTGAGCATTTCTACAATGCAAGACATAAATCAATAAGAAGCATAATAGAAAGAGTTAATGGTGTGTTAAAGATGAGGTTTCGTTGCCTATTAAAGCACAGGGTGTTACATTATTCACCAGAAAAGGCTACTAAAATTATAAATGCATGTGTTGTACTACACAATTTATGTATTGATCACAATATTTTACCTGTTGATGATGAAGGGGAAGAAGGTGAACAACATGATTTAGGAATATATAATGCTCAAATTTTGGTTGAAGAACGAGTCAATCCTGAATTGGCAGCAGGTAGACGAAAAAGGAGCAGACTAATACAAGTTCTAAGACAATAGCATCATAGTACATTTATTATCCGAACACCCTGTATAAATAAAAAATATAATATAAAAAAAATGTTTCATTTCATCAATATTTGATCCCTACAAGTTTTTTGTGACTCCAGTAGTTTCTCACCTTACGTGGTTCACCCTGTACCTGATTTAAACATGTGAATTAAAAAAAACACTAAAATAACTATATAATTTTTTTTTATAAAAAATGCGGATTTCTCAATAACTATAAAAAAGTAGATCCATTAAAAATGTCTTATGACTTATATTATAATATGATATACAAGAGAGTCACAAGACATTTTCAATGTACCGTTTTTTTGATATAATAATATAATCTTGAAAAGCATGGAAAAACATAAGGAGTTTAAACCATAACATTTTTAAGAAATGAATTTTTATAGCTTGACCCCTACGTCATCATAGTAAGGATATAGGTAGCTCAGACATTCCTATTGTATTTCCAAGCCGCATGACGTTTTACATCGATGACGGCCAATTAAAAAAAAAAACAAATTATATGAACTTATGTTACAAATATAATATTACATATAATGTTAAATATTATTTTATTTTTAGAAAAATTGGGAAAAGAATTTATTGAACCTCCTCCATTTGATTTATCATCATCATTTTCTGATTCTCATGCTTGTATTCCTTTAATATTTATTTTAACACCTGGGGCTGATCCAACAGCTGTTTTACTAAAATTTGCTGATGATCAAGGATTTGGGCAGGGAAGATTATTTGCTTTATCACTAGGACAAGGGCAGGGTCCAATAGCTATTAGGCTTGTCGATGATGGTGTTAAAAATGGTACATGGGTAGTCCTTCAAAATTGTCATTTAGCAAAAAGCTTTATGCCTGCCTTAGAAAGAGTAAGTATATTATTTTCAATATTTGTAAATAAAATGCGTATTTTTAAATAGCTATTTTTATTATAAAAAATTGCACCCTTTTAATACACTGAAAAAAAAATATTCTTGTATCAAATAAATTTATTTGATTCAAAACAATCTGTGTCTCATATATAACGAAGAGAATATATTCTTTAAAATAGAAAAGTATTTTCTTAATTCACGTTGATTTACTTTAAGAATATTTTCTTAATGTAAGAAAATTAAATTTCTTTAAATAAAACTTTGATTGTTTAAAAGCAAGAATATATATTTTTTACAAAAACAAAGAAACACTGCATAATTAGGCATAAAATTTAAGAGGAACGTGTCGGCATCCCCACTTCTACGCAGTTTTAAGAATATGTATTCTTGGCAAAAGAAAATACTGTTTATAAAAACAAATAAACAAATTTAAGAATATCTATTTCTTAATATAAAAAAATTAAAAATATCGTATTCTTGATATAAAAATATTAACAATTGTACCAAGAAACCAACTTAGATTTCCTTCAAGAATATTTAATATTTGAATTAAAACATGCAACTTTTTAAAACAAGAACCTGTTTCTTAATACTAGAATATTTTCAAAAATACAAAATTCTTTTTTAAAGAAGTTAAATATTTTTAATTGAAATATATATTCTTATTTTAAAGCAAGTTGACTTGAATTAAAAAAATATTTTCAAGATGATTGGTATTCTAAATGTAAGAAATCTTTTTTTTCAGTGTAGTTATTTACGTGTCAAGCCTTGTAAATTAGTGTGTCCCTAGTAAAGATTAATTGCTAAACGTGACACGTACAAACTTTTATTTTCACCTTCATATGGTTATTTTCGGGTGACGTTCATAATATCGAAATTCACTTTATCGAATTCAAAATATCGAACACTTTTTATCGAAAATCAAAATATCGAAAATACAAAATGTCGAAAATCAAAATATCGAAAATTAAAATGTCGAAAATGATAATATCGAAATTTTATTTAATCGAATTTTCAATTTATCGAAAATAAAATATCGACGTTCATAATATCGAAATTCACTTTATCGAATTCAAAATATCGAACACTTTTTATCGAAAATCAAAATATCGAAAATACAAAATGTCGAAAATTAAAATGTCGAAAATGATAATATCGAAATTTTATTTAATCGAATTTTAATGTGAAACTAAACCATATTTTCTTATTTTGAATTTGATATTTTGTTTAAATATTTCAATTAATCGACATATTATTTTAATCCGAAGTGTATATGTATAGAGGCGCCTCTGATATAGAAATGTACTCAAACTCAACAACACAACCCAACCGACCCCGCCCCATTGGCCCCCCCCCCGCCCCATTGAGCAAAAAACCCAACTAAAATGGGCTAATTTATGTAATTAAAAAGTGTTTTATTTTTATCGTAACATGAATTTGCCCATTTTAGTTGGGTTTTTTGCTCAATGGGGCGGGGGGGGGGCCAATGGGGCGGGGTCGGTTGGGTTGTGTTGTTGAGTTTGAGTACATTTCTATAAAACGCGCATCTCTAGGAGCCAGGGAGCCAAGATAATTCGGTGCATAACCGTAACTTTATCTACAGAGGCGCCTCTGTACATATACACTTCGATTTTAATCATACATTTTAATTTTCGATAGTTTTAAATCGATATTTTAATTTTCGAAATTTTAATTATTCGACATTTTCAAATCGACATTTTAATTTTCGATATTATCATTTTCGACATTTTCAAATCGACATTTTAATTTTCGATATTATCATTTTCGACATTTTAATTTTCGAAATTTTAATTATTCGACATTTTCAAATCGACATTTTAATTTTCGATATTATCATTTTCGACATTTTAATTTTCGATATTTTGATTTTCGACATTTTGTATTTTCGATATTTTGATTTTCGATAAAAAGTGTTCGATATTTTGAATTCGATATAATGAATTTCGATATTGTGAACGTCACCCGTTATTTTCAAATAGAAAATTTTAATTTTCACCTTTTTAGTAAATGACATTTAACAGGTTAATTTTGTTGTTTTTGTAACCAAGTAAACGATAAATTATGAAAACAGACCTGTAATTTGCTTTTCCACAAGCCTTTTAAACTTGACAGAGGGGAATCTCGATTCTCGTTTAAGAGGAGTGCGTCCCTAGGAGAAATATCTAATCTCATCACCGGAAACTCTTTCAGGAGAACCAAACGATCGCATGATTTGAAGAATGCAGTCTGTCAAAACTTGAGAGAAACACGCCCACGTGAGAATAGCGTTCTTTCAACTCGAGTAATCGCTCCGTATTTCTTTTATACAAGCCTGTGAAAAATTAAAGGTCTGTTTCCATAATTTATCGTTTACTTGGTTACAAAAACAAAATTAACCTATAAAATGTAATTCATCAAGAAGTTGGAAATTAATGTTTTAAACTAAACTACATAATATTTTTTTATCCACGGCTATAGTCGGTATACCTTATAATATATACTTTATAAATGAGTTTTCTAAAGCAAAATGATAGTCATATTTCACAGAGTGAATAATAGCAGTGAATAATCATTATTCACTGGTCTAGAGTTCCTATAGGACACACGATATAGATTGTATCTGGCAAGCACTTATCAGTTCGTCTAGGCAATTATAGCCAGGCACTTTAATTAGCTAACTTTATACCAATCATAAAAGTCTTGTTAAAGTATTACTTTAATATGTTTTTTTAATGCAATTGAATAAAAATTTAACATTAAGTAGACTATTTCAAGTAAGTAAGCCATTGACATGACATGACAAGCTTAGCATAAATTGCTGTCAATTTGAAACGTCATAAGTTCGATCCAGCACACGATTTTTGTTACAAATTATTATTAAGCTTAAATTATACATAAAAAATCAAAGCGTGAAAGATGAAGAGATGTTACGCACTCAACAAAACATCACAGAAGTCACTTTTCGAAATACGAATTACCTAAAAAATCACATTCATTGGAAATAAAATACTGCATAATCTATAAATAATAGAATTATCAAGTAGGTAGTAAGCCATGTAATCAACTGACAACTAATAATTATTTTAAACGTCAAATTTTAACGACGCGGTGGTGCAATAATAATCGCTGTGGCTCCCGTCCCGAGGCGGGACTTAAGTTCAGTCCCGATTGACGTCACACACTGTAAATCCGTTTTTATTCCCCGAGATTTTATAATTTGTGTCAAGCTCGATTGCTTAGATGGTAGGGCGGTCGCTTATTTAATTTAGAAATATATTGATTTTGATTTTGATTTTGCGGTCGCTTGGCATGCGAGAGGTACCGGGTTCGATCCCACTAGAAGTTGTCAAACTTTTTTTATTTTTTTTATTTTATAAATTTGTTGTTTCTTTGTTAAAAAGTGTTTTATTTTTATCGTAATATAAATTTGCCCATTTTAGTTGGGTTTTTTGCTCAATGGGGCGGAGGGGGGGCCCAATGGGGCGGGGTCGGTTGGGTTGTGTTGTTGAGTTTGGGTTGGTTTGGTTTTATGACGTAACTAAAGTGCCCTTAACATGTATACAGGTACAATTTATTATTATTAATATTTTATTATAACATAACAAATCTTAAAATTATGACGTCAATCGGGACTGGACTTAAGTCCCGCCTCGGGACGGGAGCCACAGCGAATAATAATTCCTGTTAAAATTATAATTTGCTTTCAAAAATACGTTAACAATGGAAATTGATAGTGAGGAAGAGATATTGTGTACTCCACCGGAGATAACAGAAGCTGCAAAAGTCACTTCCATGAATTTGTTGCCTGAGAAATCCCGAAATTTGTACGTATCTGTGTACAACACCTTTATGGACTGGAGAGCGACCAAGAAAATTAATTCATTCTCAGAGTCAGTTTTACTGGTATATTTTATATATATATATATATATATATATATTACAATTAATATAAATAAATAGTTTTAAAAATAGTCACAGGTATCTTTAATTTTTGGTTTTGTTAATGTCAAATAGGTTATAATAAATATAAAGTTTTTTGCATTACAATCCGTTAAAAGTCAATAATAGTCGTGGACAAAGCATAGTATTCTACTGACATATAATGAGCTATTATTCACTCAGGTTAATTATGTCACTCGCTACGCTCGTGACATAAACTTAACCTTCGTGAATAATAGCCCTCATTATATGCTCGTATAATGCTCGTTTATTATTTGTTGATGGTATTTATCTAGTAGGCGGATATAATCAGTTGCTTTAAAATATTTTGATGTTTTTGGTTTAATTTATAAATTGGCTATTACATTTTGTGCTTCTAAGACGATTTTTCGTACGAAGTGCTCTAGATCGAACAGAACTCGAACTCGAATAATTTTATATTATAGTAGAGGATCCCAAGTAAGGTCGACCTTCACCCATCTGCTTACCAGATGAAAATTATATTTTATCAAATAAAATATGTTTCTGAACATAAACCAATAGGGTTGCCATAAAAAAATATGATCAAGGCTAGCTATAATAAATAAAAAATTAAAAAAAAATAATTAATTTTTTAAATTTCACCGACTTGCTTGCCAAATGAACGAAATTGCAATGGAAAGCATACAACATACAGAATATGTAACAGCTAGGTTGCCTACCTTTTTCTGGTCCCTATTACCTGGTTGCTTTGTACAGGGTGATCCCCTATAATGTCGCCCCCCTTTAACTTTTTTATTTTAAGTGTCCCAAAAAATTTAAAAGTTTGGTTATGTAGGTACTAAAAAATACTTTTTTTCTGCGTATAAAGAAAATTGGAAAATTGATCAGTATACAGGGAAAAACAAAAAGTTTTTTTTTTCAATGATTCACTGTATATATGAATTTATTTTTCGATTCCTTGTAAAATTCTGAGCATAATTTATATAACAAACCATATACCTAAATTCAACCGTTTCTGAAATATTCGCATTCGAAATGTCATCATTAAATGTTTTTTTAAACTGTTAGAAATCAAGAAGCCTCAGTATACCAAAATTTTTATTGAAAATAAATTACTATAGTGACATTATGTCAATAAGTGTTGTTAAATAAGTAAAAATAATTGAAATATTTCAGAAACGGTTGAATTTAGGTATATGGTATGATATATGAAATATGCTTAGAATTTTACAAGGAATAGAAAAATAAATTCATATATAGAGTGATCCATTGAAAAAAATAAACTTTTTGTTTTCCCTGTATACTTATCAATTTTCCAATTTTCTTTATACGTAGAAAAAAAGTATTTTCTCGATTTTTATGTAAGAATGTCATATTCTCGCACGCAAAATCGTTGAAGAATGAAGCTCATTCTTAAACGATTTTTGGTAATATTTAGTTTTTAAGTATTGGTACCCCCAAAATGTCAAAATGTTTAATAACCTCAAATTCATTACTTTTAGGATTATTTATAATAGCTTTGTTTGTTATCCTGCACTAGTGCAACATGAACTACACTTTTATTGAAAATGAAGCCTTTATTATTGTTTTGTTATATTAAGTTTGCTCCAACAATGCATTTTAATGCAAAATATTAAGTTTAATGTGAAAAAGTGCAGTTCAGGTTGTACTTGTGCAGGATAACAAATATTGATAAATAAATGAGCCAAACAGGTCAATCAAACTATATTTTATTGGAAATATTATAAACTTTTATTGTAATGTAATTGTAATTGTAATGTATTGCTTCTAAAACCTCCTGTGACATTTTTCACTGCTAAAAGTAAACACAATTGTTCAAAAATATCAGAAAACATTAAAAAATAATACAATACTTACACAAAACCCTACTATCCAGTTGACAAATACAGACAGATTATTAATAAATAGTAAATAAAAATAAATCTACCTGTCCATGCAACTGTCATTTTGTGTTACCAACTGACATTTTGCGAGAAAAATCCCCCAACTAACAACGACCACAAAACAATTAAAAAATCCTAAATAAAAGTTAAAATCGAGAAAATAGTATAAATCACACGTTGCAGAAGGCTATTCTCGCACTTATTCGTTCGTCCACTCGCTCCTTCGTCGCTCGAGGCCAAATTTCGAATTCGTGCGAGAATATGTGGCCTTCTGCAACTTGTACTTTAATATACTATTCTCGATTTTTATGTAAGAATGTCATATTCTAGCACGCAAAATCGTTGAAGAATGAAGCTCATTCTTAAACGATTTTTGGTAACATTTTGTTTTTAAGTATTGGTACCCCCAAAATGTCAAACTGTTTAATAACCTCAAATTCATTACTTTTAGGATTATTTATAATAGCTTTGTTTGTTATCCTGCACTAGTGCAACCTGAACTACACTTTTATTGAAAATGAAGCCTTTATTATTGTTTTGTAATATTAAGTTTGCTCCAACAATGCATTTTAATGCAATATTTTAAGTTTAATGTGAAAAAGTGTCCAAGATAACAAATATTGTCATTTTGTGTTGCCAACTGACATTTTGCGAGAAAAATCCCCCAACTAACAACGACCACAAAACAATTAAAAAAACCTAAATAAAAGTTAAAATCGAGAAAATAGTATAAATCACACGTTGCAGAAGGCTATTCTCGCACTCATTCGTTCGTCCACTCGCTCCTTCGTCGCTCGAGGCCAAATTTCGAATTCGTGCGAGAATATGTGGCCTTCTGCAACTTGTACTTTAATATACTATTTTAGTTCCTACATAACCACACTTTTAAATTTTTTGGGACACTTAAAATAAAAAAGTTAAAGGGGGGCGACATTATAGGGGATCACCCTGTACAAAGCAACCAGGTAATAGGGACCAGAAAAAGGTAGGCAACCTAGCTGTTACATATTCTGTATGTTGTATGCTTTCCATTGGAATTTCGTTCATTTGGCAAGCAAGTCGGTGAAATTTAAAAAATTAATTATTTTTTTTTAATTTTTTATTTATTATAGCTAGCCTTGATCATATTTTTTTATGGCAACCCTATGGGTTTATGTTCAGAAACATATTTTATTTGATAAAATATAATTTTCATCTGGTAAGCAGATGGGTGAAGGTCGACCTTACTTGGGATCTTAGACTATTAAGTTTGACCAATTTTAAAACATTGTGATAGCGTACAGGGGCGTAGGAAGGGGGTTTTAAGATTTTTTTAGAAAGTTTATGAACTTTATAGGTAGTTTCATTTTACCCTTAAAATTTACAAAACCATTACCATCTCCTACGCCTAAAATGATTTATGGTAAAATGGCAAACTTACTAAACACAAATGGCAGCAAATGTCTTCTGTTTCCAAATAACCCTATTGGTAAACCCATTATGATATATTTTGAAAATAATTTAATTAAAATATTGCTAACAGTTACACGTCAACAAGAAAAAAACAAACACATTAATTTTTGTAAATTTAAAATTACCATTTAAAAGTAGGTAGGGTTAGTTAACCAGTAATTGACCAGTTAAGGAAATTTTCGTGAATAAATTATTATATTTTCCTCTATTTTTAGTTTAAAATAAAATAAAAAATATCATTGAGTTTAATTTTGTTTTAAGATTTGATAACAGCTGACTAAAAAATAAAAAGAGTTTCTATGCCGACGAAAAAAAATTTAATGCACGAAAATTCATGATTTTCCAGTGGTTGACCAATGCCTTGTAAGCAGATATCATTAATAAAACTGTGCCATCTAGAAGTTTAGGGGTAAAACACTATGCAAATAATATAAGTTTTTAATTAGGTAATACAGGGACCTTGCTTTTATCATTTAATCGGTAAGTTGGTCAATAACTGGTTGATGGTCAATTACTGGTTAACTGACCCTATTTGTAATAATATTATAATAATAATATATTATTATTATTTTAGATTAAGTTGCTGGTTAACATTTTAAATTATAAAAATTATTTGATATTCTTTGAAATTTAATTAAGTTTTTGTTTTTGTTCTTTATAAAGATATGCGAAAATTTGACTCCCGACTCCACTCATCCTGACTTTCGACTATGGCTCACATCATATCCGGCTGATCATTTTCCTGTATCTGTATTACAAAATGGAGTAAAAATGACCAATGAACCTCCGAAGGGATTAAGAGCTAATATTAACAGGTCCTACTTAAGTGATCCAATATGTGATATTGAGTGGTTTGAAAGTTGTAAACAAAGTTTGGCTTTTAAAAGACTTCTTTTTGGACTTTGCTTTTTTCATGCATCTGTACAAGAAAGAAAAAAATTTGGACCATTAGGTTGGAATATACCATATGAGTTTAATGAAACAGATTTAAGAATTAGTGTCATGCAGCTTCAGATGTTTTTAAATCAGTATGAGGTAAGCTTCAAACATTTATGTCAAACAAGTTTGAAATACTTTATGATATTTTTCCAAAATTCCCTCTTAAAATTTAATAAAATGGTTTAACTTCATATTAACAAAAATTAAGCCTTAAAAATAAAATGTTGTATGCCATGCGGCTGAAAAATGTATTTTTATTCTTCGCTAAATTAAAGGCATCCGCTACGCGTCGGCATTCAAACTTTGACTTTAGCATAAAATAACTCACTTTCCAGCCTTATGCCATAAAGAACTATTTTTTAGGATGTTCAATATGATGCTCTACTTTATTTAACTGGAGAGTGTAATTATGGTGGTCGCGTAACTGACGATTGGGATAGAAGATGTTTGTCCACAATATTGCATAAGTTTTATTGTAAAGGAATTGTTGAAGTCCCAAACTTTCCACTAGATCCCTCTGGTATTAAAAATTACCTTGTTTATATAACAATACTTAACATTTATTTTACAGGTAAATATTATTGTCCAGATAAGGAGGATTATGAAGATTTTATAAACTATATTAGATCATTGCCATTAATTTCTCATCCAGAAGTATTTGGGATGCATGAAAATGCTGATATTTTAAAAGATCAGCAAGAAAGCGGTTTACTTTTTATGAATACACTATTAACACAGGTATATAAATAATATATAAAATTTATTTAAAACAAACGTTATTCTTATGAAAAGCTGCACTCTGGGGACCTTCTCCGAGGTTTAGTTTTTACTTTATAGTTTTTACTTTATTCTATATAAAGAAAAAAAAGAAAAAAAATTGAATAATAAAAAATAAGCTTAAAACTATTTTACATTATCATTATTATTGATATTCTTTTTACACGGAGAGAAAAATTTTGCCAAAATATCTATCCAAAGAATTGTTAAATGACGTATCGTGAATTTAGTCAACTGTTTTATTAAACTGAGGATCTGTATAGCTAATTTAGCCATACAAATCCTCAGTTTAATAAAACAGTTGACTAAATTCACGATACGTCATTTAACAATACTTTGGATAGTTATTTTAGCAAAATTTTTCTCTCCGTGTACGGCTATTTTTTTAGGAAATATATTGCAAAATCTATTACAAATTTTCCAAATAATTTATATATTTGATTTGTTGTAGATGCTTGTAATCTTTTGCAATCAGTATACTGAAATACACGCGGTTAAATAAAGTTATTGAATTCATTTAACGACATTTCCAAAGCATGGGTAAACTATAGTATACTTTATATTTTAATAAATAAATTGTATGCATATAATTTACGAGGTAACAAATTGTCACTGACAATCCTTTTTTTTCGAAAGTAGAGTAGTAAAACATTAATTTGGTGATAATTTTAAGCGGTTATTAATGACTAAGGTAAAAATATAAAAAAACGATTTTTAAACATACCTATATCCTAAAAAAAAGCCGAAAAAGAATGGCTTTAACTTTATTGCAGCCGCATTTTCCCCTATAATACGTTTCGCACACCAACACATCAAACATGCAACATCTGACATAAAGTGCCCAATCAGACAGATTATATTTGGGTGACGTTCATAATATCGAAATTCACTTTATCGAATTCAAAATATCGAACACTTTTTATCGAAAATCAAAATATCGAAAATACAAAATGTCGAAAATCAAAATATCGAAAATTAAAATGTCGAAAATGATAATATCGAAATTTTATTTAATCGAATTTTCAATTTATCGAAAATAAAATATCGACGTTCATAATATCGAAATTCACTTTATCGAATTCAAAATATCGAACACTTTTTATCGAAAATCAAAATATCGAAAATACAAAATGTCGAAAATTACAATTAATGTGAAACTAAACCATATTTTCTTATTTTGAATTTGATATTTTGTTTAAATATTTCAATTAATCGACATATTATTTTAATCCGAAGTGTATATGTACAGAGGCGCCTCTGATATAGAAATGTACTCAAACTCAACAACACAACCCAACCGACCCCGCCCCATTGGCCCCCCCCGCCCCATTGAGCAAAAAACCCAACTAAAATGGGCTAATTTATGTAATTAAAAAGTGTTTTATTTTTATCGTAACATGAATTTGCCCATTTTAGTTGGGTTTTTTGCTCAATGGGGCGGGGGGGCCAATGGGGCGGGGTCGGTTGGGTTGTGTTGTTGAGTTTGAGTACATTTCTATAAAACGCGCATCTCTAGGAGCCAGGGAGCCAAGATAATTCGGTGCATAACCGTAACTTTATCTACAGAGGCGCCTCTGTACATATACACTTCGATTTTAATCATACATTTTAATTTTCGATATTTTTAAATCGATATTTTAATTTTCGAAATTTTAATTATTCGACATTTTCAAATCGACATTTTAATTTTCGATATTATCATTTTCGACATTTTAATTTTCGAAATTTTAATTATTCGACATTTTCAAATCGACATTTTAATTTTCGATATTATCATTTTCGACATTTTAATTTTCGATATTTTGATTTTCGACATTTTGTATTTTCGATATTTTGATTTTCGATAAAAAGTGTTCGATATTTTGAATTCGATATAATGAATTTCGATATTGTGAACGTCACCCATTATATTTACCCGATGTTGCATGTTGCGTGTTTAATGTTTCATTGGTGTGAGATGTTCTACAAAAAAGTGTGACAGCAGATAATTATTTAATTAACAAGTCATGTAATAAGTAAATAATTATTTAGGTTGATTCATTAATATTGCGAAAAAAATTAGGATAAGATAACTTGCATAAAAATAAGAAAAAAACTTTATATTAACTATTTTTCGAAACGCTTCGCTTAAATTGAATATTTACAAAATTTTTCTGACTGTTTAATTTTTTTAATGTATGCAAAACAAATAGCAGTAGATTATTAACAATTAAAATAATGCAAAATATCGTTAATTTAAAAAGAGATAAATGCTGTGCGTTATAACTGTATACAGTGAGATAAAGTAGATTAAGATACCTATACAATACAATAAAATCCGATGACAGAGATACGATACGATATTTTTTTCACTGCCAGCCGAGTCAGTAAATTGCGTGCAAAGCTTTCGCCGACGAAATATTTCTACTTTTAATTACTTTTGGTAAAATATATTAATAATGCTACATGGAAATTGTTGGAGTTTAAAGCTCGATTTTAGTTAAAACGATTTTTCTCTTATTTTTATGCAAAGGCTTGAATTATTTTGCAATATTAACATTGCATTATTAGCCATACAAAGCTAAATATTGGAAAATTTTCGTGTACATGCATTTTATAAGGTGCGCAAATTTGTCCTGAAAATCACTTTTCTCAATATTACCGAGAGCAATTCTGTTTAAACAAATAAAAAAATTCACTTAGGAGTATATTTAAATCCAAATGCCTATAAAAAATATATGTAATAAATTACCGACCCCATTGATTTCGATTTGTATTATATATTTTTTGCTCTCAAGGATCGCATAGTAAGTATATAATATTACATTATATTAACTACGGTTTCGCGAAAGGATCGAACGGTCTATTTGCAAGGGTTGAAGAAATCGATTGAAACTTTTTTACCTTATTTCTACATCTAAATGCAGTACTTAAAAAAAAAATCTTGTCCATTGACAACTTTGTTTTTATTTTTTTCTTCACTGTGTTCAAAATGAAGAAATTTCATTTTTTTAAATACCTTTTTTATTTCAAAACGTATCGATTTGAAATTTTACTAATGACAATTAATCCATGAAAAAATTTTGTTTAGATTTTAATGTATGTACAGAGGGCGCTGGTGATAATTTAATTTAAAATTTAGCAACTTTGTTTTATAAATTTGAGCATAACACGTTAAAGTATTGATATTTGACTATTATTTGATATATTAACTTTTTTATGCAAGTGATGTTTCTGTGGCCAGGATCAGTTTTGAATTAGCAGTAGCAGTATTCATAAATGTTTAGTTTAGTACATTTTGTCATTTTTATACAAATATTGTTGTATCTTTTATTAATAATTAAGTATAGCATAACACATAAATGACGTTTAATATATAGTGTTTCACGTACATAGTCCGTTAGAAGTTTCTAGGGAATCGCGAAAGACATCGATTTAAAATTTTAATAGCGTCGATTATTCGATTTAGACTAAATTATTTTGAATAAAATAATACCTCCTGTTTTACCGGAAATGTCTTTAACTTTAAACAGGACGCCTCATATATTTTTACATTTCAAAGTCAATATTTTCCGAGTTATTAATTTTTCAATCAAATATTTTAATTAATTTTATCTACGCCAGTGAGATAAGAACTTCTTATCCCACTCATTTTGAGTGAGATAAGAAGTTCATTAACGCACGCGTTTTTCTCTGCTTTTAACCAATCAAATAAAAAAGTCAAAATGTCAAAATGTCAAAATAACCCTAAATTAAGTCTTAGACAAAAATAATTATCGTTTATTTTTTTCATTTAGAGGCGTAGATAAAAATTTGTACAATATACGTGTGATAACGCTTTATTAACGTACTTTTGCGATTGCCCAACTCGGGCTACGCACTCGTTGGGCAAATTTCGCATGCGTACGTTAATAAAGCTCTTATCCCACTTATATCGTAAATAACTATTAAACAATGACAGATTAACTGGTAACCATGGATATTTCACAGGTTTGTTGATACAAAATAGTATTGAAAATATTAGAAATTGTTAAATGTCTCTGAAATTTTAACTTTAGGAAACAGTTATTATAATACCAATCGAAAGATTCTTTAATTTTCTATTTGATTATGTTAAAACATACAGGGTTTTACATTCATAATAAAAACATTATTATTGTTTGAAGTTTGCCTAATTTCAAGTGGTTTTTCTCAAGCTATTTGTTAAAAAACCTTTAATTATATTAAATATAAAAAAAATGCAAAATAACTAATTACAAAAAAGCGAAAAACAACTGAATAAAAAATATATATATTATATTATTGCCATAAGGTCTACATTTTATTTTAATTTCAAATCGATGCTTTTTTTTAAATAAAACATTTAGATGTAGAAACAAGATTAAAAAAATATATTCAATTCTGGCACCACTTGCATTCAAATGTCCATAATTTGTTCGATTTTTACGCGAAACCATAGTTAAACGCTAAAATAATTGTTTTTTCTTAATGCAATCTTAAGGATCTCATAGTAAGTATTATTATTAGTATTATATATATTCTCCAAGATGTACCACACATAAAGTATATGTGCATTACTTTATAATCCAGGGATATTAGACATTTAACATAAATAAAAAATAATAACAGGCTAAAAATTTGGTATTAGTGTTTTGTAAAAGTTAAAATATTCATCAATGTTAGGATATTGCAGTTGGTGACCGGTAACTTACGTGACATTTTCAACATAAAGCCTGCATTTTAGGAAAAAATTAATAGATTAGGGTTGTCATAATTTAAGTTCCCATTACCTTAAAATGCTACATGCTCATTACACTAAAAAAAACCTTGAGCGAGAATTAGTTTTCACAAAAATAAGTGGATACAGCATCGAAACAAGTTATATGAGAATTTACCCAATAACAAAAATGTACTGATTGGTTTAAGGTTAGACACGCTTAATTAATAACAGGGTTTCCCGAAAATGCCACACTAACGGTTTGCCATGCTGCAGCGCGCTGTAGGCGGATATTTAATATTTAAAAAACTTTTTTTTTGCTAAGCCTTTGTAACCTTACTTTTTTTTTCTAATGTTATATCACACATCTAACACTGGTTGTTATTAAAATAAAATAATAAATGCATCTGCTGTGATCTGAAATTTACCTAATTTACAGATGTAATTTTTGAGTTTTTGTTAAAAAAATTTAAACTCCCTAATAATCATCATAACTTTGGTAAACAAAGATTTTAGTTTTTAGTACACTATTTTTTAGGGGAAAGCGGGGGGGACGGGGTAATTAATGTTTGGGCTAGAATTACCACAAAAAACTGGTTAAGTTTAGGATTTTTTTAAACATACCCATTAATCAAGGGCTTAACTTCGTATTTCTAATTGAAATAATCTTCTATTTATTAATATAACATATTTAAAAAATATTTACCCCGTTCTGTCCCCAGAATGGGGTGGAATGGGATACTTTAAAATATTATGACAAATTAACATATTTGCGTAACTAAACGGCTTGTTCATGAATTCTAATGATCAACTTTGCCCATGAGTTTTTTGCGAGTAATTAGGAACAATGTAAAATAATTTCAAAAAAATATCGTGCTTAAAGCCATGGACTTTGATAAAAAGACAATGTTAAGCAAAACTGTTTGGACAAAAAATAAGCAAAATAACTACTGTATACAAGCTGCAATTCGCAATTCAAACAAATAAGCCAGAATGTACAAATCTGTCAACACTATAATTTTCGCACATTGCCAAACAAACCCCTAGATTAAAAGGCAGCATCGAACTGAATGGGGAGTAAATCGATGTCCACCAAAATTATACTAATTTTCGGGAGGCTTCGGCAAATCACAGATTTTAGAAGGGGTACTTCGTTCTATACCACTACCCCGTTCTGCCCTGCTTTTCCATACATAAAAACTATTATTTATATAGCAGGTTTTTAACCTGGTGGTAAAATGAACATCGTATTTTCTAATAGTTTGTGTCAAAAAATTTTAACTCATAATAATTTTAACTTTTTATTTTGAAACATTTTTAGAAAATTTCAAACTATCCATAGAATTCTTTTTTTTTTCATTCTTGTATTGCCTGATGCGACACAAACGGATAAAAAAGAAGTCTGGCTGGCTTTGGGGATACCCTGTATATTTTTGATATTTTATAGGATGCAATGTCATCATCTAGCTCACAAAAATCACCGGACGAACTTTTATTAGAAGTTTCATCGGATATTTTATCTAGACTTCCTTTGAATTACGATCGTGAAGCAGCAATGGAAAAATATCCAGTTTCCTATTCCCAAAGCATGAATACAGTTTTGGTGCAGGAAATGCTTAGATTTAATATTTTACTAACTACAATTAGAGAAAGTTTAAAAAATGTACAAAAGGCCATAAAAGGTAAACAAAAATTAATACTTATATAAGTACTTTTTATAATTATTATAAATATTATATACCTAATTGTATATCGATGACTTTCTGCCAAAGTATCGCAAGCAACATAAGTTATATTTCGATACTGCGATACTTTGGCAAAAAGTCATCGATATATTATATACAGTACCTAGCTATGAAACATTTCAAATGCAGAATAAATAAATTTTGAGTTGTCATTGTTTTTTTGAATAAGCAATATACAGGGTGTAACTAAAAATCTTGGCCAAACTATGGAACAAAAATAAAAAAGTATCGATAACACAAGTATACAAAAATAACTTAAAAGTTACACGCGGATTGATGCAAGCAAAAAATAAGGTTGCTTATCCAATGGATAATATCCATGTTTATCCAATGTGCTGAATTATAATTATATATTGCGTTGTTGCATTTTGATATTGATATTGATAGTCAACAAAGTTATACATTTAAAGCAAGTTGCGTGGCCACCGAGTTCTTAGGATTTTAGTACGTTAGATTTTTCTCATTGTCAAAGATCTTGTAATACTTTGACCGAAAACCTCCGCGACCGTATAAATTATAAGTTAGTGGAACACAAATGGCTAACTGCTTTTTTATTAAATAAAGTTATTTTGAGAAATAGGTACTCTAATTATCGCAGAATAAATTTCCAATTATTTAATTAATATACTTTTAATAAATTGCAATGTTAAGCATTTCTGGCCACATATTCATACAAACTGTTTTACAGTTTTCTTTCATACATCACGTTCTTGGCCAAGCATTCTAATTAAACCCAGTATAGGTATTTTTAATAATTAAGTAAAATGCAAATGTATTTATTAAATTTATTAAGGATTAATCGTGATGTCTACTGTATTGGAAGAAGTTGCTTCTAGCATGATGACCGGAAAAATTCCAAATGTATGGGCGAAACATTCGTACCCTTCGTTAAAACCGTTGGGAGGTTATGTAGCGGATTTTTTACAAAGACTGGCTTTTTTGCAGGTATAATTTTACCATTGAATAAATAGATGGGGAGCAACTGACCAAAACGCATTCAATACATACTTTAGGTACTTACTTATTCATAACCAAAACACATTCAATACATATTTTAAGTACATTCAATACATATTTTAAGTACCTAAGATAAGTACTAAATGCGTTTGATTGTATATAATAAATATATTTATTATATACAATCAGTGACGACCAGCAGCTTCGAAACGTGGAGTTTTTGGATGGGTAGACAAATATGGAGTTAAATAAAAAATGTTTGGATAAAATTGGGTACCTACTTTAATATGCAATTGAGTCTTCTATTTCATCAATTTTTTTAGCACTGATTCATATGAATTAATTTAAATAATAAGGTTAATGGCAATGAAATAGGGCACCTTTATAAATTAAATTTAAAATATTATATATATTCAGGGGTTGTAGAACCGTCGCATAGTGACTGGAACAGTCCAGTATTATTGGTGAAAAAAGCCAATGGAAAATACCGTTTTTGCTTTGATAGTCGCAGGTTAAATTCCGTTACAAAGAGAGATTCCTACCCTTTGCCATTGAATTTTAAACATGCTTCGCGATGCGAAATTCATTACCAGTCTCGACTTAAAGAGTGCCTTCTGGCAGATTCCTCTAGACCAGTAGTCTAAAGAGAAGTGTGCATTTAGTGTTTCCGGTAGAGAAAATTTTCAATTAGCAGTATTACCTTTTGGTTTGTCAAATAGTGCGCAGACACAACAAAGACTAATGGACAACATTTTGGGTCCGGAATTTGAACCCAATTTTTTCGTATACCTTGATCACATTTCATTATTGCATAAAGTATACGAACGTCTGAAAGACGCAAATTTAACTATAAATATCGAGAAATGTCAATTTTTCCGGAAGGAATTAAAATATTTAGGATTTGTTGTGGATGGAAACGGTTTGAGATCCAATTCTGAAAAATTCGAGGCTATGGTAAACTATCCAAGACCAACTACTACTACGGAAATTAAAAGGTTTATAGGGATGTGTTCGTAGTACACCGCTTTATAAATGGATTTAGGTCTTTGATTTCTCCTCTCAATGACCTTTTAAAGGGTAAGAAAGGCCAAAATAAACCTATCGAATGGTCAGATACTGCAGAATCTGCTTTTGTTAAAATAAACAATTTCTACTTTAGCCTATGAGCTTGAGTATCCTGATGGTACCAATGCGGGAGTATGGCATGTTTCTAAGATCAAACAATACTTTGAGTCAAATTCGAATATTTCTGTGGGGTAAGATAGATAAAACAGATAAATGTAACGTAGTTTATTTGTGAAGCTGTGCATACTGAGTTTTACCTTTGCAGACTTTCTTACCGTTTACTGCTTTGCAGTATGCTATAGTTTTGGTTTGCTAAATCTCACCGGTTTTTTGTAATGTCTGTAAATAAAACCATGGTTAGCTTTAGTTAGTTTAGGTTCAGTTAGTTTTAAGTTAAGTTTAGGTTTCAGTGTACGTGGTGACTCATACTCATTCCCTTGTAATACTGCTTTATGAAGTTATTTCCCTGCTAAAGTTTATACTATAAACGGTCTATAATAGACCCCACCGGCTTAAGTAAATTTACCGTTTATGACGTTTACCGATTGTGACAATTACCGGTTATGACCCTTTTTTAGGCGTTTGATATGCGTTAATTATCACAAGCCTTCTCTGGAATTTTGCTAGACTTTTCCGTCAGGCCAACATTGGAACCTCAACAATTGTTACTACGATAATTACGGCGAGATCGTACGGCCTGTACCTAAAACCCATCCAATTGATGGAACATCATCGTGCCGGATTATACCGTAGGGTGTAGTAGCTGTTTGGATTCTGGACTTGAGAGTGTGTTAAATGTGGATAGGGTGTCACTTCTGGCTCGGAACGTCTACCAGGGAAGGCGTCGAAATTCTCCATCGACGCGACTATTAACATCAAGGAGCGATGGGTTCTCTGGCGGCCCTGGTGGATTTTCTGTGTTGGGTGAGATACTCTCCCCGGTGCTACCACATTCTTGAGTGTGACAGCGAATTTAACTTGAGTTTTTTTGTGTAAGTCTACAGTAAATTTTTTTACTATAAACCAAATTTTGATTTCGGATAATCGAAGGTTTTGATTGTCCCTTCGATTAGACTGCTCGTTGGAGGGCTGGCCTGTTTCTAGGAACAGGAGTGACCGGCTAGGCTCCGTTTTTTTTGTTTTTAGGACTAGTTCCTAACTTTACTGGGTTTGTCAGGATCCTTCCTCTTTAAGGAGAAATTGCTTTCCACTTAAATTAACTTTTCTGATGTTTTATTTGCTTAAAAATTTGAGGCGTAGCATGACCGACGAGTCTGCTTCGTGCCTCTTCATATCTGTCACAGTTTTACTTTTAAATTTGTTTGTACTCTAGAATAAACATTTGCCCATTGACCCAACTCACCACTGAAAAGCTGCCAACAAGGTTATGGATTTAATGCATTTGGACAGTTGGTCCCCAACCTACTTTTATTTTTAATATAAAATCTTAAAAATCAGCATGGCAACTTTTTGTTATACAAAATTAAAATTAATATAAATAATATTTTTTAGAAATGGTATGAAGAAGGTCCACCAGTATCATTCTGGATTTCTGGATTTTATTTTACTCAAGCCTTTTTAACAGGAGCTCAACAGAACTTTGCAAGAAAATATACTATTCCCATTGATCTACTGATATTTGATTATGAGGTAATAATTTAATTTGTATGGCTTAAATATTTTTTTTTGCCTTAAATGAATTTCTACTCCCACCTTTAAAACGCCCATTAAAAATAAAACCATCTTAATTGCATCTTCCTGGGCCACAGAAGATATGCAATAAAGTGGATTTCGAAAACTAAGCAAAATACCAACAAAATTTAGGAGACAAAAAGTAGTATTTTTATTTGCTTTTTTTGAAAAAATATGAAAATTACAAAAATATTCGTTAAATTGCCGCTCGGAACACTGCCAAATTAAAACAGAATATAAAGGATATTTAAGATATTTTCGAAAAACCAATTTAAAAAAAGTTTAACACCCTGTATCTTGAAAACGAATTTTAAATTTTTAGGTTAAAAAGGAAACAACATTTAACAAGTCTCCGAATGATGGGGTATATGTTTATGGTCTATTTTTAGATGGAGCAAGATGGAATGAAAAAACAGGGGCTTTAGATGAATCAATGCCAAAAGTTTTATATGAACCAGTTCCAATTGTAAGTATACTATATTTTATTATTTCATTATTTTATTATTTTGTTATTTTATTATTTTATTATTTTATTATTTTATTATTTTATTATTTTATTATTTTAATATTTTATTATTTTATTATTTTATTATTTCATTATTTCATTATTTTATTATTTTATAATATATGAGCAAAGGCGGGCTGATATCTGTTATCTGATATCTGTTATACGATATCCGTATATCCTACCTTCATAAGTTTTAGAAAGATAACAAAAGCTTAACAATCTGTTTTAGCATTTATTTAATACATATACATTAAAGACCCTCATCTATCTTCTTTTAGATTTGGTTAATTCCATTAAAGAAAGATGACTTTGTAGAAAAAAATACCTACAAATGTCCTGTTTATAAAACTTCCGAAAGAAGAGGAATATTATCAACAACAGGACACTCAACAAACTTTGTGATTGCTATGTTATTACCAACCAATAAACCTGAAGAACATTGGATTCGAAGAGGTGTTGCTATGCTTTGCCAATTGTCGCAGTAATATTTTAAATTATACACAATTTGTAAGAATATTTAATAAAATAATAAAAACACTAGGTACCTATAATTTTTTGAATAGTATCCCGGATCCCATTGAAAAATCCTCTCCTTCTTCGCTCATAATTTATTATCAAAGGTAGGTATGTAATTAAAAATTGTCGAGGGGTTTTATTTTTAATTATTTTGCATGAAACTATTTTCCAAAAAGAAAAATCAAATAAAAAACTTACTGAGCATAGTTTGACAGATTAAATTTGTATGTCTAGATTATTTTTCGAATTAAAGGAAACTATTTGACAATTCATAAAATCTGACGTATGTGTCAAAATTTATAAATATTTTTTTAAAGAAAATTTCATTAATTTAAGGTATGTAATAAGTAATAATTGATATTTCGTAAACTAGATAACTTATTTTTTATTGTTTTTTAAAAAATGTTTGTTAAAACTTGTAAATAACACCATAAAATCGTAAACAAAAATCCAATATGGAGGCTAAAATTTAATCGCTGTTAAATAGTTCTAGTGATTTAATCGCTTATTTAAACGAAATTTATTCGAAAATTCAAGGCTTTTGATTGGTTCATATTATAATGAGGGAAACAATCATGGTTATTGGAGGCTAATAAGTGCATGTGATGATAAGCATAAATTGGTTTAAATCGACTCACTCAAACATAGCCTTTTTAAACCATGAAATGGCTGAAAATAGTGATTTTTCGAAAACATGAATTTTTATTATATTTTTTTGAACTCTTAGCCAATATTATTTAAAAATGTTTTCATTGCTTTTATATAGAGTAAGATCTTTGGTAACAAACTACATTAAAACAATTATGCTGGCAAGTTGTTCTAAGAATATATGAATTTATAAAATTAGACAATTTTGCCAAAAAATTTCATTTTTAAAAAAATTCCCAAATACCATTTAGGGCATCAATAACTAAATGTGTCCTATATGGTTTAAAAGAGAAATATTTTCTTAACAATTAACAGTTTGTTTAATGTCGATAGCTTTATTAGCAAAAAAAGTACATTTTTTTAAAGTTAGGTCTGCATAGTAACTTTTGCGTAGCCCTGTATAAATAGGTGATAGGGGGAGAAAAGAAAAGGTGAGTTTTTTCACTTCTTGGATCCATGTCTATTTACAGTTAAAAAATAAATAAAATTATAGTATATGAGGTGCTCTCATTGGTGGCTAATAAATGGAATTACCCATGGGTAGGTAATTCAGCATTTTTTAGTAGGATTTGAAATATTTTATATAACTTGGGATAGGTTATATGCTCCGGCAGCTCTCGTGTCTGGGAGCATAGGTCTGTTGGTCTGTATTTCTCATACTTACATTATGGCCTGGGCGCCACCACAACTTTAAAGAGTATAATAACCTAAGGTTGTGGACAAAAAGTTAAACTCAAAAATTAGTTAATTACTTATATTTTAAATGTAATTTCGTTTGGAAATGCTTACTTTAAAATTAAAAAATTGTTATACCGGCAAATACTTAAATGTTCAATAAAACCTGTTGACTCCTGGTGTCCATAATCATTTCATAAAAATTTATGACATGCTTGGATCCAGCTCGATGTTGAAATCTGTCTATCCATAGGTTGAAATCCGTCTATCCATGGGTCACCGCTTTCAGCAGTTAGAACTTGCATTTATGCCAACTATTGTGTCTAAGAAGGCCGTTCCACTGTGCAGGAAACCAACAGGTTCGAGGAATCATTCTGTGACAGAATTTCTGTCCTACAATATGTGTTTAAAAAAACTCGTGGGAAAACTTGTCACGGTGGAAAAACCCTAATTGAATAATAATTCGAATAAATATTACTTTCAAACAAAATAGAATTCACCAAACCAGCCCCTAGTATGACCAACAGCGGCTGAACCAACAATCCATTGGATTGAATCCAAACACCGTTTATGTTACTTTATGCAACTATCTAAGAGATAGGATGACTTAGAAACTCAAAGATTATGCCTCATCGAAAAAACAAATTACGTTTTAGAAATTGTAAAATTTGTAAATGTTAATTAATAATAATTTATAATAAAAATCTATAAAATTTAAAATGGTTTAAAATACTATAGGTATTATTTAAAAAATTAAGGACCTAAAAATAATAAAGTTGTTATTTATAAATTACAACTATTGATTTTTCTAGAACTGGCAGTTTAAAGAGCTTTTAAACTATCAGTTTTTCTAAAAATGCCTTGTGTTGAACTGCTATCCGTCAAACTAGAAAAAGCAACCAAGAATACCTATTCCGACACTATCCAGTACGCCAGAACGGCATTGGGTGTCCATGACGGATTTCCCCTCCATAAAAAAGGGTCGGGTTGGGTTGGGTTGAGTTAAGTTGTATATTGAAAAGTATTCCCTGACAATTTCATTAAGATTACAGCAAAATTGTGAAAAATATACGTTTTTAAAAAATTTATTTTTAATGTTTTATATAAAAAATGCTTTTTTTAAAGTGAGCTTAACAGATTTTTCGTAAAATCCTTTTTAAAAAGTTACGAGGTTTTTATAAATTATTCCCGGCGCATCCGCCTTTTTTTGCGAAAACAACATTTTTGAAAGTTTTTAGCATACCAATTAAATACATATTTGTATTTTGAAAAGTATTCCTTATAATGTTATATTATTTTATCGCTTGCAGTTTAACAAAGAAAAAAACATTTAAAAACAACTCAAACAAGCAAAATTACAATTTTGTATCTTTGTATCTTTAAATACCTTTCCCTGTCAGCATTGTTGTTATTAATTGTATCTCCAGACAAAAAAAGGTCTCTCACGCACTAAAATATCGCACCAAAACACAAAAAACTGCAATAATATCCGCATTTTTATCAAAAGGACGCCAAGAAAGTCAAATTACCGAACGTTTTGCAATTATGGCTGCCAATTTGGCAGTGCCAAAGTGACAAAAGCGAATCGCCCGGGCATGCGCGGTGGGTATGTCAAAGAGAGTAGTATACATACCTTAAGGCACAATCCACACAATTGTGCCTTAACTTAAGGCCCTTAAGGTATGTAGGTAGGTATTAATCCAAATTTTAATAAATCAGGTATATCGTGCCCATCACTGGTTCTGCTTAGATATTGTTATGTTATCCTTAAGGCGATAACATATTAATTTAAAAAGGTAAGAAAAAACATGTTTTCTTCCAAACCACAATCCACACAAGGTTTTTTCTTATTTTTTCTCTCAGATTTTTAAATTAATTATGAGAAACTCAATGGGTAGGCTACCAACAATACAAATTAAACAGGAAACTACTATTTTTATTATTACAGATTCCTAATAGGAATTTATTTTGAATAATTTTAAATATTGTTTTTGGACAAGTTAGGTATTGTTTATTTTATTAAATTTGAAAGATCAATCACCAAATTTACGATGGTTTACTTTTAAAGTACTTTAAAATGAATATTTTCTAAATTTATTGTATTGATGGCAAAAAAAACATACGCATAATGCGCCCCAGTACAAAATTTATAATTGAAGTTATTTTTGGTGTATTTTGCCTTTTTATTTATTGTGAATACATTATTTATTATCTAGTTTTAAAGAATGTAAGTAATAGCTAGATTTTTACTCACAATTTTAGTTAATTATATATTTGAGGTTATAACACCAATAAATTATGTATTTTAGTGCGAATGGCCTGAGTTAGACCCAAAAAACGAAGATCCAACAATTAAAAATAACGACCAAGATCCTGTTAAAATTATGGTCATTGCTGATACGCATTTATTGGGTTCCCGAAAGGGGCACTGGTTTGATAAATTACGAAGGGAATGGCAAATGCATAGGGCATTCCAAACAGCAATGACGTTACACAAACCCGAATTGGTTTTTGTGTTGGGTGATTTAACTGATGAGGGTTTATACTGCAGCAGTGCTGAATTTGATTATTATGTTAAAAGGTTTTATAGTTTATTTGGGGTACCGGAAGGTACTAAACTGCATGTAGCAGTTGGTAATCATGACATAGGTTTTCATTATGGGTAATAACTAATATTTACATAATTACTTATTTAATATAAAATGTACGTTGTTTTTCAGTGTTAGCCCATATTTGAACCAAAGATTTGTGACAGCTTTCAATTCCGCAGCCGTTCAATTAATCTCTTTAAGGGGGGTTCATTTTATCCTTGTTAATAGTATGGCATTGGAGGGTGATGGTTGTTTTCTTTGTAAACCAGCCGAACAGCAGTTAAACAAAATAGAAAGTGGGTATTAATATATTTTTGATTCATTTGATTTAATTTTTATAACTTTCAGGGATTTTACAGTGTTCAAAAGGAAAGTATTTTGAAAAATGTGATAAAAAAAACAGGTTGGATGTATACAGCAAGCCTATATTAATGCAGGTTAGTTGAACTTAATTTTTTTTAATGGGAACATTGTATACATCCTATAGGAATCACAATCCACACAACATGTGGATTGTGGTAGGAATGATAAAATTTTATATTATAACACTATGTTATGATATATTTCATATTATAACACTCATAATTATGAGGTTTAAGCCTTTATAGAAAGATTTCATATTTGTACCCAGTTCAAAAGTCAAATTATTATACACCGCCGTTCAATAATGAAGATACATTGAAATGACATAGGGAGAGTGGTTCCATCTATCGCGTCTAGCTCGAAATCATCAAAAAAAAAGTAAACTTACAGGTCGCTTTAAAATAAATTCTTGCACTATAGCATATGTCAAACCCGACAAAATGTCGCAAACTCGATAAATTATTAAATGCTTAAAAAAATAGTGTATATAACTACCTCGCTCAGATCTGCAGCCTCGGCAGCGCTTTTTCCGCCTGTTAGTAGTGTTAATAGTATTTTAAGTTACCTATAATGATTTAGTTTTAATTGACACAAACTCTAACAAAACCTTAGCTTCCTTATTTCCATAACAATAAATGTAGCCCCATATTAAACGAATGCAATATTTTGTAGCATTATCCATTATACAGACAATCAGACATGGAATGCGAGGATTTTGATGCAGCTCCGTTTCCGATAAAACACGAAATATTCAGGGAAAGATGGGAATGTCTTAGTCATGAAGCAACATTACAAATTTTGAACCAAATAAAACCAAGGTTGGCGCTTTCTGGGCACACCCATCATGGGTGCACAAGGAAGTTACCTGTTGGTGAAGGCTTGGAGATTACCATACCAAGTTTTAGTTGGAGAAATAAGGAAAATCCCAATTTTGGAATGGTAAGCACAATTTTTAAATGTAGGTAGGTATCATAGATTAAATGAAAAAAAACTGTTTTAGGGTGTTTTTTCATCCAACAACTATGCCTTTACGAAGTGTCAAATGCCAAATGAATCATCAGTTATAAATTTGTATATGCTTGGTTCTTCATTTTTAATGCTTTGGATTATATATTCATTCTTCTTTAGAGTAAGATCCAGGAAATATAAGTATCGCTGACGACGCTTTAGTCTATGGGAATAGGTTTTATTGTTTTATTTAATTTTTATTATATCTTTAGACAAAGGCTAAGTATAAAAATATACCTACAGTTCAAATTAAAACATTATGTTATAACCATTACCTTTATTGGAGAGACTGAAAAATAGGATGTTTTATATATTTCTAATTTTTTTTTGGAGAGACTGAAAAATAGGATGTTTTATATTTCCAACTTTTTGGTAATAAATATATAAAGTTTTAGATTTATAACTGTGCATAGTCTATTTATCAAGGCAAAATAATACTAAGTTTTTAGAAATTTAGCATAATTACCCTCCAAACGCTGGTACCCAAACGTCATTAGCCTAATGGAGTAATTAAATATTTATATTAAGTTATGTGTACATAAGGATAATGCAGGCGGGTGATCCGAGTGAATAATGCCTATAATCTCGAGTGTAATAAAATCTAGTATTATATTATATTATAATATTATATTATATATATATACAGGGTGTCCCAGAACTCGCGCCACATAGAAAACCGGAACGTGCCGAAAGTAACGTGAAACACATATTTGAAAATTAAAATTGTCTAACCCAAAGGATAAGCGAGATAAGAATAAAAAATGATAGCCAATCCCAATAGATGGCCATAGGGAATTCTTTAAATTGCTAGGATACTTAGGTTGCATTGTTGATAATAAAAAGTATGTAAAATATTTGGTCCACTGGAATCCAATTCATTGTGACACTGCTGTCAAACTCCTGTCATTAATATTATATTAGGTTATAAATTAAGTTATTATAAATAATGTTTTCCTTAGATGATTATACTGAAATGATAATTATTTATTTATTTAGTGTGGGCGAAACGCCAGGGAGACAACGCGAGTTTTTTCCCAGCCCTTTCCTAATCGTTATTTTAAAACATTGGCGTTCTGAAGTATAAGTCATAGATTAATAACCTCATTTTTGAAAGCTTTTGACAACTTAGTAAATACAGTTGGCCAAAAGATTTTTAAATGTTTTTAATACAACAATGTTCTATCGTCTCCTAGCAATTTTTAAAGCTCTTACGTTTAACCTAGGCGAGAGCTCTCGGTATTGGCTGCCGCTTTTTTGCTCTCATTCGATTACACTATTACCTAGAAATTTTTTATTTTTAAATTTGGCATCTCCATTGCTATCGGCACGCCCCCTTTTTCTCTGTGGCGCGAGTTCTGGGACACCCTGTATATATAATAGTATCTACTTCAATAACACTGTAGGGAGGTGAAAATATCACAGCTAAACGCTCGGACACGTAAACTTAATTTTTGGTCGTAGATTACAAATCCAAAGATATTGGAAACACCCTGTATAAATTTAATCACCCTATATAAATTTAAAAAAAAAATTAATTTGGCTGGACCCACACATTAGTTTCAAATAAAAAAAAACAAATTCTTGCAAAATTTGAAGTAAATTGTTCAAAAGGAACACGTGTCCCTGAGGGTTTTTCTTAGATAATTTAGGAAATTAAAAATGTTTTTTTGTTGATTTTTTTTATTGAGCATAATTGAGGATATTATATTAAACAAAATATAAAGCATGGGAATGTTGGCACAAGAGGTGAAATATATTATTTTAAAAATTATAATATATCAGTATACAGTGTGTGTCCGGATCGGATTGCCAATAGAAAAAAACTTTTTTTAGACCTGATACAGCTAAACCGAGCACGGATTTGGAATCTATGACCAAAAATTATGTTTACGTGTCCGAGCGTTTAGCTGTGATATTTCAAGAGTTGAAAATTTACCTACAGTGTAATTAGATAATTAAATGAATTTTAAAAATAAAAAATCAAATCTCTCAAATGGTTAACCTCACTTTTTACCAATTTTAAATATAGTAGGCTTCTCCAAATTTAAAACCTGATTGGTTCAAATCACAGTGAATTTGAAATCTGCCAATCACTAACGTTATCATTATTTACGGAAAAAAAACAATATGAGTAGATAAACCAATTTAATTTAATTAATTAAATTGAATTAATCTTTACAATTTCATTAATCCACTAGGCTTATGACGTTGCGGTACCAAACTTACAGTGTTTGGACTCTACTCTCGCCCTTTCCATAATTATTATATAACATTATGCTACTGATAACTGTCAGAGTAGAATTAATAATGTAAATATTTATCTAGTATTCATAAGGTAAATAATAATTTTGTCTTCCTTGTGAAAAAACTAGAGACCGGATTTGTAGTACTTCATAATGCAACCAAAAGACTCCAATTAAAACTTAAAATTTACACTGATCGATTATCAATTGAGGTGTTTAAGTGGAAAAAAATGCAAATTAAAAATGTAAATGTACTACCCTCTAGCGGCCAAACCAGTAAACATTAAATTTAGGTAAGTAAAGTTTTTGGTCCATTTACTCCATAAATATATATATTAGATAGAGGGTAGTACATTTACATTTTTAATTTGCATTTTTGTATATTGTATATATACATTCCATGCATTTTACACTATAATCCGGTCTACATTAAAAATTAAGTTTGAAAATTTAATAAATGATTTTTGTAATTTACAATCCACAAAACATGAACTGATAACCCAAAGAGAGAAATTATAATTAAATTAATTTTTTTTCATAAAAATCAACTATTTATAAAATATTATATTTTATGTCTATATCTATAACTATATACATATATCTATTGTACCTGGCATATTACTAATAATAATAAATAATAAGGTAATTTTTTTGAACATTTAACGCCAAATGAATGAAATCAGCCCTTAAACTTAAAAAATTAATTTCTTACCCTTTATATATTATATAATCTACTTATACTAAAATTGTACCTACATTGTGTGCCAAATAAATATTTAATATTTTCTGTTTAAAATTATTTCTAAAAATAATTTTTTATCAAACATTTTGGGGGGTCAAGCTTGATAAGTTAGGTATAAGTATTATAAAACAATAAATAAAACAAAACTTACAATTAAACATTAACTAATACAATTAACTTTAACAATTATTGTTGTTGCTACATTAAGATACTAATCTGTATAATTAATTAAATATTATCTATTTCGTAATGTTTTGGGATATTTATTGGTTTTAATTGTTACTATCCCGGAGCATTTTCCATTTAAATTATATTTTTTAGTTAATTTTTCAAATCTTAATTAAACCATTTGTGGGAAACGATTTATTTTTTAATAAAGTATGTGGTTTAATAATAGGCATATCACCATGTGATACCTTAGTTTCTCATGGTTAGATAAATTCAATACCCAATAAAACATTTTTTTAGTTCCAAGGATTATCGTGTAGATTATGCAGTAACTTCAAGGAATGTGGTTAGTGTTAACGGTATGAATTTCCTAATATCTACGATTGTTTTTTGTAGTTTTTTAAACAGTTAATTTTTTAAATGATTATTTAAAATATTTTAGTTAATTTAAATTGTTGTTAAATAATTTAGTTTTGATTTTTGATTTTTCTGTGCTCTTACGCCCCTTAACATTACATTAGGTTTACCGTGAATTAAAATTAAAATGTTGTAACCACAAAAATATGGTGTTAAAACTTTTTCATGAATTTTTATAATATAAGAGTGGTTGTTTTAAAATGAAAAATTCGAATGAACATATTATGTTCTAACACAATTCTTTTTTTGAATAAATATATGATAATTTCGATTAATTTTTTTGGTGATTATTTTATTATAACCTTCAGTTTATTGTTCATCTTTTATTTATCCAGTGCTTATTTTATTTATTGATGGCATGTTTTTGGAAAAAAGGCAAGAAGATTAACATTAGTTGGTGAGCGTCGTTTAATAAAAAAATTGTTAACACTATGTTACAAACAAGTACTATGTAATAAAAAAATGTTTTATCTCTGTGACATGACATGTTTTGTTGAAATGTCAACATTTTGACACACCTACACCCTTTACAACAAAACATAAATAACATTTTGTGGTCATAAATAGTTATTTATGTATCAAGGCAGTAAAGTCGTATTTTTTATCACGAACGTGGAAATTATTTGCCGAGGCGAAAGCCGACGCAAATAACCACGTGAGGTGCATATTAAATTTTATCCGAAATCACATTTAATAATACTAATAATTATTATTGATGAATAAATCAAATGTCATTTAATGATCAAATCAAATGTCATTTGAATGTAGGAAGTGTCTACGTATACTGTTTAATCTAATTAATAAAATTAACTTATTATTTTTATTAAACAACATTTTATGAAAGGGTCCAATCGACCTCCGCGAAGTTGCTTTTTTTAAAATATTATTTAGTTGGTGCTGAGGAGCAGTAGACATATCTTAAAATGTATAATGGGTTGCATACAATACTCGTATTAAATCGGCAGTAAAGTTCTACTTCACTGCCGATTTCTTTTACTTTACTGGCGATTGTTGACTACTTTACTGCCGATTTCAGATAAAATATTTTTTTATTATTATCATTGCTTTATTTGATGCATATTGCAGTAGTTTAGTGCAAACAATATTTTTTTTTACTAAATTTACTAAAAGTGTTTTAAATTAACTAATAAATATATTGACAACTATTGACAGATGTGGTCAGTTAGCCCCAATTGATCATAAACAGTGACAAATTGAAGATAAACATAAACTTTTTAATTATGTTATATGCGACAAAAATCAAGAAGTACTGTGTACTGTATACTACATGGTTCTTTTTGCGGACAGTGGCTTATATTTTATTCTTACGTCGTTCTATACCAAATTTCCCAAACGTTTCTTCCGCAAAATATTCAGTATGAAAATTTTAATAAAACACCAATTAACTTTTCATAATTTGTATAAAACAAAAAATAAATAAAAAAATAAATAAATAAAATCTAAATCTAACAATAATACAGAATGTAGTAAATTTGCAATAAATAAATAAACTAATACTCCGATTTAACAACTAAACTAAATAACTTCATCTCATCTGGTCCCTGAATATAAGTAATACTTTTTCGGCTCCGGTTAAGGTATCCGGGCAAAACGATTACTCCGGGATATCACTGAGCTTGTATCCTCCGGGTTTCCTGAAGATGCGTTCGTGCATCGGTAATGAGCCAATGAAGAATTTGGACAAAGCCCGGATTGCATATTTACTGTGACCAGACCCCCGGAAAGCCACACTCGCATCTCTTCCTGCATACTCTAGAAGAATGTCGGAACCACCAGGATGCTAATCGAAACAAAAACGAGATTAGTGGTCCTCAATTTTTTAAATAAAATAATATTTACCTCATCTAAAAAGTCTGTGATGTCATACACTCTGTCGTAGATGACTACCCAGCAGTCCTGCGGGGTCTCGTGCCAGGAAAGCTCTTCTAAACTTATGACCCTCAAGTCGGGGTTAACGTATTCCTTCGTTTCCGCAGGTGGGAACCTTAATCCTTGCGTCGTTAACAATGATGTTTTGGCCATTGTAATTATTACTAATGCACAATTAAATAAAAATATAAATAGATAATACAACACTTTTTGTACGTTGATGTATCGAGTTATCGTTAGCGAATGAGCTTGAAGTTGAACGTTCGAGTTTAAATACTGTTTGGCTTCCCGGTGTAGTATGCTGAAAGTTACGATATCAATTTCTAGGCTTCCTAATCGCGGGCTCTTGCAAATATTAATCTATAAATTTCGTCATTTTTTTTCGGTAGTCAACGTAAATTTCGGATTTAAAATGTAAATAAAACATTGCGTCAATTTTGTTTTACGTTTTTATTAATTTAACAATAGTATTTCCCAATTGTTTGTTGCTGACCAAAATATTTAACACCCTTTGATGATAACAATTGTATTTTATTAAAAATAATTACTATTATTTCGTAAAGTTTTGTTGAAATTTGTATCTTGTATATAGTTTCTTAAATTAATCAGGTTTACTGACGTGTTCGGTATTATTTATTTGTTTTTAATATTTTTTGCTATCTTTATAAACTAAGAAAATAGCCAAATCATTTTGCAATTTATTACATTTTAATTTGCCGCGTCATTATTTAAAATTTATTAAAATAGAGATTAAATATGTTTATGAATGAATTAAATACCAATTCCATATAGGTCCCTAATAAAAATATTTTTACCATATATTTTTGGGCATATCAAAATATTACAAAAAACAATCTTATCATAAGTTATCACTGAAAATAAATAAAAACAAAACAAAAACAGGTTTATTTAAAATCAATTAATTTATATACAAAGCGTCATTTTTTTGTATGTCACAGTCAAACGTAAAAATTAAAGGGCGTATTTTTAAATTCTAAACCTTAAATTTAAAAAATACGTTTACCTATATTAAAAAAATGTATAAACATAGTGCGAAAAATCAGGTAGAGCCTCTGTAAAACCCCTTTGTATTATATACACAGGGTGTTTCTTAATCGATGGCTGAAACTGAATGGGCTCAATCCAGTGTTGCCAAGCGTACGATAATTATCGTACCAGTACGATAATTTAAGTTACTTTACGATATACGATAGCAAATGTACTATGTACTATATATGTACGCAAAAATACGATAATTTTGAAATTATTTCAGCATAAACTTATTATTATTTAAATATTCTTTAAAATATTTCTATTTTGCATATGCGAAGCACAGAACAAACCATGCGATGCGGGTTAATTTATTACAAACAATATTTTTTTATTCACAATTTTAAGTTCCGTGTAATATTTTGTTATTTTAAACAAAGTTCAAGTTATTTTTACGTCCTTGTATATATACCTACAACCAGCCAAATGTGATATTTTTTACTTTAAATGATTTTTTTTTATAATACAGGGCCTTCCAAATTATCTGCACCCCTTTAATTTCTAAACAGCTTTAAATTGGTTTTACACTAATTTGTCTACCAAAAATTTTTTTGTGAATTAGAAATAAAATGGGACTAATAATTTGGACTACCCTATAATTTTAAGTCTACAATGGTAATACATTAACCCCCTTTTTTAAATAATATATAGTGTTTTTTAAAAAGATAATTTTGGTTTCATTTATTATTAAAATGCGCATGCCTAGGATGTCCGAACTAGTTCGGGATTAGCACCGCGAAAACACCTATTACATATTTTTTGTGTAAGTACGATAATTTTTTTGAAAATACGATAATTTTATGAGGTTGGTACGATAAATCCGTTTTCAAGACTTGGCAACACTGGCTCAATCCTTAAATGATTTTAACAAGTTTACATTAACTTATTTTGGAAGAATAGGTTGTTCAAAATTAAAAAAAAATTGCAAGGTCGTACTGTAGTTCCCACAAGTTGAGTCACATACATGTTTTAATTTTTCATGGTAATAATATATTATTAATACTTTAAGGAGTTTTTAAATAAATAATGGCTAAAAAGATATTTTTACGTTAACAATAATGTCTACATAAAATAATCTCCTTATTTTAATCTTGTTAAAAGTATAATGTTACACTATATTTAAACCTGCCCTGGTAGAAAATAACGTTTGCATACATTCAGACAACGTTGCAAATTTGTATAATAATTTGTTATACTCATAACGTTGTCTTAGTGTATCATTTTAAGTGGAAAATACGTAGTTAAAACGTTGTCTTGGAAACGTTATTTTAATGTATGATTTTAAGTGGGAAATACGTAGTTAAAACGTTGTCTTGGAAACGTTGCAGAATTGTATTGCTGGAAACGTTGCAGCAACGTTCCAAATCCCACGTTTAGATACATAAAATTATTTCTAAGTCCCGACGAAAATCTTTCAATGAGGATTTTTTTTTAATTTTTTATACTTTATTATACATTATTTATAAAAGTAAAATAAAACTCTTCAATTCATTTTCAAAGTCATAATATCAAAAATATGAGCGAAATACACAAAACCCACTTTCAAACAACGTTGCAGAATTGTATTGCTGGAAACGTTGCAACAACGTTCCAAAACCCACGTTTGGCTACATAAAATTTTTTCAAAGTCCCGACGAAAATTTTTTTACTGAGGATTTTTTTTTCAATTTTTTTTTATTATACATTACTTATAAAAGTAAAATAAAACCCTTCAACACATTGTCAAAGTCATAATATCAAAAATATGAGCGAAATACACAAAACCCACTTTCAAACAACGTTGCAGAATTGTATTGCTGGAAACGTTGCAACAACGTTCCAAAACCCACGTTTGGCTACATAAAATTTTTTCAAAGTCCCGACAAAAATTTTTTTACTGGGGATTTTTTTTTCAATTTTTTTTTATTATACATTACTTATAAAAGTAAAATAAAACCCTTCAACACATTTTCAAAGTCCTAATATCAAAAATATGAGCGAAATACACAAAACCCACTTTCAAACAACGTTGCACAATTGTATTGCTGGAAACGTTGCAACAACGTTCCAAAACCCACGTTTGGCTACATAAAATTTTTTCAAAGTCCCGACGAAAATTTTTTTTACTGAGGATTTTTTTTTCAATTTTTTTTTATTATACATTACTTATAAAAGTAAAATAAAACCCTTCAACACATTTTTAAAGTCATATTATCAAAAATATGACCGAAATACACAAAACCCACTTTCAAACTACGTTGTAAAATTGTATGCTAGAAAAGTTGCAACAACGTTCCAAAACACACATTTAGCAACATAAAATTATTTTAAGTCCCACCGGCAAATTTTTTAATTTGTTTTTTTTTTATTTTTTATAATAAATTATTTATAAAAGTAAAATCAAACTCTGCAATACATTTTTTAAAGTTATAATATCAAAAATACGATCGAAATACACAAAACCCACTTTCAAACTACGTTGTAGATTTGTATGCTAGAAACGTTGCAACAACGTTCCAAAACACACATTTAGCAACATAAAATTATTCTAAGTACCGTCGGCAAATTTTTTATTGTGGATTTTTTTTATTTTTTATAATAAATTATTTATAAAAGTAAAATCAAACTCTGCAATACATTTTTTAAAGATATAATATCAAAAATACGATCGAAATACACAAAACCCACTTTCAAACTACGTTGTAAAATTGTATGCTAGAAACGTTGCAGCAACGTTCCAAAACACACATTTAGCAACATAAAATTATTTTAAGTCCCGTCGAGAAAATTTTTAATGTGGATTTTTTTAAAATTTTTAGTCTTTGTAACATTAGTTATAAAAGTAAAATCAAATTTAACTATGCAATATAATTTTTAAAGTCATAGTTTTAAAAATAAGGCCGAAATACACAAAACCTACTTTTAGATAGGTACCTAAAATTATTATAGTTTCAATAAAGGTTTACTATCGTAGTTAGGTGATGGAACAACAGAGGTTACACCATAGTATTATCACAAAATTCTGTGGTATTATTTCTATGGGTTACACGGAACAAACGAAGAAAAATTCAAATTTACCGCTCTATCACGAAGTGTTTATTTCTTTATTTTAGGTTAAGTGTTGACATCGTGCGAAATTTTGTGCAAATTCTTCCGTGTTTTTTGGAAAAATAATTAAAAGATAAGGTAATTTTTATCTGATAGGGATGGCAAATAACTTTTAGTAACCTAAACAATCACCACAAACAATTTGTTAGTGTTTTTTTTAAACAGTTGCTTTTTGCATGGATTTTTAGGGTTATTTGGATGATGCCTTATGTAAAATAAGTTTTGTTCTGTGACGATGCCTTAAAAGCATAAACATGTTCCTGGAACAGTGTATCAAAGAAATTATCACCCAGAAAATATTGAATTGGCCGTGGCAGCGGTGATAAACAATCGTCTATCCTTTGGGTAGATTGCAAGTGTAATGATTACATCTGCCACAGATGATCTGCGGATAATGGATAATCTTTTGCAAGACAAGAGACAAAAGAGTGCAGTCATATCTAAACCACAAAGCAGTGATAATTAGTTGTTTTAAAGAAAACCTTCCTGGCAATGACTGGCTAAATTCTTTCCGGAGGCAAAAATTGTGATTACTCAAAGGAATGCTAAAAATCTAAAAAGATCCAGATCAGAAGTTCATGATGATGTGATAAACCAATATTTTTTCAGAAGTAAAGGAAATAAGGGATGCTTTGCCAGCACCTGGTTACCCAGGGAAACAACAAAATGTTGTGAAAAAAGGAAACTCAGAATATTAAACTATTTTTCAACTTTTCTAATGTTTGCTGACACTGGAGGAGATCATTTACCATTGTGTGTTGGTTACCAGCCAAATCTATTAGATTTTTTTTAACAATCAAAGGTTCTTAATAATTTTTATATTAATAAATTATATCCATATGTAAATCAATTTTAGGTCACAATCTTTTGCATTTAATAAATAAATTTGTATAGGTACTATACAAAATCAATTTTAAAACTTTCAAGTGTATAAAAAAATATAGGCAAAAATACTATTTTTGCTTGTATTTTTTCCTTTTAATGCTTGTGCTCTAAATTTTTATTCAAAAGCAAAAATCCTCACATTTTTTCTTATATATTCGTAATTGCTAAAATTTATTTTGCCAAGCATCAAAACCCTTAATGAAAATTAAAAATTTGTGACTTTAAACTCACCTTCATTGTTAATTGTTTTATTTAGACTTATATTTTAACTAGGTAACTACTTAAATTTCTTTGACTTTTTATTTTTGTTGCTAATTTATAATTTGTTTAATCCTTTATTTAGAAAATTTGTAATAATTGTTAATAGGCAATATTTCTTCTCTTTAAAATACCAGCATTGTTATTTTTTTTAGGCCATGTTTTAAGTTATGTTACTTATATTTGAATTTTTCTAGTTAATATTTAAATAGGATTTTTTAGATTTTTATTAATATTGATTTAAAAGTTGTAGTATCTTGTATCTAGAAAATTGTTAATACCTATATGAATATAGGCAATAGTTTTTCTTTTCAAAATACCATTGAAAATTTTTTGTCTAAGCTATTTTGTTATATTTTTATTTGTTTACTTTAAGTATATAATATTATATTAATAATATTTTTTAGATTTTGTTAATTGGGTATTTTTAATTAATTTTAATATTGATTTAAAAGTTGTAGTATCTTGTATAGAAAATTGTTATATATATATATAGGCAATATTTTTTCTTTTTAAAATACCATTGTAAATTTTTTGTTAAAGCTATTTTGTTATAATTTAATTTGTTTACTTTAAGTATAATATTATTAGATAATATTTTTTAGATTTTGTTAATTGGGAATTTTTTTTCCAAAGTATTTTTTTTGTACAATAAATTTTTGTTGTTTTTAAATATATATTAAATTTTCCAATAATAAAGAAAAATCCTACCCAAATTTATAAAAAAATCCAACGTTTTATGATACAATAATCCCACGTATTTCCAACGTTTTATAATACACAAAACCCACATATTTCCCACGTTGTATAATACACAAATCCCACGTATTTGCAACGTTTTATTATACATAAAAGCAACGTTGTATAATACACAAAACCCACGTATTTGCAACGTTTTATAATACGTAAATCCCACGTTTTTTATAACATTAAAAACTAACGTTGTCAGATAACGTTATAAACCGGGACATTTCAACATAAAATTATACATAAAAGTTAGGTTTTGCCAACGTGGGAAAAACGTTGTTTCTACGTAAAATTTCTACTAGGGTGGCGCCTGTAGGCATTTACAACTCGATTCCTAATATATCTTTATTTTTAAATACCGGACATTTGAAGATAAATTAATTACATACTTATATTATTATTCTTATCAGATTTATATTAAAAAGTTTATAGTTACATGACCCCCTAGTGCCCAGGCAATCCGTATTACATCAGCAAATAAACAGTTCTCTAATATCCATTAGAAAGTTAACATTATCAGCACACTTTTGGGTCATGCAAAGATTTTGCCAATTTTTTTATCTTCAATCATAAAATTGATTAATTTATAGAATTACATCAGAAAAATTTAGCAAACAATTTTTTAATTTTCCATTGAGGTTAAAACTCCTCCCCAAAATATGGAAGCAGGCCCAGATTGCGCTGAGAACAGAGGGCGGTTAATAATTTGAATTTCAAAGAAAAGTTTTAATATAATAAAAGTTCAAAAAACAGTAATTTAACGTAGCGCAGCAAAAAGAATAAAATAATGTAACTTACAATATTTTGTGCTATTAATAAACTTATAGATTCCTAATGTTCAATGACTATACCAAAAGCATGGGCCATGGTTACCTTTCTTTGAGAAGCATGTACGTAATTAATTTAGACGCTTTTTATCATATTCATTGAGCATTAAAAAGTGCTACGTTAAAGCGTGTTTTTTTAACTTTTATTTATTTCGACCAACTACACAAAATGGCATTTAAGCACCAAAAATTGCCTTGAAGTTTAAAATTTGATAAAAAAGATTTTCCGGAATGATTTCGATTTACATGTTGATAATAATTTATTAGTATATTATGTATCAAGTTTGATAAACGCCATTTAATTTAGGCACGAGCGAGCTTGCGAGCGAGTTCTCAAATTGAATGAGTGTATAGAAAAGTTTATAAACGAGGTGCATACTATACTTTTTCTACGACAAATACTTATTATTATCTTAAAATGATTTAAATCAAAAAGTTGTATAGAGCGCCATCTATGAAACAATAGGGGAATCTGCGTGTCACCGTCAAATGTCACATTTTTACATTTTATAAACAGATTATAAAGGTCATAAATCGAAATGTATTTCTTGAAAATCGACAATTTTCACAGTGAAAGTAAAGAAAATGTTTTATGAGGACTTTATAGTGGAGTCCGTAATCGAATTTAGGTTATAGTTTACTGCCGGCGAAATTAAAAGGTCAGTAAAATGTTCATATAAACTTTTCAAATATTGGCGTTGAGAAACTATTTAATACTTTTGTATTGAGATAATAAAATAATTTTCACATTTAGTATTATTTTACAAGAAAGGCACTTTATTTTAACGATTGTATGACATTTGACAACTGTCAACTAACTTAAAACTAACTTCAGCCAGTGACTAAAAACCTGTTGCTAACTTCAGCCCGTGACTAAAGCGCCATAAAGCCACAACTTGTCAATGTGTATTTAAAAGGTCACTTAGTGTCATGGAAACATGTACGATAAATTGCGTTTTAAAGGTGGGAGTAGAAAAAATAATTTAAAACGGACCAAGGCGGTAAGTAGGAAAAAAACTCTTATTTTTTTACATTTTTCGAATATATTTTCTTCCATCCGAAAAATCGTTAGTTGAAATTTTGGATTGAAACGATGGTCATAAATTTCTTTCTTTTCTTTGACCAAATTAACTTATTTAAAAATTATATAACAGTATCTATGTATAATCAAAAAATATACACATGCTATTTTGCACGTTTAAAAATAATGATACATGTTTAAATTGTTTAAAATAAAATACTGCTAATTGTAAAAACATATCGGTTTTGCTATTAATTAGATTACATTTTTTTTTTTAAGTTTATTACATATCTACTCTAAACTGGTTATTGGGGTATCAGTAAACGACCTAACACACTTCAAACTGCCCAACACACGATGCTTATAAAATTAGTTCAACTTAATAGGACTTGATTTATACTTTTAATAATAAATTTCTCAGCCATTTGTCAACCGATTTTTAATCGCATGCGACAAATTATTGAACTATTCACAATAATTATTATAGTAAATTCTATATAGAATTATATATGTTTGTTATAAAATATATAGGGTGCTATATTATTTTAAAGCTCCTTACTTTATAAGCGTAATATATTCTTTATACTTAAGCATAATATAACGGGACTCTCGGCAAAAAAAATTATATTGTGCGAATAGGGCCTCAATGGGTCAAGTCGTTCAGAAGTTACACGATCATAACAGACATACGCAACTATTTTAGGTATGCATTAAGATAAACTATTATGACGATTAAAGTAATACAAATATTTTCATTGACAATAATTTGTTTAAAAAAATAACTAAAAACAATAAAATAAGCGTCATACTTTTTCGAAATAAATAATAAATAAATGTTGCATTCCAATATTTGTAAATACCGAACAGCTTACTTTACTATCCCGTAAAATATAACTTGTTTAAGATTAATATTATTAATAGATTGTTAAGACTATGAAGACAAAATTTAAATGTTTACATCACATCTTATATTTACTATAATTCAATGCAAACCAACGCAAATTAAATTATTTATTATTTACAATTTGGGATTATCCAAGTTATCTATAAGATAACTTAAATTATCCCAAATTGTAAATATATTTAATTAACCAAAGGGCGTTAAATAAAAGACATAGGTAATTAATTTAATATATTTATTTTGTCGAGATAGTTCCATTATATTATGCTTATAAAGCAAAAATATATATTTTATATAATATATATTATATATTATTAGACCAACCAACGTCAACTTTATTTTTTTCATAGGTAAATTACAGTGATACGTTTATAAAAAGAAATCTCCCCTTAAGGGTGCAACCGTAACTTATTTTTAAATGTTAAGGTAGGTAAGTCAAGTGATACATAATTTAGGAGCCCGTTTTATCCTTTTTCTATGGTTTTAACAGGAATTTCATTTTTGTAGTTACATTTAAAAAAAAAATGTTATGATAAACATGGGTAAAAGATTTTAAAATTGAGCTCCGAGTTTATTAAGAAAATGCTAGCCCAAGCAACAATTTAAGTATTTGTTACGTATATGGGACTATTGAAGAAACTACAAAGTGCTTTGCTACAGTCGCCGGTCTCTTTATATTACTCTTTCATTACTAAGTTACGACTAAAGTGGGGAACAATCAGTGGCGGCTGGTGGATTTTGGGCACACCCATATCTCAGTTATTAGACATGGGACCCACATCAAATTTATATGAGTTTATAATGACGCAAGCAGAATTCAAGTTGAAGTTTTCGAAAAAAAGTTAGTTTTTAAGTGTTTCCCCCAGCCTCCTGTAGTTTTCGCTACTTTAAAGTTTTTTTCCACCTTAATTTACTTTACGGTAGTTTTGGTTTGTACCATAAACGTTCCAAATACTAAAATAATAACTTTTAAGTTATTAACTTAAGTTACAAATTTGTAATTTTTAACTCATGTTCCAGTTTCGAGATTTTAACTTGCAAAGGGACTACAAAGTAAAAATAATTATAATGTAATCTTTAGGTAGCAACCGAAAGTAACTGCTACAAATTAAATTAACTTGAAAGTTTTTTTTTACTTATAACACCTTTTTTAAAGTTGCAAAGTCTTCTTGGGGGCAACCAAGTTTTACTTAAATGTTTATTACTTAAGTAATTCTTTCCTTAAATGGTTACTATAAATTTATAGTAACCATTTATGAAAAGAATTAAGTTTTTGTTACAAAATATTCCTATTTAAAAGTTAGAATTACTTTTAAGTAAAAATTAAAGTAGCTGTTTAGTATACTTAACTAACTTAAAGTTATCACCACTTTGGTAAATGGTTGGAACCAAAAATGCTGCTTGGGAGACGATTATAAAAATCATTTTTCAACATTTCAAAAATTAGCCCCTTTATAATTACAGAAACCGACGTTACCGATACGTCAAACGAAATTGTTTGTGGTTAGGTTGTTTCTGTCATGAATTTAAAACCTAAAATTAAATATATAAATTGTGAAATGCAACTATAACTCGATGCCTTTTCCTCAAGGATTTTAATTTTATTGCCTAGAAGTGTAACTTCTTTTAAATTATGGCTAATTTAAGTGACACAGAACAACAGCAAGAAAAACGGCTTTGGATTGGAAATTTGGACGCTAGAATAACTGAGTAAGTGTTATTTAACATTTATTTTACACTTTATATGGTTAAATTTATATAACAAATTGTATCTTGTTTGTAATAAAATAAATATAGGTACTATTAATAAATATTTTGATTTGTTTACTACAAAGTTGTTAATATTATTGTTAAAAAATATTTCTTCTATTACTCAATCTTGTAGATAGTGTTTATGCTTACAATTATAAAAACAGAACCTCATTTTTATGTTTTTCTTTTACCGGTATCAACTTTTAAAACTTGTACAAAAACATGGTAAAATTGAGAAGTTTGACTTGCTATTCCATCGTTCAGGACCACAGTCTGGACAACCAAGAGGATATGCTTTTGTTACCTACGTAAATAAAAAGGATGCTGAAAAAGCTAAAGAATCTCTAAACAATTTGAAATTAGGGCAAAAGAACATCTTGGTCACATGGGCACACAGTATTAGTAATGTAAGTTATTTATAAATGAAGAAACAAAATTAATAATTAATGTTTTCATGTATTTTTAGGAAGAAGTAGAAAAACCCAAGCCTGATATTCATATCCCAGCCTTAGCAATGTCCAAAGGAGAGAAAAAAACTGATAAAATGACCCAAATTCAGGCCATAGAAGAAAAACTTAGACTGATGGAGCACAAACGAGAGGTTGAATTAAAAATAAACGACACAGTTGCTACAAAACCACTTGTAATTAGTCAATTCCAACAAAATAAAACTCTGGCAGCTACCACCACAAAATCTAGTTACAGTATTAAAAGAAATGATAGACATCACAAACCTTATGGTAGAAATAGACCTAGAAAATAATTTTGTGTGCTATATCTGATGCGAACTAAATTTGATGAAATATTTTGAACAAGATCTCTTAATTTATTTTTTATTTATGTATATAAAATTCCTTAAAAAATATTACAAAATAATATAATTATAACTACAATACAATTGCCTTAGGTTTTATAAAAATAGAACACATGTAGGTTAAGTACTAAAAACTTAAAAACTATAATATATTAAAATATACATCCAGTTTATTCATTTTAAATATTTTTTTTTAATTTTTCTTTTCAGTTGTAATAAACAATTTTAATTAAATTTGGTATTACAGCCATGTTCATGTACACTTAAATGTTACCTATATTTTCTAAAACTTTTTTAGATACAAAACGAATTTTTTAATTTTATTATATATTATTTTTTAATTTTTATATACTAAATATACTTAAAGTAATTGAAATCTGTTCATTAACAGACTGTAAAGTCAAATTTAGGTATTTAATTTAATAATAATAATTTATTGAACCAGGTGTATAGGGATACATTTTATGAATGGAACATTACAAAAAATCTGCAAGAGGGTTATTAAACCTGTGCTCAGACGTAGTTTAAATTACAAACTAAATAATACTTAAAAAACTAAAAACTTAAAACTAAGAAAACATGTACTTTAAAGATTGTTTGTTTTACTAAATGTGATGTTATAATATAGAATCTAATTATGTGGGTGCTTTAATTACTTAAAGATTTAAGTTATCACCCATCCATTTTTTAAATTTTTTTTGTATGCTTTTTATTTTTTTCAATTATTTTTAAGTTTTTATCCTGTGCATTTAACAGTTTTATTGCCACTAGTACATTATTGATTAGTTTTCGTATTATTGAAAAAATTATTTTATTTCTTGTAGTCCTATTTGATTCTTTGAAACTTGTTGACAGTTTTTTATAGTTTAATAATATAGTCTTAAGTAAAAACATTTCCTAATAGATAGAGGCATCTTTACATATTTGTCTTTCAAAAGAATAATTTGAACTAATCTATTCTGTATTCTTTGCAGACCCTCCAATGCACTGCCAAAAGCCCCTCAGGCAATACTGCCCTACTATGGAGAAAGGCAGTAACTGCTAAACAAGAAATTTGTGGAAAATTAGCATAAACTACATTTTGATAAAAAGCAGTAGGTATTTAATTGATTTTTTTAACTTATGAGATATTTGACTGCATTTCTGTGTTGAATTCGGTTACAAAATGTCCATATTTTTACCATAGCACAAGAAAACGCACTTTGCATTTTTTGCAGTTAGTGCCTTTCTCCATAGTAGGGCAGAATAAGTGTACAGTGCCATTAAAGAATATGCATTCATAAATCTTGATGCTTTATACAACAAGTAGACAAGATATTTAGACCTAATTACCAATTTGTTTATATGTGCATTCCACTTGAGCCTACTATCAATAATCAAACCAAGATATTTACAATTTTCAACTCTTTGTATAGTTCTTTCATTGATTTTAATATTTATTTCCTCTGGTACACTATCAGCATATGATCCAAACGTAATGAATACAGTTTTTTTGATATTAAGTTATAACTCATCTAGACCAAGCCAATTGCTTACCATAATAAGATAATAATTCATTTGAATTTTAACTTGGTTCCATTTTTCATTAATGCATATTATTACTGTGTCATCAGCATAAGAAGATATGGAGTCATTAGGTAGTAAGGATAAGAGATCGTTAATATATACTATGAATAAAAGTGGACCCAGTATAGTTCCTTGAGGAACACCAGAGTTAACTTCCAGCAAATTACGACAAATACCATTAACTCTTACTTTTTGTGTTCTGTTACCTAGGTAACTTTTTAATAACTCTTAAGGTAGGACCTCTAACCCATCTGTTATATTATTAGTAACCTGAAAGATGGCATCTTTCGTACCTATATTCTTTCTGAAGCCAAACTGTTTATCTGATATCAAATTGTGCTTAACTAAGAATTTATACAGTCTAATGTGTATTATTTTTTCAATTACTTTTGTAATGTTTGATATCAGAGATATAGGTCTATAGTTGGTTGATAGAGCTCTATATCCAGATTTACCATCACCGCATTCTTCAGAGGTTTTGGCCAAACAGATTTAAAAATACGTTCAAAATATGAGCTAACGGATTTACAATATATCTCGCGATATTCCTTAAGACCATACTACTTATGCCATCAATTCCTCCAGCTTTATTTTTCATTTCTCTAATTATTCATTAGTGGGCTCAAGATAATAATAATAATAATAATCCACATTGTGGTATGTACATTATAGTTGGGTAGGCCTAAATTTTCATTATTTGGTTTATTAATATCGCTAGCAAGATTCTTCCCCACATTACCAAAAAAGTTTTTGAGAGAATTAGAAACATGATATGAATCCGGAATATTCATGTTGTTTTCCTTAATCCTATTTATATTTAAATTTTTACCTTTATTTTTAGTATTTTTAATTAAACTGTTATTTATGTATGTCCATAGTTTTTTACTATCTTTACCACAGTTAAAGACCTTTATTTGTTCACAATTGTATTTAGCAATTTTAATTACTTTTGAAAGTATTTTTACATATTTTTTATAATATTCATAGCCTCCTAAGAAAAACGAGTTGATACACTATTACAAGTTTCCGTACACACAATTACCTGTGGTTTGTTAACCATTCTGTTAATAAAGACTTCCAGCTTGTTAATATTTTGATTACGGCTTCTTATATTTATGCTAATAATAATACATTTTTTGCTTTTCAATTCTTTATTAACAGAATGTAAATCTGAAAATTCTTGTTCAGAAACAAAATATTTATCATTAGCAAACTCCTCTTTTAACAAATTAACTAAAATGAATAATAACAAATTAACTAAAATGAATAATCAAATTTTGATCTCATAAACATTACTCTAGATTTGTACGTTTCACATTTTTTTTAAGTCATTTGCTGCGTAATTAACAGGGTTCGAAAATATCATGATATTTATATAAATATCCGATATAGATCAATGATATATATCCGATATATATCAAGTGATATATATATACAGGGTGGTCCAGGATTAATCTGAAAAATTTTAATGATCGATAGAGCCTGAAAAAACAATAAAAACAAACCCAAAAATATTTTTTAAAAATACACACTAACACACTAATAGTCCTTCAAAGGCAAAAAAAACGTTTTTTTTTAATAAATTCTGCTCAAATTTTGTGTAGGTAAAATTTCTTACAAAAAGCCCAGCGGCGGAGATTTTGGGGGGTTTCCCCTTTTTACCCCCATATTTCGACACCACTGGATTTTATTGGAAAATCATCAGATTTCTTATCCAATTTAGAAGCAAAACTTATGTGTTAAATTTTCATAAGATCAGTGGTTTCGGAGACTTGAAAATTTCAAAAACACCGAGTACACGGAATTTTATCATATTTTATTTTAAATCGGTAACAATTATGCCACGTTATCAGTTTATAAAATATTATAAAAATAAACTAGCGTCCAGGAGTCATCGTGCAGTTGTTACTGATCCCGTCATATTTTTAGGTTGTTTTATTGTAACGTTGATTGAGGATTACAATGAACGTCTGTAATTAATACTTTAATTGTATTATAATACAAAATCAAACCAACCCAAAAACCACCCTATTGAAAGCGATTATTCCATTATTTCATTGGTAAATTTTTATTGGCCCAATACAATTGTTCAGAAAAAAAATATCTTTTTATTACTAAAATAATAAAAAAAGTTACGTGTACACAGTGTTTTTGAAATTTTAAACTGAAATATCTCCGAAACCATTGATCTGATAAAAAATAAACGTTTTGCTTTTAGATTGAAAAAGGATAAAAATAAATCTGATGATTTTCTAATAAAATCCAGTGGCGTCGAAAATATGAGGGTAAAAAGGGGAAACCCCTCCCAAAATCTCCGCCACTGGGCCTTTTGTAGGAAATTTTCATTATATTATCGACGGAAGCTTAACCTACGCAAAATTTGAAAAGAATCGGTTTAATGGTTTAAAAATTATTTTGAAGGACTATATCTCCGTTAGTATGCATTTTTGAAAAATGTTTTTGGGTTTGTTTTTATTGTTTTTTCAGGCTCTATCGATCATTAAAATTTTTCAGATTAATCCTGGACCACCCTGTATATATAAGTGTCTATATTGTGCAGGTGAACATGAGAGTAAAACATGTCAAAACAAACAACAAATAAAGTGCTCAAATTGTGTGGAAGCTAACAATAAATACAAAATGAACAGAAATATTAATTATTATTATTATTATTATTATTATCACTTACAGAGTAGAGGATAAAATCCTATAAACTCAAATTTTAAATGCATACATGAATACAATTTATAATAGAATGATATTTACAAAAAAAAAGAGGAAATAAAAAGAAAAGTAAATTAATTAAGGTATAAAAACTAATATCTAAACCTATCATAACTGTTCTTAAATTGATTCACAGTTTTAGTACACACTTTTTCATTAGGTAAACTGTTTCAGTGTTCAAACACACGATTAGTAACAAATGTTTTCCTTGTCTTCGTACAGAAACGTTCTTTAGATAACTTGAACCTGTGTCCACGAAGCCGATTGTCAAGATTAAAGTCAAGTAAAGTTGTTAAGTCAATTCCGAACTGATTGTGGATTATTCGCCAAATTATAATAAGATCTCCTCGCAGCCTTCTCTCTTCAAATGACGTTAACCCCATTACGCGCATCCTTTCTTCATACGAAGGTCTGTTGAATCCGTATGGGAGCCTTGTGGATTTTCGTTGTATGGATTCCAATAAGTTTTTATCACGCTGAAGAATCGGAAACCAGACAGGCCCTGCATATTCTATTATTGGTCGTATATATGTTTTATAGATTTGGCATGCAGTTTGTGGGTTAGGTTTAGTGAAAATTTTGTGTATCATACTTATTAGTGCGTTTGCTTTTCTGCAGGAGGATTCAATGTGTTTAGACCATGTTAAATCGCTGCTTAT